TAATCCCTGAGTTACGTTCCGGAGCCCTGAGGCACTTTCTCCGGGAGTATATATCTTTCCTAAACGTCTCTGAGATCTGAACGTCTTGGAAGGTTTTAACTGAAGTACGTGGAGTATTATAATTGTGGGAATCAGGTGTTTGTGACTTTCGTGTGATGTTTCTATATTTAGCTGTGACTTGTTTGAGGAACGTTGTATTTCTCATCAACAAAACAAATGAATACAAGAGGATGTTTATGTGTGTAAATTTTAATGACTTATGTGGGATATAGACTGGCAGCTATTCCTTGGAGAATCTTTTTATTCTACACAGAGTTTGTTGGGATCCTGATCTAGAGGAGAATATCGGCAAGGATAGTCGAAATCTTGTACATCAGAAGAACAAGTGATGTTTAGTATAAACATGAATCATACTATGTTGAGAAGTTCTACCTATATTCCTGCGTGATTGACGAAGAATTTGTGTGTATGGAACCTACATCAATGTTAATGTTAAATCTGATCAATTTGAAGTGGAAATATTTAAGTCGGATTTCCGTACAACACAAATTGTGTTTTTTCATGTGGATGTGTCAGTTTATAAACATAACCCTGAAGCAATTTTCGGGGATTATTTTTTTCAACAGCTTGTATCCTGCCAGAAGTTTGCTATACATGTATTTTGATAGGCATTTAGCTCTCTGATCTCTAATATATGGGACACCTGGGCTGTACGTGATCTGCATCTTTTAGCAGTTTCGAAATATTAGCGACCACTTAATATGATAGACAACTGCTGTGTTTAATAAAGACTTTGCTGGTTTTCAACCTCAAGTAATGATTCAAGAAAAAGACACACATCTCTATTAGTTATGGTGTATTAACGTCAAATATCATCGTTTCGAAGTTCAAAAACACTGATACCTGCACATCTAACCATTTATATCTGTACATGTCCATAGATTTGATGGAATGTCATTTAGAAGAGTTGTATATGGTAACAAATGTGACGCATGGAAATACGTTTTCCAACAATATTGAAGAAATTTGAAAATGCAGTCAATTGAACTCACAGGACTTGTAAATATTCATCTATGATATTATTATAATATTGTGTTTTTTGATAATTTTCCTTAAAATCAGATAATATCCATGGAATCGCTATCAATTTATATCCATGGAACGGAAATGCCAAAACGTGATGTACTTGATCCAGTTTGTCAGGTGTTTTTTCTTACTTAAGATCTAGAATTGTAGACAAGAAGGTTTGTGTATATATTTTTTTTATATATATATATCAAAGTGAGGACATGAGATTGCGAAAAAATTCTGTAAGATATCTGATATTGGAAACGGAAATAGACTTAAGGAACCGAGGATCGGATATCATTGTGGGTATACTTGTTTCTAACCATGGTCGTAGGATGAATCGTAGGATGAATCGCATTGTTACTATGGCAATAGGATGCGGCACATGGTAGCTGATAAGGGGATGCTATCTGATAAGGGAGCTGATAATGACCCCCTAAACTGGAATATAAAAGGGATTAATTATCCATTTGGGATTTATTTGAGTGGACACACAAGAAACCTTCTGCTGACCAGGCAACTGGGATCTGACCTTGAAAACATGCAGGGAATGTGTATATGTGTACGTGATGAAGTATAGAATTCCTTAGGGAGCAAAAAAACATGACAGTGATGCTGTTAGTCGGACATTGTCAAGTTTCATGTGTGGTCTAAATGCAGATGATAAGATTTTTTGCTCTTAACAAAAAATCTGTACCGAAGATGGAGACATTTTGTAAAATCAAATTCAGTGATTCTTCTGCACAACACTGATAAAGAAGACCTTTTGAAGATTTAAAATCTAAAACACATACTAAACTCTTTGAAGATTTAAAATCTAAAACACATACTAGAAAGATTTGTGTTTGGTGATTTCAGAGCAAATGTGTCTGGACCCAGATGCTCTCTAGCATTAGCTGAAAGGAACTGATGATGTTTGGTGTACACTTGTCTTTGGAATGTCTGGCATGGTCATTACCTGGTTAATTGACGGGTAACACCACTGACCAGTAACTCTTGTTTATTTGTTTACACAGGAGAATTGACCAAGCATACCACATAATATTCCAGAATGGGTAATCTCCTTGGTAACAAGGAGAACACTATGGTAATTTGCCCATCAAAAGTAGCTTCCTTAGTAACCATTACTTGCCAACATTAGCTTCCTTAGTAACCATTACTCACCAATATTAGCTTCCTTAGTAACCATTACTCACCAATATTAGCTTCCTTAGTAACCATTACTCACCAATATTAGCTTCCTTAGTAAACCAATGAGTCTAAGACATGCTTAGCAAGAATGGTTCATTGGCATCCATCTTGAGTATAAAATCATGAGTCAGCTTGATTATTCAAAAGTATCAAAAAGGCCAAATAATTTTGTTACTACATTTGTAACAGTTTTATTGCTAAACTTTGATGCTTCAGTCAAAATGTTTTATCATCAACAAAAATATCTGATTATCTAGATTCATTTATAATAGTTTTATCAAATCAATGGCATGAAAACATGTCATCATTGTATGAAAAGTACCTGTGTGTGAGGGACTACTAGCTACTGTTACAAACAATCTGAAACTGAAATATTTACTAAAGTTCACCATTGGTGTACAATAGGGATAATCTAAGATAATTTGTCATCTATAATAACATAGAGACTGGTTCATTACTCTCACTGAGACAACATAGAGACTGGTCCATCACTCTGACTCACTGAGACAACATAGAGACTGACTCACTGAGACAACATAGAGACTGGTCCATCACTCTGACTCACTGAGACAACATAGAGACTGGTCCATCTCTCTGACTCACTGAGACAACATAGAGACTGGTACATCAGTCTGACTCACTGAGACAACATAGAGACTAGTCCATTACTCTGACTCACTAAGAAAACATTGAGACTGGTCCATCTCTCTGACTCACTGAGACAACATAGAGACTGGTCCATCAGTCTGACTCACTGAGACAACATAGAGACTGGTCCATCTCTCTAACTCATTGAGACAACATAGAAACTGGTCCATCTCTCTGACTCACTGAGACAACATAGAGACTGGTACATCTCTCTGACTCACTGAGACAACATAGAGACTGGTCCATCTCTCTAACTCACTGAGACAACATAGAGACTGGTCTATCTCTCTGACTCACTGAGACAACATAGAGACTGGTCCATCTCTCTGACTCACTGAGACAACATAGAGACTGGTTCATCTCTGACTCACTGAGACAACATAGAGACTGGTCCATCACTCTGACTCACTGAGACAACATAGAGACTGGTCCATCTCTCTGACTCACTGAGACAACATAGAGACTGGTCCATCTCTCTGACTCACTGAGACAACATAGAGACTGGTCCATCACTCTGACTCGCTGAGACAACATAGAAACTGGTCCATCTCTCTGACTCACTGAGACAACATAGAGACTGGTACATCTCTCTGACTCACTGAGACAACATAGAGACTGGTCCATCTCTCTAACTCACTGAGACAACATAGAGACTGGTCTATCTCTCTGACTCACTGAGACAACATAGAGACTGGTCCATCTCTCTGACTCACTGAGACAACATAGAGACTGGTACATCAGTCTGACTCACTGAGACAACATAGAGACTAGTCCATTACTCTGACTCACTGAGACAACATAGAGACTGGTCTATCTCTCTGACTCACTGAGACAACATAGAGACTGGTCCATCTCTCTGACTCACTGAGACAACATAGAGACTGGTCCATCTCTCTGACTCACTGAGACAACATAGAGACTGGTCCATCAGTGTAACTCACTGAGACAACATAAAGACTGGTCCATTAGTCTGACTCACTGAGACAACGTAGAAACTGGTCCATCAGTCTGACTCACTGGGACAACATAGAAACTGGTCCATCACTTTTAACTCACTGATTTTGAAAAATCTTACAGCAGAATACTATAATGGATATAAAAGATAAGAAAATTTGGTTGATTGAGATGATGAATTTGATGATCTTGAGTGATCTTGGTTATGACTAAGTTAGAACAAGTATAATCTTTGGATCCTCGGGATATCCTGTTTCATGGATAATCTCTCCAGACAGATCATCTGTATGTAGGGTGTATTTAAATGTTATTTTATTCTGCTATCATCAACAAAAACATACATGAAATTTTTTAGAACTTTTTTTTTTTTTTCGAAAATAAGATAAATGACTATGTTCTGAATATATCTGGACATATATAGGTGTTCCTGTCTTTACTTATTGTCCTGTCTGACAGATGTAAAATGTGATGGCATTGTACACAATATTATTCCATAAATCTTGTTGTTCCTTTGTAATCTTGCTTTCTACTGTCCAGCCGGTATTATTTACATTGTCGCAAGATCTATTTGTGGTCAATCCGGTCATTCCCATATTCATTCTCTGTTACCAGTAATCTGGATGTTTCATTATTCATTTATAACTATTGTAGTTGTTTCAAAACCCAGTCACTGGCTTTCTAATCCCAAATGTCCTTTTACCACTACAACTAAACCTTTAAATCTTAAAGTCATTAAGCGTTCAAAACAAATACAGATGCACCACCTAACAGTCATCATTACCCTGGATTTCACATTCTGCAGTCACCACTGAACTGGTTGTCTCACTCTCCATATACCACAAACCTGGTTGTCCCACTCTCCATATACCACAAACCTGGTTGTTCCACTATTCTACTGCCACAAACCTGGTTACCCCACCCTCCATCTTCCACAAACCTTGTTGTCCAACTCTCCATCTACCACAAACCTGGTTGTCCCATTTTTCAGCTACCACAAACCTGGTTGTGCCACTCTCCAGCTTCAACTTTCCTAGTTGTCCATGCATTATATAGTCCTGACAGATTTAAAGATGAAACATTTTTTACTCCATAACTTGTGCATTTGTAGTTACAGAAATTTTTATCTTGTTTATTTACAGAGCGACGGAAACACAGTTTTTCTGCGTGCTGCAAGGGATGGAAACCTTCAGGATGTTCTGGAATACCTGAAGGGCAGTACTGACATCAACACCAGTAACCCGGTAGGTAAAAACGGGGAATTAAATGAACTACTGATGTACTGTCAGTAATATCCATGTAACACTGACTTTATCAAATACCCTAATGATACAGGTGATGACCCTGAAGTGTATAAATAGCTCAGAAGTAATAACCTTAAAGAAAACAGTACCCCAAACCAGAAACCCCGCAATTATAACCACGAATACTGTAAACATGGTAATTTTCTCGAGTCCAAATTTTCATGATTTTCTAATAATAAACAATAAAATTGCATAATAACGTATTAAAATTTTGCAATCTGGATGTGAAAGAATATCATACATTCAATTGTTTCATTATTTGAGGGATTTAATTTTTGCGGTCATCTTAATGTACCGCAAGATAACCAAAATATCCTCCCCACAAAAATATCCGGTTGTCGGTAACCACTTAAGATATCACCAAATACCTGTATGTGCAATCAGTATCCTGCCCCTCACCACACCAACAGTATGTACGTGGTCTCTAGATGTTCACTGATCGTTATATTGTACAGAATACCTTAGCTGTAATTTCGGAATAGATAGCAATTAGCTTAATTCATTTATAAACTAATTTTAGGCAGTGAAGATTAAAAAATCCTTAAATCTACATCCAAGTCTTTCTAAAACACACTTCAGGTTTATTACTATAATGAAAGTCAGTGTAAGCTTGCTATATATATTTATTAGCATTCAAAAGGAATTTTCTCAAAGTTGTGATGAGTCATCATATTTTTTGTCAAAATTCCAATTTAACTAAAATTGACTTCTGAATAATAGAGCAACTTTGATTTTTATGGCAAACTTTACTGTTAATGCTTTTTGCAGCAAAATGTGCATTTTAAATTGTAGTTTCAAATTACCTGCAACCAATACAAAATATAGAAAATTGAAATAAATGGATATTTCATATCTAGAATATTCTATTTGTGAATTGATTTCTTCTTGGTCTTATACATAACTGCTGCTGATGAAACATTGCAAACCAGCCTGGCATCTATTTAGAAAAATTGTCTGAAATAATTGATGTGCATTGTACACATATAATGGTATAGTGCTTGGCTGGAGCTGCTATTTTCTACTTCTTGTGATATCATAGACAAGGAAATATTGTTCTCGTTAATTTTATTGTGTAGTACTTCAGGTTTTGTTTGATCCTGGGGACTGGAATCCTTCTGATTGTCGACAGGGTACTTTTGAGACATACTGAGTGTTTATTACGCAATCAGATTTTGTTTGTTTTTGATATTGTGTTAGACACTACATGATGCTCATTTAAGGCCTTGCAAACTTAGCATATCATAAAATATAGTTTTCTTTATTTTATTTAAGAATCAGAAATAATGTTCGAAAATACAACATTTTGGTTATGATGCAAAATTGCAAATCGTTTTAAAGAATTAATGAAAAATATTTTCAAATATTTTTATCTTTTGATAACAAGTTAAGCTTACAATCACAATCAAACTTTCTGTCTTCAAAATTTATTGAGTGATTTTCAAAAGCCTGTGGCTGCCAAAGCTAACAGTGGTTCAGGAGTTGGTGCTGGTAGTTCTCATAGTATTATAGTGTAAGCTGGTTTTCACCACTGTTGCTATCTATAACTCAGATATTTGTATGGAAGAGGATTTTTTTTCGGCTGTTAATGTTTGTTTCGGCATCTATAGATAGAAACTAGCTACACCATCTGCCATCCATAAGTACTCCTATTAGATGTGTAGAAGTCCTGACTGAGTAAGGATTTTACTCATTGAGAACATATCTTATAAGTGATCTAATGTAAATAAGGACTGATAAATCATATCATAATAATCAAGCTATTTATAAGAGAATTGATTTTTTGTACATCGTAAAAAACTTAAAAAGTTCCATTCTTTCTTTGATAAATATGTTTCCCATTTAGTGCTGTGCTTTCTGCAAGCTGCATATTATTGTAGTGCAGACAAGAAAAAGTCCTCTATCTTTTGTGAGTCTGGTATTTCATCTCAACAGTTGTTTAAGCCTGCTTGTGTATTTGTGTATTAGCGGAGATAACATACCAGCATAGAGTTGGTCAACCACACACAAACACACCCCTACAATGTTCTGCTGATGATTTCATAGCTAGTTCAATGCTTGTGTTGGTAGAATCAATATATTGATCCAGCTCCTACCTCTGGGTCACTTGTGTGTTTGATGACTCTGCTCCACAATACAGGGAAATGGATTACAACACTGCAAACTAATCAATATCACAAAGAATGAAATTGACATCATCAGTGTCACTAATGTGATGTGTAATATGCAAATCAGTCGTAAATTTTATATGCAGACATTTCTTGTTGTAAGGCATCACATGAATAATTCGGAGAAATTCGCTTCCTCTCAACTGCATCTTGTTGAACCGATCAATGTTAGCACTGCAGGATATGGGTGTGTAATGAATTATGTAAATAAGGAAAGGTCAAAAGATCAATATATACCTTGCCATTACGTCACGCTTGGGATAACTCCATTTTACAAATAACCAATGATTGGATGAGTAATATACTCAATAAAACAACAAACACAATTTTTTTATTAGTGTTTAATTTTTTGAATGCCAACCATTGTACAGTTGTAGCTGTTTTAACACCATATACCACAACACTACGGATGTCAACAATTTCATTTCCGGGAGAAAGTATTACATTTGGACTGTTATGATTCATTCTCAATTCCTCTGTCAGAATATTAATGAATCATTTGCTTTTAATTTGTAAAATACTATTTAAAGTAGCTCAGTTACCGTTTTCATTTTCTGATTTCATGAATACACTCAATGTACTTAATTATATCTTTCATGTTTTTGTTCTTTTTAAGATAGAACATTTGTTCATAGTTATGAAATTAGATCAATTATTTTTTTATTCTAGCCTAACCATTTATAATCCCAGGTAAACGCAAACATAAATAAGAACTGTGTTTGAAATTATTTTTTCTACCTAAAGCTTAGAATACATCAAATACATTAAGTACCATTTTTGTACTGCAATAATCACAGGGGGAAGGTGGAGGGAGTGGGGGGGACAAAACATTGTCCTCAAAATCCGAGTTTCGGGACAGACTAACTGTAGGATGCTGATAATGTGTTGGTAATACCAGGCATGGGCTTATTGCTAGATAAATAGAGTACTTGATTGTCCTATGTATACTTTCAACACTGGAAATTTGTCTTGATTATAGGATTATATGACTGACCTTTATCATTGTCTGACTCCAGTGTAGTTGGTGGTCAGTCCCTATCAATTATGCATTACGTACCATAATATTTTCTTGATACAGAGTTATCGCCCTTTGGAGAATTCTTAATACAGAGTTATTGCCCTTTGGAGAAATGAAAAATCAATAGTTAACTTCAAAGACATTTTCTCTGTCTAGACTACTCTAAAATGTTTTCTTGTCTTAAATTAACTTAATTATTGAAATCTTATCTACTCTTTTACATATGAAATAGGGATTTGATCAGAGACTTTTTCCTATATGATATACATGCTTCAATGAATTAAATACAAATTTCCATGATTAGGTTTATTATTGATTAGATAAATTGATAAATATTTTTTCTGTACTATGTTTATCTAGTGAGAGGGGTTAGCTTTCCTCAGTTTGATTTCAGTTTCTAACAAATTAAAGTTGATGTGTCAGTTTAAGTTCAGTTGGCTACCTTGTTAGTTACCTGTGATGTTCTCTTACAGAATGGGTTAAATGCACTTCATCTTGCGTCCAAGGAGGGACATATTAACATCGTAACAGAACTCCTGAAACGTGGTGCTAATGTCGAAGCCGCCACCAAGGTAATACATGGACTGCTCCTAAAAGAGTAACTATAAGGATAAAACAATGATCAATCCTTACCCTGTCAAAGCGGGAAGGAAAATTCAGTGTAACAGTGTACATGAATTTCATGTTAATTGTTTGACAGCGTATTGGCATATATCTGCAAAAGAATGCAATTCAAGATTTTTTCTGTAAAGAAGTTATTTTTTCATGAATTTATTGCAGAAGATTTCTTTTCTATCAAGTAAAAGTTTAAAAAAAATGATGACAATGATTTTAAATTCATATATTTTCCTATTTCAATTTTGATCCCGAAGTAGTTTTGCGGAAGGACCTAGGATTCAAGATTTCATTTACATACAGTTTAATGGTATTATGTTAACAGAAAGGAAATACAGCTCTCCACATTTCATCCTTGGCGGGCCATGAGGAAATCGTCACGCTTCTCGTTGAAAATGGGGCCAAAGTTAACGTTCAAGCTCAGGTAAGAACAATTCTAAGTGAAGGATTCGGTATTAGTCCAAATTGCAAACCAGTATCATTGAGGTTTAGAGGTCCAACATTACTCAAAATACTTACCAGTTGGTTTGATCAAACATATTCATGAGACCCAAAATATTAAGGGCAATCTTATATATGATTTTTATACAATCTAATTTTACTTAACTTGTGGTCAATTTTCCAATCCTCTAATTTCTGTTTTTGTCCACAGATGGGTTTCACTCCCCTGTATATGGCAGCCCAAGAGGGTCACTCAGAGGTGGTCAAGTTTCTGCTGGCCAGTGGAGCTAACCAGAGTCTTGCCACAGCTGTAAGTTTCATTCTTACATCTGACCGTTACCAATGACCCATCAGATGCTTAACGTAGACGTCATTTGCGTGATAATGACATTACGATGTCATAGCTATTTAGCCCAACGAACGGAAGTTTGGTGTTACATTGCATGCCAGGCAAATTAGCCTTCAAGCAGTTACCATCAGTTTACACAGAGAACTTGTCAACCAGGATGTTTTTCGCTGTCTCCCAGAGCTTTAGTGTATAATGATAATACAGAATTACAATGAACAAAACTTTTATTAGGTACTCAGTGTTTAAAATCATTATATAAAATTTGATAATTGAATGGAGAAATGAATAATTTACTGTATTAGTTTAAACTGTGGAGTCAGGTAATTCCTTTATCTGCTTTATACATAACTTGGTAACTTTTTCAGGATGGATTCACTCCCTTGGCTGTAGCTCTTCAGCAAGGACATGAACGTGTGGTAAGCTGTCTGCTAGAACATGACACAAAAGGACGTGTCCGTCTACCAGCATTGCACATCGCTGCAAAGAAGGATGACATCAAATCAGCAGCCCTTCTCCTGCAGAACGAACAGAACAACGTAGACTCCCAAACTAAGGTACAAATTTTATCTTTTTTTTCTCCAATCAGTTTATGTGTAGACCTAGACAATGCTAATGGCTGTCCACTCCCGCTGGCATATATATTTCTTATGTGTTAAATGAAGTTGTCCTTTAAGACGCATGTTTTGTATTTTTCGACAATCTTATTGTGTTCTTGTCTTTGATCAATAAGGATATCTAAGGAGTCATGTTTACAAGATGGCTGCCGAGATGTCATCACACCATAGATCAGCCTTGTTCAAATCCAGCATTATCATCTTCATACCAACACACGTAGATACAAAGATGTTACTGTATTGAAGAGCAGATGACGGAGTTTGTTTCTAGGAGGTTTAGTTTACCAAAGTGCAGTTTGAAAGAAGGAAAGATGAAATAAACTTCAGCTATCAAATGTGTATGAAACTGAACAGAAAAAGATACAGAAATATTTCATCAAAGGCTTAATACCTCCATCATAATGGATTTCTCTGGATTTTCAAAACGGGATTAAAAAAAGTAAAATTTGACGATATTCCTGAATAGTCATCCATCAATCCTAGAAGATCACCACGATATGTGTCCATCATGCGATAATCCGGACTCACAGATCCACGATAACATAAGACACAATACACACTTGGTTGGTGCACAAAATGAAGAATATGGATCTATATACAAATCATATACCAAAGAAAACTCAAATTGAGATTGAGATCATACTCCATGATCTATGTACGAAATGTACTCACGTGAACCGACGGTGATCAAGAAAAATTTGGTTTTGGTTTTGATTGGCAGATTTTAAGCGGAACTGGTTAGGATTATTCATACTATAACCTAGGTGACACTGTTACAGAGATTACAAAACTTATGAGAAATGGGACAGTTAAGAAAAAAAATCGGTTTTTACAGGTAGACATAAGTCAACTGCAATTAACTTGTAGTAAAGTATATCATGTAGTTGTGTATGTGTTATAAATTAGAAATTAAAAGTTGAATGACGACTACAAATTTTTTTGTTTTTGTTGACATCTATGTAGGTGTATTTAAGGGAAGAAAATACAAGTTTGAATTGACTTAAAGGATGTACAGCTACAATAAACCAAATTATACTACAGAAATGTTGGAATAGAAAAAAATTGGTTGTTACTTAGACATAAAAGTAAAAAGGGTAAAGTAATATGTGAGTACATAATACTTCAATAATAATCCTAAAAATTGAAATATCATTAGTTTGTTTAGAGAGGAAGACTTAATTCAGATGTATCCAAAGACTGACTTTAGTGTAGTCAAACAGTAATTAAGTATGGGTCACTTTAGCAGGGCATATCTTGAGTAGTACACCAAATGGGGGTGTTTTAGTGAATCTTGAGGTTGAGATTCCGAAACATTTTGGCTGTAACAACTCCAGTTGCCCAAAGCAGGACTTTGTGTAAAAAGAGCATTTGGTATCTGTGACAGTGTCTCTGGACCACAAAAGCAAAGACATGGTCTATAACAGTAGCATTTGTGATCATTGTGAATGACATAATCACATTTATAGACCTACAGTAAAAAGTATAAAAGTTTCACTGTAAGGTAGATGCGCTCATGCCAAAGTCGTCACAAGACCCAACTTAGATAGACTTCTGTAAGCAACCCGACAAAAAGACTGTGTCGCTGATATATAGAGAAGAACCACATATGTTGAAGTATTGTCGACAGGAAATAAGTACTGACAGAATCCAAAAAAGGTGTGCAAAGCCGATAATGATCTCACAATAACATGGCCAGAGAGTTAGTCAGATGTTCTGATCGTGATGGCCCCAACCACATAAAAAAAATATTGATTCAGAAAATACTACAAAAATTGAGACAGGAGTTCTCAAGCAACCAAGTATCACACTCTGCTAATAGGTTAACCTTTGTTGAAACATATACAGCAAAATGGACACGCCACAACACAGGTGCAAAGACTTGCCAAAATCTGAACAATCCTAGAATGACTAAACATTTGCGAGATCGGCCGCCGACCAAAGAATCATTCCACGTGTAAGAGGAAATGACATTTCCAGTGGTCGCATGCAGACAGAAATATGTGGTGACTATGATCATCCAACAAATTATGTTACAAAATATTGAAGTTGTCTTTGTTGCTCTTACCCCTAAGGCAAGACTGTGGTGCAACAAGTACAAACACTTCTAGAGATATGAATTGGAGGATGGAGTATATGTAGAAGAGGAAAACTGCCAAATAATTGAACTACATTTATGATGGGATACTCCTGGCAAACTAGGGTGCACCATTCTCCCTAAAAAAAATCTGGAAAAATATCTTTCCAGTGGAGTTTTATGACGGAAGCGATTTGAATCTACATCCAGGCACTGATCATTCTGTAGAGAGAGTGGTCATGTTCCAAATGTCTTAAAATAAGTTATACTTGTCCTGACAATCAAATTTTAATATGGAAATATGTTCCTTCAGTACTCCAAATGATCATATCCGAGTAACCCAGATTTTACCACAGATGGAAGAGTGCCATGTTAATAGCATTAAGTGACCACTGTCCTGTATGTGGTCAGTCAAATCAACCAGCCTCTACAATTTATACAATCACTTGCAGATTGTTTAGAAAATTTCATGAACGATATTTTCCAATGGACTTGGTATTGACAAATCCTCATAAAATTTTCCGGAAAGGAGAACGTAATGAAGTTTTATTTCTTCATTACCTGAGTGATACCTTCAAATTAATCATATATCCGTCAAATAAAAAAAAAAGTAAAAATTACCTTTAAACAACCAATCTGTAATCTGTCACACAAGAAATGTTTGAGATATGAACGGCCAAAAATAAAAATATGGCAGATTCATACTTTTGAATCTATCTGTACCTAGTTTGCAGTGGTTTACATCCTACTTCACTGAGAAGACTCTGTTAATGTAACCACATAGTATGATTAACTCCAAATACTTAATAAAATCTGGGGTGCCTCAAGGATCTATTCTTGATCCACTTAAGTTTCTCATGTGAGAAACTGTGATGAAGATTTGTATGCTGATGATACTACCATTTATATAAAAGAAAGTTCTACAGAATTGTATAACCTGTGAAAATTGTGGATGAGTTTATGAAAAAAAAAAACAAAAAAACAATTACAATGTACCAATGGGAAGTAGGAGAATCTTAGCAGGAGAATAACTCGGACTCATAGCCATTGTGACAATACGATCATTGATACATGGACATTGTGTTTCACAAAAACGGTAACATCATTGCAACATGGACATTGTGTTTTCACAAAAATGATACGATCATTGCAACATGGATGTTGTGTTACACAAAAACGGTACGATCATTGCAACATGGATATCGTTTTTCACAAATAGTGTCATATACCTATGCAATGTAGGCAATCATAGCTTTATTTACTTAAAATGTTTACTGTGTGTTTCAAATGTATTTATTGTGTATATATATACATATTGAGTGAAGGCCATTTAGATGATGAGAACATACTGAACTTGTCACCCTCAGAAAATAAAGTGTCATTACTATTTCATTCTTTTCATCAACTTGTCTGTTTTAAAAATTGACAAAATTTAGGGACTAATATTTTGAATCTACTATTGTGGCATTATACAAAGATAAGTTCAAGTTTTAAAGTATAAATTTTAAAGTTTAAAGTTAAATTCCTGATAATGTTAATATGGTCACTGTAATCTATTTATTTATACTAAATTTGAACCTGAAGGGTATTGTCTTAAGCATATATTGAAACATTGTCCATATTCTTATAACCATGCTAAACAGAGCGGCAGTTTGGTTAACGACACCACTAAGGTTTGTATCCATGGAAACTCTCCTAATTTCTCTTTGTTTGTCTCAAATTTGAGTTTTCAGTTGAATTTCTCTCACAGGAAACATTCTGTTGAACGTTTTTTCTTTCCTGTCTTCTCCAAGTTATTTCCAAGTTAATGTGTGCAAATTTCATTTATTTTTTTGTGGTTTCTCTAAAGAAATTTTCCTTTGTTTTATTTTTTACTTCTCAGTTTTCTATCATATATTCAAGAATTTACATTTTTCTGTAAACTTTCTAAAGTATTGTATATAGCTATTTCCATCTCCAAGCACAGATGTATTTAGTTAAATCCTTGTATCTGCTTTATATTGATTTATTTCTCAATTTCTTAGTTGCGATACTCGATTTTCTTTCACAAACATGTTGACAAACAAATTTTATTAAGTTCAAATTGATCTTTCAGTGCTGTATATGATTTCTACTGTCTTGTTATATTCAGTGATTCAATTAAACCTTATAAATGTGTAGAAAATTCTTGTTTTATGTATATCATATGAATTATTTAATTTTCCACTTAGTAAATGTGACCAATGAAATGTTCCTCTTTCTTACCTTGTTATGAGTTATGAAACATTCCCTTGGAGTTTATCATCCCTGAAAGTTTAAAGAAATTCCTTGAATATAATGCATATTAGATTTTATCTGGCTCAAATCTCTTAAGAAAAGAATTTAATTTTTTTCAAGATAATTTCCATTCACAAGTTAATTTTTGTTTTTATATATCTATTTGGGAGGAAAAAATGTCGTTTGTATTTCTCTAAAAAAAAGTTTTGACAGTTTATATTCAAAATGAAATTTTAGAAAGTGACAATACTGGAAAATCATAAATTTTTGCTGGGATCAAAATTTGTGTTTAAAAAAAAAAATGCATTTTCGTTGGTGCTTGATTTTGTAGCTGTATCTTATTAAACTAACTTGTATTTAATTTGTGTCAGTTTTGATCAGTTTATTGTTTTTCATTTTGCAGACTTCTGAATTTTTGGTATTAAGAGTGAGCAAGCAATCAGCAAAACCAACAACCCTGCAAAAATTTATGATTTTGCAATACTTTTCTTTCATCAGGATTTGAGCCTGATAGAAATATTGATAAGAATGATATTTCAAGTTCTGCATAATTTATCTGATTGTAATGATATTTCTGTGTGATAATAAAGTGTATTTTTAAGTTTAGTTAAGTTTAAGATAAAAATATTAATTCTGGAAAAAGCGAAATTAATCTTCAATTTAAAATTTTAGAATTTTTATTGATGATGTGTTATTTCATAATCTGGTCAATTTTTTTTCACATGTAAGCTATTTTTTTCTTAGAATTTAATATTCTCGCTAGAATTTCTGCTTATCTAGAAAATCGCTAATTTTCTTTAGAATTTAAACTGTCGACAAAATGCAAGCTAGACTAAGCATCTGCAAACTTTATTTTAAGAGTGAAAAAAATCGTGATGATTGATAGTTGATCGCAAAACACAGTTTCACAGCGATGTATACATATTGGTGTATGGAAGGTACTGAGTATTTGTTGGAATGTGAATCTTGTGAAAATGTGAAATGCTTATTGCAGCTGCTGCAGATGTAGGTAGCAGAGCATCTGTATTTTTTTTCGTAACAACAGGCACAGATGATAATAGTTGTACATCTACAGCTCGTGTATATGTGTCAGCTTGGGTTTGTCAGGCAATTTTTGTGATATACATGGTTGGGGCCTGGCTGATAGGGATTTATTTCTTCCTTTAAGTCTGCATACAGGTACAGGGCCTGTCAAGGGCTTACATCATTTACATGTGTAGGGAATGTCAAGGATTTATATCTCATATGTACAGGGCTTTTCAAGGGTTTACGTAGGCATGTACAGAGTTTGTCAGGGACTTAATGTAATACATGTTCAGGGTTTTGGAAATACATCTGATATATGTGCATCATCGATGATTTACATCTTATACAAGCACAGGTCTTTACAAACCTTTCTTATGGTATACATATATAGAACTTTTCATTCGAGGTTGGGTCTCCTTGTAGTAGCAGGTGGTCACCTGACCGAACATTATAAGGGAGGCCCATTGCATTATATCCAAACCAATCACGGGGTAGAATGTCTTGCCCTAGGTCAAGACCATTACAGCACAGAAGGATTTCTGATCTCAGTGTCATTAGAAACATGGACAAAACACCCAGGGTATGGAATCGAACCACACACCTCAGATTTATTGACCTGAGGAACATTGTTAAAACTGGCGTTCTGCTGACTGAGTTATGTAATTACACATTATGCATAAAAGAGAGTTTTATGGGATTTTTCACGTTATACATGGGCAGGGTAGTCTGGAGATTTGTATTAACACACCTGTCCGGTGTTAACTCATTACATACTTACACAGTTTATTAAGGTTTTGATAAAGGGACTCTCAGAGGCTTACATATACATGAACAGGGCCTTTCAGACTGACTTCCAAGTTATACATGTTCAGATTTCTATCATAGACATGTATTGTAGTGTGTTTTAGCACATTTGTAACAGGTGCTTTGTTTATCTAGAAACAGCTCCGAAATAATGGCTCTCAGGGTGATAAAATACAGTGTTATGTTGGTAACTAAGTCTAGAAGGAATTCTGACAGCAGATTATGTAGGTGTTGCGAAATAAATGGCGATATGTTTGTATCTTGAAAAATTAGATAAAAGGTGCAATTCTATATGTTTATATCGTAAAGTGCATGGAAACTTGACTGATTTAAAAGTTTACACATGCTACGTTTCAAAGTTGGATTCTAAAAGTACCGTTGTAAAATATTGCAAGATTAGTAGTAATAATTTTTTTTGTGTCATATTGAATAAGAAAAAGTAGATATCTTTATAATATATGGGATGGGTGTTTTAGCCATGTAACCACGGGATGCTCCTGTATTAGTGGTGTTGTGATAGTTGATGGTATAGTAATGTGCTACTAAGTGTTTTCTATCTGTTTAGACAAGTCAACCAGTGCGAGCTGAAAGCTATTATGATGGAGTAGATCTACATTATCTATAGTCTGCACACTTTTAACTATTTCTAAATCAGTTTCAAAAATCACGTCCAGGTTTATAGATCTTGTACCTTTCATACTAACACATAATATGGCTAACAGAATATCTTCATGATTTCTTCCACGAAATGGCCCTGATGCGATTCTTGATAAACTTAACCCAAGCCTCTTAGGGTGGAAAATTCATAACTTAATTCTCTCCCTTGCTCTTTAACTTATAAGAGTAGAAATGTTTCGTTAATTTTTTTTTTTTTTTTGTTCCGGAGGGGGTTTGGAGAGGGAGGGTGTTGCTTTATAAACGAAAATTATTTGGTTTATCTGATACTGCTGGCTAGACTCAATATACAGACTTTTTATGATGCATTGTATCAAGATGGCTATAGATAAATCTAATCCATTAAGATTTAATTTTGTCTTTGACTTTTAATGAATCACTGTTAAAAGATGATTTGAACCAATTATCTGAACCTCCCCTGAGTGTATCCCAGACTTTGTTTGTTTTTGATGTATGAAGTATGTACTGTGATTGAAATGTGACATTTGTGATATTTTAAAATCTTAAATCCCTCTGTTGTACAACAATTTTTTTGTACATGTATTTGACTCATAAAATATTCTATTATATATGAATCCTTTGTGAAGAATTTTCTTCTAGTTTGGAGACTTGGTATATGATTTAACAATAGGCAGTTGATAATCTTCTACATGTATGTTTTAGTTATGAAAATTTGTCTGACGATCAAAAATTGAAAAGGACAAATTAAAAAAAAAAAAAAGTGCTTGTAATATCTTTGTAAGGACAGTCAAAAATGAAATAATTATTGCAAAAACAATGGCCAAAATCAGTCCTTGAAGGAGGTGACTTTTTGCCTTCGAGTTTACGCAGTATCTTTGTATTGTGAATTACATTTATGTGTAAAATCTGTTTTTGGGAATTGAATTTGAGAAAATTTCAATTTAGTTTTTTAAAAACAGTTTAAAAAGAAAAAAAAAACAAATGATATAAAGAATTAAATGTATTTACTGGTATGTGATTTATTTACAGAGCGGATTCACACCCCTGCATATTGCTTCTCACTACGGCAACATCAATGTGGGCTCACTTCTCATCTCAAAGGGAGCAGACGTCAACTACAAAGCTAAAGTTAGTGATTCACAGTTTGACCTTGAGAAATTAATATGACCTTCCTATCTCTGTAAATATTAATTAATGTGTAGACACCATTTATGATTCAACTTACAGTACATGCACTAACTTCTCATAGTTTAAACACTTTTTTCTACCACAAAAGAGTTACACAGCAAAGGAGAATAAATCTGACAAAGAAATTTTAAATATATTGTAGACAAATTCTAGTCTTAAGTCCCTGCCTGAAGGAGCCTAGGAAATTTAACAGAGAAATATATATATATATATGTTTTTACTGTAGTATGTCAACATATATTTATAGACTTGTAAATGAAATGCTTGGAAAGTTCATTATAGCTGTAATGTAAGAAAAAAAAGTCCAATAGTAAAAATATTTCATTTTCTCTCTGGCGCAAAGCCCTTAGATTATTTTTGGGACATCTGATGAAAACTTATGCTGTAGAATATATCCTTAGATTAATTTAAAGTGTCTGTTAAGATTTTGAAAGCTATTTGTTAAAACACAGAATTTGTTGTTCTGATCAAAGTGTGTGGCCTGCATGATGTATTGTGTATAAGTTTCCACTATGTTCTTCCTGAAATTGCGTGACCTTGATAGTTACACATGATAATATGTAAATTTCACGGTGATAAGAGTCCTGTTTAAATTAAGTAATCGGTGATTACGATTTTTTGTTGTTGTTTTTTTTTTCTGACTGTTGGCTACGGCCTGTTTCAGAATAACATCACCCCACTCCATGTGTCATCGCGATGGGGTAAGGACAAGATGGTTATCTTACTGCTGGATAATAAAGCTTCCATTGACGAAAGGACCAGGGTGAGTTTTAGTATAATATGGTACATGGAATGAACACGGTTGCGATCATTTATTAAACCAAATGGTTTGTCAATTAATTAAATAAAACACATGTGGACAACATAATAGGCCTCAAAACGCTTGTTCAAGTCTCATCAGAAAGCAAAATTTGAAAGGAAAAAAAAATGATCATTTAGACAGTCCTTAAATCATTATGAACAATTGAGGTCCAACAGGTTCAATTGCAGATTAAAAACAGCCTCGATTACAGGACAATAAATTTGTATCCATTTATACATCATCTGATTGAGGTATGTCCAAACAGGTATCATCTATTCACAAATATGAGAGCTGCAAATTCTTTGATTTTATTGTCGATGTTTTCGTCCTCAGGATGGTCTGACTCCACTCCATTGTGCAGCTAGAAGCGGTCATGAGAATGTGGTGGACCTTCTCCTAGAGAGGGGAGCACCATTCTCAAGTAAAACTAAGGTGAGAAGTCAAATAGATATTTCTCAATATAAAGCTTTCATCTTGGTAATTCTCATCAAACATACAGTTACTGACTTTTTATGAAGTTGATATACAGACATATCAACCTAAGTAAATAAGCTGCTGTTGTAAAAATAGAATTAATACGAATAATGATCAAAACGAAAGATGTTTGGTTTAGTAATACATACATCTAGTATTGTATTGCATGCCTAAATGTAAATGGATTTTCCACAGAACGGACTGACACCTCTGCACATGGCTGCCCAGGGTGACCATATGGACTGTGCCCGTCTTCTTCTGTACCACAGGGCACCTGTTGATGATGTCACAGTGGTAAGTGTTGCATCCCAAGGGTATGAGGTCAAGACCTGTTCACTGGTAGCCCACTGCTGTCTCAAAAGTAACCTGTTGGGTTGTTAGGTGGTTTAAAACTCTGATAATCTCCAGTCTAGGAGTGTTAGGATCTTATGTGATAAATAGCTTTGATATGACAGCAAAATAAATTCGAATTTGTCTATTACAAGACCATAATGCAAAAAAAACCTTGATTTTGTGGTGAAAGTTATTTAAAACTCAACCCTTTGGTTTTAAAATTCTCCATAAAGCCTTCAGTGCTTGCTAGAATTATCTTTCCTTAAATATACCGTAATTAAGATATAATGTATGCTTTGCTATATAACAAACTTGTGTCCTCTTTGATGATACCGAGTTCTCTATTCTGTATGTGCTTTCAGGACTATCTGACTCCACTTCATGTGGCAGCTCACTGTGGAAATGTGAAGACCGCCAAACTTCTTCTGGACAGGAAGTGCGACCCCAACACAAGGGCTCTGGTGAGTTGTCATTCAACTATCGTCAATCAGATTACAAAGTAGATAAATATAAAGAACTTCTATGAAAGCTTGAAGCATGTCAGTATTAGATTCCAGTCCAAATGTTTCATGTACTAGTTTTCAGAAACGTAATTGGTAGTGTTGTATTTAATACCATTGCATACTTTTCTGATTTTTTTTTTGTAATTTTAGAACATTATAAGGTAAAAGGAACCTTGTTCATACAGACAATGAAATATCAACATTTGATTATTACAGAATGGATTTACACCTCTACACATCGCATGTAAGAAGAACAGAATCAAGGTTGTTGAGCTCCTTCTCAAATTTGGCGCCAACATTGAGGCCACCACAGAGGTAAATACTTCTCCTGTACACGTAGACCCTTTAAAGATTGCCTCTGCATTCTCTTCTGATCTGTTAGAAATTCCTTCAACATTCTCTTCTGACCCATTAGAGATTGCCTTAAAATTCACTTCTGATCCATAAGGGAATCAATGGCAAGGGCTGTTTTAATCCTGACAATTTAATTGGTCATTATATATGTTTTTTTTTCTTCATTTCCAGTCTGGCCTTACTCCACTTCATGTGGCGTCATTCATGGGTCACATGAATATTGTGATCTACCTGATCCAGAACAACGCCAACCCAGACTTCACCACAGTGCGTGGGGAGACCGCCCTCCATCTGGCCGCTCGTGCTAATCAGACCGACATCATCAGGATCCTCCTCCGCAATGGGGCCAGTGTAGACGCACGTGCTAGGGTAAGTATTGTATATGTGACAACATATTTTAGGTGTTCATCGTATGACACCCTGTTATTGGTGTTGGCCATGTAACACCTTTTTGTAGGTGTTGGTCATGTGACACCTGATTATAGATGGTGGTCATGTGACACCTGGTTGTAGGTGGTGGTCATGTGACAACTGGTTGTAGGTGTTGGTCATGTGACACCTGATTATAGATGGTGGTCATGTGACACCTGGTTGTAGGTGGTGGTCATGTGACACCTGGTTGTAGGTGTTGGTCATGTGACACCTGATTATTGATGGTGGTCATGTGACACCTGGTTGTAGGTGGTGGTCATGTGACACCTGGTTGTAGGTGTTGGTCATGTGACACCTGATTATTGATGGTGGTCATGTGACACCTGGTTGTAGGTGGTGGTCATGTGACACCTGATTATAGATGGTGGTCATGTGACACCTGGTTGTAGGTGGTCATGTGACACCTGATTATAGATGGTGGTCATGTGACACCTGGTTTTAGGTGTTGGTCATGTGACACCTGATTATAGATGGTGGTCATGTGACACCTGGTTTTAGGTGTTGGTCATGTGACACCTGATTATAGATGGTGGTCATGTGACACTTGGTTGTAGGTGGTGGTCATGTGACACCTGGTTGTAGGTGTTGGTCATGTGACACCTGATTATAAATGGTGGTCATGTGACACCTGGTTGTAGGTGGTTGTCATGTGACACCTGGTTGTAGGTGTTGGTCATGTGACACCTGATTATTGAAGGTGGTCATGTGACACCTGGTTGTAGGTGTTGGTCATGTGATACCTGATTATTGATGGTGGTCATGTGACACCTGGTTGTAGGTGGTGGTCATGTGACACCTGATTATTGATGGTGGTCATGTGACACCTGGTTGTAGGTGGTGGTCATGTGACACCTGATTGTAGGTGGTGGTCATGTGACACCTGGTTTTAGTTGTTGGTCATGTGACACCTGATTATTGAAGGTGGTCATGTGACACCTGGTTGTAGGTGTTGGTCATGTGACACCTGATTATTGATGGTGGTCATGTGACACCTGGTTGTAGGTGGTGGTCATGTGACACCTGATTATAGATGGTGGTCATGTGACACCTGGTTGTAGGTGGTCATGTGACACCTGATTATAGATGGTGGTTATGTGACATCTGGTTGTAGGTGGTCATGTGACACCTGATTATAGATGGTGGTCATGTGACACCTGGTATTAGGTGTTGGTCATGTGACACCTGATTATAGATGGTGGTCATGTTGCACCTAGTTGTAGGAGGTGGTCATGTGACACCTGCTTGTAGGTCATGGTCATGTCACACCTTTTACTGGGTGGTGATCACATGACACCCTGTACTGTATAGTGGTAATGTGACATTTTCTCCTGTTTGACAGATGTCATGTGACTGTCTCTGGTGACTGGAGAATCTGCCTGTCCAGGAAGTGATGTATATCACCTCTTGAACCTGTCTGTGGTGCAGCTCTTGGTATTGATTGTGTGTCTCAGTGACTAAGTGTAGGCCAGAACTATTGATTTTGATTGTCTATTACCAGAGTCTACATTCACAGGATGTGCAAAACCTACAGCCATACAGTACACAGGAATTCTGTAGCAAAACAAAATACAAACCAATTCTTATAAAAGATGCATTTGGCTGATAGAGGAATGAGTTATGCAAACGGTTTATCTACTGGTTCGCGGATATCGATTTGTACAGCACATAAAATGTCTGCTGGAGGTTCATATTGCTTCAGCGAGAAATTTGCTGACCTGGGTAGTTTTCCACGGAGTTAAACAACAAATGCAATTCTGCTCTATACAATGTATGATTGATTCTTTGATAAAAAGTCTGTGGTGAAAGCAAACTAAAACTAAGGGAAATGATTAGCGTCCACTTAATATAGATGTTACGAGGAGAACTCCTTCACTCTGTCAAGTGTTTGTGGTAACTAGAAATTTCTTAACACTGTAAAATAAATTATAGTTTGATAAATGTTTGTGGTGAAAAGATTTCCACTTGATCAAGCCTGCAGAATTAGATGATGTTTTCAAGGTAATGTTCAAAATTATGATAATGAAAATCTAACTTGGTTACATGTTGCAGGGAATTTTTAACATGTTTAGGAGGGATAAAAAGTGTTATTTTTTATTCATTAAATTCTTGGTTTCCCTCAGTGAAGTTTTTTGTCATTCTCATTTAAAAATCTCTGTCCTCATTAATTTTTTTTCATTCCATCTCGATGAAAAGTTTGTGGTTGTGCTTGAGTGTTTTAGACATGACTAGTAATACATTTAGCGACCAAGTTCATTTGCCGGTGTCTGTAGCTTCTGTCGTGTTTTTATGACTATCTGCCAATTTGTGTGAGATGTACACTGTTAAGTGTTATGGTGTCTGGTTGCTTGGCAACAGAAATATAACAACGTCCTACTCTGAGGCTGGCTGTTTTACAAATGACATGAGTTTAGTCCTACTAAACTTGACAGAAACCTGTGTCTGTATTAGAGGCCTCTGATATTAACCAGTAACTTAATCAAGATTCTCAGCCTATACTATTTATTTAAGGATGTGACAAAGCATTCATTAACCACACCCAATACACAAAATAAACATCAAACATAGCCTGAAGTCAACAAAGAGTTTATCTGGAAATAAACAACTGTGAATGCTCTCTAAGACACACAGCTCAGGACTACACAGGGTGAATCAGGCAATATTTAGGATGTTTACCGTACTTGTCCCTATAACAACCCTATACTTGTATATAGAAAATTTAAACAGCGTGTATTAGGTGATATTTAGGGTGTTTATGGTACTTGTTCCTACTATGTCCCAGTACTTGTCATGGTAAACACAGCGTGTATTAGGTGATATTTAGGGTGTTTATGGTACTTGTTCCTACTATGTCCCAGTACTTGTCATGGTAAACACAGTGTGTATTAGATGATATTTAGGGTGTTTATGGTACTTGTTCCTATTATGTCCCAGTACTTGTCAAGGTAAACACAGGGTTTATTAGGTGATATTTAGGGTGTTTATGGTACTTGTTCCTACTATGTCCCAGTACTTGTCATGGTAAACACAGCGTGTATTAGGTGATATTTAGGGTGTTTATGGTACTTGTTTTGTATGAGGAAGGTTTACCTATATACACCTTGTATATAGAAAGCTCAAACAGAGTATGACAGACACAAAACAGTTAAATGTAAATCTGTTAAATGTAATATAGACTGTTATCAGTTATCTTTTCTGTGTCTTGTATCAGAAATTTAAGACCAGATTCCACCAAGGAAATTCTGCTCCACATAATTTTGTTTTGTAAATGGATTTATTTGAGTCTATAAGTTCCGATGGCGGTAAACTGGATTGAGGTATTTATATGCATTAACACCTTGTACTGTACAATTTTTTTCTTCCATACTTAGACATGTAGAGGTCATTGCTTCAATTTGTATTCCTGTTTTTTTTTCTGGTTCCTTCATTACCAAAAACATAAACTTTCAAATAAGTTTTGTTGAACATGTGATTACAAGAATCTGCAAAGTGATGTTCAGCTTGATTTTGAATTGGTCGATATCTTTTTCTCATACCTCATGTCCACCTCATCAAGTGTCTGTAACTGATGTTTATCAGGTCACCAACACCTTAATTAAAATGCATCTTGATTTGTATCAATATTTATCAGAGTGTTTGTGTATTTCAGGAACAACAAACTCCTCTACATATTGCGGCAAGACTCGGAAACGTGGACAATGTGACACTACTCCTTCAACATGGAGCCTCACCTGATGCCGTCACCAAGGACTTATACACGCCCCTCCACATCGCCTCCAAAGAGGGACATGAAGAGGTGGCATCCGTTCTTCTTGACCAGGGAGCTACGCACAGCCTCACCACAAAGGTTGGAAGATTTGTTATTTTTCCTTTGTATAAATGTAGACTCAAAATTTTCAGAAGGAAAGTCAGTTTGCGTACCTTACGAGTGTGGTTTTATGGAAGTGAAGATTTTACACAACATAATAGATATAAGTTATTATTGATGTGAGACTTTTTATCACAACCAAGGATTACAATGAAATCAATCAATTAATAAATGTTATGTATTATCGTTTTACAGAAAGGATTCACGCCTCTTCACATTGCCTCTAAGTATGGGAACATCAAGGTGGCACGACTGTTGCTGCAGAAGGATGCAAATCCTGATGTCCAGGGCAAGAATGGCCTGACACCCTTACATGTGGCCACTCACTACAACCATGTCAGTGTGGCACTCTTGCTGCTGGACAATAAGGCATCACCACACAGCAGTGCCAAGGTAAGTCTCTGACACAGGCTATCTTAGAGGACACCTACTGTAGCAGATTGTCTGTAGATTACCCTAGACTGTCATGCTGGTCAGAAGTCGTTAATGGACACCAGAGAGTACCAGACACTATTATATCTGACTATGTGAACACAATGTTCAACACAGGCATAAACAGGCCACTACAGGCAAAAACTAATTGTCACTGTCAGAAAAAGATCATAACAGATGATAACAGGCAACCGCAGGCAAACAAAGCGAATCACAGGCAAAAGGAGGCCATCACAGGCAAAAAATAACTGTTACTGTCAGAAAAAGGCCATAACAGGCAAACACTACTTGTAAAAGGCACAGAACAGTAATAACAAGCAACCACAGGCAAAAACATCCCATCACAGGTGAAAAATCCTATCATTGGCAAAAACATCCTATCACGGGTGAAAACATCCTATCATTGGCAAAAACATCCTATCACAGGTGAAAACATCCTATCATTAGCAAAAACATCCTATCATTGGTCATCACAGGCAAACGCTACTTGTCAAAGACATAAAAAGCAATATTCAAGCAACCACAGGCAAAAACAGGTGAAACAGACAAAACTTGATAAAAAAGCACATTGATTGTCACAGAGACAGCAAGCTCTGATATAAAACATATTGGGAGAAGAGTGTAAATGATCAGTAGACATTGACCATGTAGTGGTACCTGCTACACATTGGATCTCAAGAACTCAAGACAGCTTGGATATTTATTTTTATTATATATCCATCATTAGTACATTTCCTGATTAGTGCTATCAAAACAGAATTCACTCCCTTGGGTCTATGATCTATAACGTTTTCCTCAGAGCAAAAATCTCTTTTATGATTTTTCCATGCTGTTGATGAAAGTAATGTATAATGGTAATATGGCTTTAAATTTAACACAATTCTTTTGTATTGCGGTGTTCTTAATGAAATCATTGTATAATGGCAACATGTCTGAATTTTACAGAATGGATATACACCACTGCACATTGCTGCTAAGAAGAATCAGATGGACATTGCCACAACTCTGTTAGAATTCAGTGCCAACCCTGACGCAGAGTCTAAGGTAAACGATACCATTACACCTCACAAACTCTAGATTATTAAAAGTTTACCAAACATTATTAAATATTTACAAAGTTGTACATAAGATTCACGGAATAATATCAAATGTTTACCAAATATTATCAGTGTTGATAAACATTTGCCTGCTGTTTGATATTGAAGCTTTAAAAGTAGTTTGTAAAATTTTCCAAGTGAATAATTTTCAAAATACTTCGATGAACTTTTTTGACTGTGAAGTTCAAGGCGACATCTAAAAAGTGTCTTTTTTTTGGCTTTTTAAATAAGGAAGACTGGGATTATTTTTTTTCAGAATGGATTCACTCCTCTCCACCTGGCGTCCCAGGAAGGTCACACCGACATGGTCTCCTTACTGCTTGAACATAAGGCTAATGTCAACTCCAAAGCACATGTAAGTCCTCGAGTTGACATATTTTAAATGGTATACAAGGAAATACTAGGGAAATTTGCTGTAAAATGTGGAGCCACTTTCTAATTTATCAGAGAGAAAATGGGATAGGCATCTCAGTTTTCCCTGGAAACTTTGAACAAATATGGTTGTGACGAGAATGTGCAGATAATTATGACATCTGTTTTAAATTACAGAACGGCTTGACTCCTATGCACTTGGCTGCACAAGAAGATAAGGTCAACATTGCTGAAGTGCTGGTCAAGTATGGGTCAAACACTGACCCCCAGACAAAGGTACTGGTCACTTTATAGAAAAATACTGTCTGCAGATATATTGGAAATCTACATTGAATTTTCAAAGTTGGTAAATTATATATGATAAACTTCAGACGAATGTGGCAAAAGAAATAATGATGGAGTGGTATGGATTTTCTTCTTGTTGTGCTTCAGTTCATGGGATAGTAAGGTGACCTTTGATATTTAACCTTTTGTCTATTCTAGGCTGGTTACACTCCACTACACACAGCCTGCCATTTTGGACAAAGCAACATGGTTCGCTTCCTTTTGGAGCAGGGCGCATCAGTAAGCGCAACCACTAAGGTAAGGCAACTACAACCTACTTTGTATGGATTGAAAAGAAAAACAGAAATCATAAATGCTATAACAGTAAATGTGGTAGTTCGAAAGGATTATCTCATTAGTTAAGTGAAAACAGAATGTCCACAAATTTTTGTCGGAAAATGTTGTGATCAGGAGAAATGTGGACTTAATGCATTATATTTTGATATTTCCCCCACAATATCACTAACTTGACCAATTTTTGTTCCTACCTCTGTGACCTACTTTTAACCCTCTCTCTCTGATATTACCTATTTGTTTCCCAGTGTTATATGGTATATTGTTTGGAACACTAATGTGACCCATTTTTGTCCTCAGCTCGGATACACTCCACTTCACCAAGCAGCTCAGCAGGGACATGTACAAGTTGTAAACCTCCTTCTGAAAAACAAAGCCTCACCAAACGCTGTCACGAACGTAAGTCTCCACTCATCTTTCCAGGATCCATTGTCAAATTGTTTTATAAGAAAGCAGAAAACCTTGATGGTTAGTTAAAGGTTTGCCGTCTCCGATACTTCCTCTAGCATGGTGTTGTCGCAAGAGAGAAAATTTCATAGATATAAATCTGGAACATGTTTGTGGGATTTGAGTTTGATGCAGCACATTTAGTTTTGCTCATATATACTGTAAAATCCTTTATTTTTGTGGGGATCAATTTTCATGGTTTGAAAAAAAAAATTTCATGGACACTTGAGATGTTGGATACATAAAGCTGAGTTTAATCTATTGATACTTGATTTAAAAGTTTGTAAACATATTTATTTGTGGATTAAGAATACCCAAGAAATCAATGAAAATAAATACCCCACAAAAAATGATAATTCTACAGTACACAAAGTAATACATATATCGTTAGATCATATGACCTTAACTTTTGACCTTTCCTAATTTAAAAAGTTGTAGAATTCTTCTGATAAGTGGAAACTTTATCAACCAGTAAACATTCCCTATGATAAAGGAAAATTTTATACATGAAAGAAAACGATATTGCATCATGATTTCCTCTGATTTTGACCTTTGGCCTTTTAATTTGACCAATGAGAAAACCTGTTGACAATACAATCACTTACACTTGTTCAACCTTTGGGATGACTTGGGCATTTGATTAGAACTACCAAAACAACACCTTTTCATGATACAATATTTTAGGATAAGTTCATTATGAAAATAAAGGTAATTTATTGGTGTATGTAAATATCTATTATATCTATATATATATATAGGTATAAGCAATCATCATTTTATTGATTTTTCTATTTATAGAATCATCAAACTGCTTTGTCCATTGCTCAACGCCTAGGGTACCTTTCTGTAGTTGACACTTTGAGCACTGTCACCGAGGTTACAGAAACTGTGCCATCATCAGAGGACAAATACAAGGTTGTTTCTCCTGAAACCATGCAGGATACATTGTTATCTGACTCAGAAGATGAAGGAGGTATGTACATTAGTTGTTTCTTATTGATATTTAAACTAGATTTTAAATGTATGCTTGTAGAAAAATTCAAGATGTTGACTTTTTGTTAAGAAAACTATAAATGTTGTATCACATGTGGATCATGTGACTTGATGATGTCATCACAATGTTTACATTCTGAAGATGTTACACATACTAAACAGTATTTTGAGTCGTGAGTGACTTTTCAAAGAATAGAAATTTTTTAATCAAAGACTTTTTCTGCCAAAACAGGATAAGTTCGAATTGAAATGGTAATAAAATTTAAGGGTTATAATTGATCGGAAATTTTTTAAGAAAAAAAATGTTTTGTTAATGTTGTTTGTTTGTATTCGTTAATAGTTCAGTTTCTTTCAACCATTGCTGAATATATGTAAGAATATAAATTAAAAATCAGTAATTCTTTCATTTGAAGACTGTGAATAAAGGAGGAAAGAATCTTAAAAATGAAAAGTAGAGCTATATTTTTTTCTTTTTATGAGATGGTTACTGAATCCTTTTGTTCAGTTGGAGTAAATATTCAATTATTTTACAAATTTTATTGACAGATAATGTCATTTTAATTTTTATTGTTGGATAAGTACTCATAAAAATGTTATCAAAAATGAATTGATTAAAATCTTGTCAAAATGAAAACTATAGGAACAGCCCGTTACAGTGGAAACAGTTGGTATAGTAGAAACTTTAGATATTCACGCTGGATACAGTCTGATTCACTCGATGAGGCCAATATTCGCTTCAGTGCGCTCGGTGAGAAGTGTATTTGAATAGGAAGTGCTGTGCCTTGTGTGATGTGATTGGCTAGCTAGCCAAATACACTGATCTGATTGGCTATTTGAACAATAGACACATTGCAATTCACTGGCATCATTGGCTAGGCTGCTTTGCATTGGTAATAGAGAGAAATTTAACTCCATTTTTCAAAAAATATATTCGTAAACTTGGCATTTTTATATTTCTGCCAATAAAAATATGAGATGTTCACAATTTTTTTTTTCTGAAAGATTTGCTCCTTCTTTCCGTCATTTGATAACATACAGGCATCATCTTTTTCTGTTTGAAGAAATAATTAATAGCAGATTTAGTTTTGATTTAATTTGATAGATACTTTACCAAAATATTTTTGAGATCTTTTATTCTCAATTAAACAGTGAACCATTAAGAATACATGATATTCTCGTTAAATTTGGTAATGATGTAAACAAAACAGATAGAAAATCAGGTCTGGTGTGAAAAATTAATCTGTGATTTAATTTGTAACTAATCTTTGTGAAAAACAAGGTGTTCTGTTTGTTGTTTTGGTTCACAATATGGGTGCTGCACCTCATGAGTGTGTGTGTAAAAAAAAAAAAAATTTCTTTCTTTTCAAGGGGAGACAACAAAGAATTATTTATAAATAGATATATTTTTATATCAATGTCACAGATATACTTGAGTCAGATGGTGAGTGAAGGTTTGTAAATTATAAAAAATTATATAATATTTTTGTTGTAGACGGATTTGAAGAACACAAACTTATATCTTTACATAAATAACTTAGACATTATTTTTCTCTACTGATTAAAATAATTCATTCTTTATTTGGAAATTGTGATTTATTTATAGACTTTATTCAGGATATTGTAACCATAAGTTAAACTAACAATTAATATCAAACTATATCTGGTTAAATCTTACCATATTCTATTCTATACGCAAGAGATTCAGATTAATCAATATGACTTATGATCAAAATTATATAAACATAGATACAAGAAAAATGTTTGATTTTTTTGGAACAAGTCATAAAAACGTAACGTTATTAGTTGTTAGTAACAGAACATTTTCCACACATTTATTTAATAATAAGGTAAGTGGGCCTTTTTTTTTTTTTTTTTTTTACAAACAAGTTGTAAGCGAAAGTTAGGTATGCAAGTTATGCGGCACAAATCTCCACTCACTATACTTAGCAGCCTGGTTGGTCTGTTCGAGGCAACACACATAATCCTAATGCTGAGTCTTAATTTAGAGCATATGGGAAAAGATAGAGTCTGCATTACAATGCAGGATATGTTTCTTACAAGAGCTCTTGATGTGTTCCGTAATTGTAAAGTTAATTGCCTCTCCTAAGGTAAATTCTTGTATCACAGGTGGGGTGAATTCACTTTTCCTTCAAAACCTATAGTTATTTTGCAGATTTGATGCTTAAATTTTTTTTGCGGAGGTATATAAATACATTTAACTGGAATAGGTATGATGGACCACAGATATTTGTGTATTTTATACATTTCAACATGTGTGTGGAAACTAAAGGTTGATTAATTGTATACTCCTATGTGGAAAACTTGAGGGAAGGGAGTTGATTGGTTGGAAGGGGAAGATATAAGATAAATAAAGTCGTTGTTTCTATACATTGGAGATAGGCTTGTGTTCCAACATGTGTTTTAACAATTCATACAATTTCGATGAAAACTAAAACGTTATTGAAATGTTTGTGTTATCAATTGACCAGTGCTTTTTTTTTAAAGGAAGTTTTCTGAATGTGTTTGGATGTAGGTTACGTTTTCTGTTCAAACCAAATTAATCACAGTTATCCATACCCTCATATCATATTGTATGCGGTGATATACTCACTTAATTTTACATGCTTTTGTACATGGTGTCATGTTTCAGTCTATCTCTGATGAGTAATGACATATTTCAGTCAATAATACCTTCTGCCAGTCTACAACTGATGTCATATGTTATGCAGAACAACCTAATGTCATATTTCAGAATGATATGATGTCATATTTCAGAACAATATGACATCATATTTTGGACCAACATACCATTATATTTCAGAATAATTTTACATCGTGTTTCAGAGCAATTTAAATGTCATATTTAGACCACCTAACATCATATTTCAGAATAATTTTACGTCCTGTTTCAGAGCAATTTAAATGTGATATTTAGACCACCTAACATCGTATTTCAGATTCACTCAAAGATCATCCACAGTATAAAGAACTGTATTCCAAAGGTATTCTGGGAATTGGATATCCCCGTAAAATGTTTATAACAACATAGTGCTTTAGTTTCCAAAGTATGTGCTACAAAAGTGGAAAAAATATCTTTTTCTTTTTTTGTTTTTTCAATTTTCGTAAAGATTTTTTATCACTAGTAAATATTTTTAAGCAATAAAACGTCATTTTTGACCAGAAAAAACAATCAATCATGTTTACAAGACATTTGGTTGTGAGGTCAAGACTTGTTTAGAAATTAAAGCACTAGATTTTCTGTAGAATCCCTTGCTATCCTTGGAATATTTCATATACCCTGAAGATTCCAGCCTTCAAAGATATCGTGGATATCAGGATGCTATATTTACGATGGTATAAATCTGCATATTTTCTAGTAAATATACCCCATCTGCTATACAATGGAAAAAGGCATATTTAATATTCCTATCAGCATATTGACCTTCTATATAAAAAATGCAGTATATGGCTTCCCTTCCGAAGGTACCCCTTTTTTTTGTAAAAATTCATTTATCCTTTCATATTACCAGTTCATATCATTTTTTTTATTCTTTTTTTTTTATAAAAATTATCTTTCAGTTATATTTTGTAGTATGAAATATGACTGAAATTTCTTTGTGCCAAAAATGAAATTATTGTTTACTCTAAGATTTATTTGCTGAAATTGTGTGATATTTAGTTATCCTGGATTTTTTGTTTCAAAAGTCAAGGCCAACTTTTTATAGGTCAAGGTCAGGGTCAAAGTTTGTTGACCTTGAAAATGTATAAGTTTATATGATGAAGTTTTTTGTAGCCATATGTGGTTTGAATTGAGACCAGACATATCTACAAATTGAGCCTTATTTCATTCTCCAGCAGAGTGGAGAGTTTGACTGGCCATTCTTTACAATAATTTTGATGAATTTGCGTTTTGAATTTTTCTTATTGCTGCTAACTGGATCAGGAGATGACTTTTTGCCACAATCACCCTTGTTTGGAAAGCCTCTCTCTGAAACTCACGTCTATCTCCCATACTATGAAGGAAGCAAAATACGTTCTCGTAAGTTTGGCAGCATCAGGTCATTACTAAGTGTCCTCGCCGATGGTTCTGCCTGATTGTACAACTGTAACCATTTAATCGCATGATATGATGGCTCCCTGTCTTGGTTTCTGTAATTACTTCTTGTTTTTCAACAGTGATTCATTTTTTTGTCATTTCACTTATATTGGTGTTTTTTTTTTTTGTGATCACTTTGGTTTTGTTTTGTTTCGGTTTCCATAGTCACGCTTTGCTGATGGATATGACAATGTATAAGTGTATAGCTTCTAAGACTGTCGTGGAATGTTTGTTGATGAAGATGAATCTAACCTGATGTTAGGGGCCTTGGTTAACAGGCTATCTTTAAAAAGAAAAAAAAAAACAAAGCAAAAACAAACATGACAATATTTAAAGTTTAATTTTTCAGAAAATTAATAAAAATGAGTTTTAAAATCATAGAGAGCCCAGTTTTCTCAATTCTGAAAATTACATTTCATTTGTATATGATTGACTAGTATCGGGTCAATTTCATTTTCATGGATTTCAAGATATCAGATGAAATCAAAACAAATATAGAATTTATGTACAGTGTTATATATATATTTAATAATCTATCTAAACCTAGGTTACAGATTTGTGGAGAATCTTTCAGTGATATTTATTTTCTTTATATACCATATAACATTTCAAGGTGTGAAACATGCATCAGCAGACGACACGTGCCCAGTGTATTAGAAGCTCATACCCACTGTTAATGGATTCATGACTATCGCCCACATCTCATGTCTTGGCAGTTAAAATGCTATGTTTATTTTCAGTGTCGATGACTCACAATATGTTCTCTTTTATTTTCTTATTTCTATCATGTTTATTTCATATTCTGTTGATTCTGTTACTGATGTAGCTGTAAGTGTTTGTGTACTATTTTTAACAGCCTAAGTTTGCGTGTAGTGTGATGGCCGGAATGAACTATGCCAGCTTCAAGGCATTCACACTGTAGCGATGTTGTGTTGTAAATTCCTTGTAATAATTTTCTTTTAGGAAGCCACAGTTTCATGTCAGGTAAAATCTTGAGCTACCTGTGCTATATTGACTGGTGATTGGCCAGTTGACCACTAATATGTGGTCATTTTTGACCATTGGTCAACACCAGCCTTCCAATGCATGCCCTTTTAACCAAACCTGCCCACTATGTAATACCTAGCACTGACCGTTTCTGTCTATATCATAAGATTTTCTATTTCAATTTTTTTAAATGAAATTCAAAATTGTAAAAGTCTTACCGTACTTTCTGGATTATAAGCCGCTGTTCTTTTCCTTGGCAGTCAAGCCCCGGTGGCTTACATACGGACAAAAAAACAATCGGCAGAATTAAAAAAAAAAAGTGAAGCATGTCATCTGGACATCAGTTCCGGACCGTTACGTATTTCTGAACAGCCATTTTATCAAGGCATATCACATGCACTATTGACCTGCATGACCTCGCAACAGAAATAACTTTGGTTGCTGTAACATGTCACGCTTCCAGAAAGAATAAAAAATGGTGATTTATACCAAAGATACCAGTACACCAGTACGAGACATGCGTACCAAGATTTTTACGAATACCTGTCCATCACATGTTTGTGACTGAAACAGATCGTCTAAAACCTTCATTTGCAACTGTTGACAGGACGATTTTTAGATTGAAATAGAAATAACATCCTCGTGGATTTAATTAATCACACCTTTTAATATGAATCACAATAACATCTTAAGAACTTTCGTGGTTGCTAGAAGCCATAGCGGAAGTTAACAATAGCCTCTTGCATCCTGGGATATCGATAGGTTATCAGATCAGATTCTAGAACGACCGCCATGCTTGTATAAGATAAAAATGGCATTGTATAACTTACAAGAAAAAATATGGGACTATAAGAATTTTGTCAGCATGCAAGGCCTTCGCTAACCGTACAGACACCAATGGAGATATTGTTAAGTAAACCATACCTAACGTCAGGCCTTATATCTGTGAGTAGACAACCTTTGAAGGCTCCCAAGACAAGCGAGATCAGTAATTGCTATTTTACATTTTTGAAACACATCAATAAGATAAAAGACTGTGTATAATTCATTTGCAAACTTATATTAAATGTTTCACTGACGATCTTGATAAATTGCCTTCCGTTGTCTGTTTTATCAACAAACTTTTGTCAACATAATGATTACCACATCGTAAGAAAGGATGCGGCTTATATTCCGATGCAGCTAATATGTGAATCAGATCAATAAAAATTGGCTCTGCGGCTTACATACCAATGCGGTTTATAAACCAGAAAATAAGGTAATTGTATTTTCAGATAATATAGGCATTATGGTTTGTTTTTTGTTTTCCTTGTGCAAAGCTACAGGTTTGTTATGAAAACAGGAATTTTTCTTTGCTTTTTCGAAGTACAACATTTTCAAATCTTCAAAATGTATGTATATGAGTAATCAACAAGTTTTATTTGTTTGAAATAGATTTTCATCATCAGAATATACTCACACAGAAAGTGTTAATGAATATAAGCAAGATGATAAGTTTTTGCTAATTTAGTTTCATGAGAGGAATTTGGCACATGAGATATTTTTTCAGATGGTCAGTTATGATAAGATAAATTGATCTGCAGGGCATGTACACACAAATATATATATTTGTATATCTACTTAACCAATCATCATAGAACCGACTAACTGCATGGAGCTACACTGCAGGGGTTGGGGCTGCATCTCAGGGGCATTAAACAGCCAGGGATTGATACTAATGTTAGGTTAGGTGAGGGAAATTTAATAGGTTAACAGTGGGTAAGAGGAATAGGGGACAGAGTGATTATGATGAGGTTAGAGAAGGGGGAGGGTAAAACAGATGGTTAGAGGTTTATATTTGGTTGATGTTATGAATTGAAAGAGTGCTTAAGGAGGAAGAACCTATTACAATTGTGATAATTGAGGGTGAGGGGGATACATAGGCAAGTGGTCGAACTGAAATAAGGGGAGGGCAAGGGGGATACAGGGGAGAGTGGTTGGGCTGAAATAAGGGGAGGGGGACACCGAGGAGAGTGGTTGAGTTGAAATAAGGGGAGAGGGATACAGAGGAGAGTGGTTGAACTGAAATAAGGGAAGGGGGATACACAGGCAAGTGGTTGAACTGAAATAAGGGGAGGAGGAGGGGGATATAGAGGAGAGTGGTTAAACTGAAATAAGGGGAGGGGGATACCGAGGAGAGTGGTTGAGCTGAAATAAGGGGAGTGGGATACAGAGGAGAGTGGTTGAGCTGAAATAAGGGGAGGGGGATACAGAGGAGAGTGGTTGAACTGAAATAAGGGAAGGGGGATACACAGGCAAGCAGTTGAACTGAAATAAGGGGAGGGCGAGGGGGATAGAGAGGAGAGTGGTTGAACTGAAATAAGAGGAGGGCGAGGGGGATACACAGGCAAGTGGTTGAACAGAAATAAGGCGAGGGGGATACAGAGGAAAGTGGTTGAACTGAAATAAGGGGAGGGGGATACAGAGGAGAGTGGTTGAACTGAAATAAGGGGAGGGAGGGCGAGGGGGATATAGAGGAGAGTGGTTGAACTGAAATAAGGGGAGGGGGATACAGAGGAGAGTGGTTAAATTGAAATAAGGGGAGGGGGATACAGAGGAGAGTGGTTGAACTGAAATAAGGGGAGGGCGAGAGGGATACACAGGCAAGTGGTTGAACTGAAATAAGGGGAGGGCGAGGGGGATACAGAGGAGAGTGGTTGAGCTGAAATAAGGGGAGGGGGATACAGAGGAGAGTGGTTGAGCTGAAATAAGGGGAGGGCGAGGGGGATATAGAGGAGAGTGGTTCAGCTGAAATAAGGGGAGGGTGAGTGTAAAACAGAGGCAGGTGGTTGGGCTACAGAAAGCAGAGTACAAATATGAATATTAGGCCATGAAATGTTTTCGAAAAGAGGGTTAAGGGAAGGATATTTTGAGAGAAAGGAATAAAGATGACAGTAGTTTGGATTATAGAAAAATACATGTGTATCTTCAAAGATTGTATTTGTTTTAAAGTACTGTTACAGTTATCAAGTTATAAAATTTCATTGAAGACCTCAACTTATGCTTATGTTTAATTTTTTTTATCTTTTTTTTAATATATTTATTCTTGGTGAAGTTACATTTAAGACACAAGACAATTTGAAGCCCCTTGTCTTTTATATATGAATTACATAGATAATTCAAAGCCACATTCGGAGGCCGAACAACACTTACGTTTTAACAGCTTGGAGCAGCTCCTGGGTCAAATACATTAAACTGTATACATTTATATATATATATGTATATACATATGCTGGTCGAGTATTATCTACACCACTGATGCCAAGACAAATTATACTTGTTGATTATCACAAATATCAGCTTTAACACGTTAAGATAAGATGAAAAAACTTCCGCCCTCTCATCAAGTCATGGCTTCAGCTAGATCCCATGGTGCTGTGCTACCCATGCCTGTCGCTTCAGAAAGCCTCTGCGAGTAATACCATCATGCTATCAAAAGTCTTTATCATTCATGATTTTTTAAAAACAATTTTTGAAATGTATGTCCATCATTTCAATTCATTGCATGGAGTTATCCCCCCTTGTTGAAATCTACTGATCTACTGATCTGATCTGCCAAAATGTTTTAACTGGACAGACTTTGAATAGTTGAATAGCAGTACTGAATTCTGATCAGACATTTGTACAATGAATTTTGAATTACTGAATTTGATGGTCTCATTTTGTATTTTATTCTAAGTATCGTTTTCACAGTTTCTGATTAAAAAGATGTCACTATTAAAAAGTCCCTAAAAGACAAAGTTTTAAAAGGAGAAGAAACTTTTTAAAATGATTAAAAGTTCCTTTAAATTTTGAGGTGAAATATCTTGATGCTTTGATCTTGCAGTTTCTTTATCTTTAAGTCAATTTCAGAATGTTTTGTAATTGGAAAAAAATAAATAAAAGATATGAAAAAAAAAATGATCAAATTTGATTTAACAATTGAAACTTCATAACAGAGGATATTTGGAATTTGGCAATGTGCCAGTGAAAATTTGATATATAAGTAATCTCATTATGTCTTCATTTAGACGTGAGAATTTGAAAATAGACACACAAAACAAAAACTTCATCAACATGTAAACAGGCAGGAAGATTTACGTCATAACAAGCAATTCAGCTCATGAGAGTCAGGGAGTTTGTAAGAGAAAAGGAGATGGAGAGGCCTCTATTTTGAGCGTGATTCTATAGTAATAAAGGCCCAAGCAATAATTATTACAGATAGCTAGCTGGCTGAAGATGATGCTTCATCCCGAAAATAAATACGAAAACATGAAATGAGTTCTACAGACCAGTTAGCACTGGACTGTAGGAATATACTAATCATAAAGCTGTGTGTTGCTAGTATACAACTCCTCCACGGAACAGGAGCTGGGGTGGTAGGTTTCGGAGTAGCAAGGGGCGGACGACAGATCCACTTAGGCATATACCTGAATGCTTTTCCAGAAGTGTAGTATTATTTTTTATTTCGATATTTTTACAATTAAGTAAATGTGTATACTTAAAATAGGGCTGGTATACTGTGGGCTGTATTATGTGTGTACATGTGGCAGTCATTCCATGGATGGATTTAATGCTTATTCCTCTCAGGAGTGTTGACTTAAGTTAAATAAAACCCCGGAAAAAGTTTCTAGGAATTTACATTTCCACCATGATTTGTTGGTCGTGTACTGGGAAGAGTAAATTAGCTCATGAACAACAAAAAGGTAAAGAAATTTATCTTTTTTGATTATGTAAGAAAATCACCACCAGCACCAAATGGATACTTGTTTAGTTTTTAGGGAGCAAATTTCAAAATGTTTTATTTCTACTTTCCGTTTTCTTGAAGCAGCTGTAAAAGACAAAATGTACCGGGTACGTGCCTGGTTAAGGTTTTCATTGTTTGGAGAAAACAAATATATTAACAATAGGACAAAGTCACACAGATGTCCTACCATACTCTGGTAGCGTAGCTCGGCCTGGCAGTAGTCTGTATTCTTTTTCTAGGAAGATTATATATCTCTATTACTCAATAATAACTGTTTGTCTTATATACTGTAAATCACTGTGGTTTGTTAGCATCGGTTTTCAGAGTTTTGCTTCAAAGGAGTTTGGAAGCACGAATTTGAAATTGTAGAAACATGCTGTAACATGCACATGCAGATTTTAATAATCTATAAATTGAATATTTTTTTCTGGAAAGTTTTGTTTGGTGAAAATATATTTCATTATAAATAGACGTTTTGCAGTATCATGATGTTTCAAATGTCGATGTTGTATGATTTTATCATATATCTCAATGTTAAAAGAGATGTTAGATTTTAACACTTGTACCGGATGTTTTGTTTTTTAAACATTTTTTTTTTACTTAAGTCAGGCTTTATCATCATCACAAAGAAATTGATTGTTTATATCATTCAAATCACATAATTTATCTCCGGCAAAAAAGTCAAAGTTAATTGTAAATAATTCATAATGGATTTCTGACCTTGACATTTCTTGAAGGTCAATTTCACAAATGGAAGTGAATATGACAAGAATGTTGTAAGGGAGTATAGATGAACTAATATTTTATCAATGAAACTGATGTTGTTGAGTTGTCGCAAATAATCTTTATAAGTAAGACATGCATTTTATTTGAATTTAGTGCAGACTTTGAAAGTCAGTGTATATGCATATTTGGTATAATAAAGAATTTTCGACGGGCAGATGTCCAGTCTTTAATGAATGGTGTTATGTATTGACAGGTGAAGACAGCATTTCCCTGGAGCGAGGCGAGAGCACTTCTCCGCTGGACACTTCATATGAAAAGGTAGATAACTCATTGATACACCCCTTTATGTTGCAGCAACACTGGCTAGACTCTCACTTATCAGTTAAGGAGGTAAGAGGTATAATTACCTCCCTTCCCATAACCTCTCCAGAAAATGCTGCAACATATTCAGGGTTACTGTTGGTTTGGAAGCTGAAACAGTCTGTGTGTCCCATTTGTGTAAGTCTTTGTGGAAACATTTTGTCCATGTGTTGGTCTTCGTGAGAATGTGCAAGAGAGTTATCATTTTTCAGCCTCACGAACTATCCTTTTCACCCCAAACAACATGTTCTTTTGCATATACACTTCATAAGAGGTTTCTTAGGTAACAGAAAATGCACTGAATTTCGGTTACTCATGCGACATACTCAGTTAAATCTACCCATATAAAAAACGCTGGTACCCCAGATAAATTAGCCACAAGAAAATGACAGTGGACAAACCTTGTCCATCCCGTAAAACCGTCTTTTTAGAGCAGATGTCATGTGACCTATCTTTTCTTTTCTTTTCATTTTCATTTAAAGCTTAAAAGTGCATCCTCCATATTGTGATTGCATGACTATAGAAAGTCCTGTTTGAAGATAAGAGGATATCATTGATGTATTGATCGTAAAGATGTTGTATGTCAGGTCGATTCTAACAGCATTCAGTGTAGAGCTGAATTCGACAAACCTTTGCTTATAGTTTAAGTTAAATAATTATTTTAATTGGCTTTTTTTTTTTTTTAAATATATAATTAGATATTTAGGATAGAAGATTTTTTGGAATTTTTTTCCCCATTATTCTGCACTTGCCCAAAAAAATTTACTTGTTTGTTTGAAAATGACCTTAGCTAACATCCTTGTAGGATACAACGTTGTTTGATGGTTTTATTATCGTTCGTAAATACTGAAAATTATTGAAACAAAAAAAAAAAAAAGCAAAAAAGACTAAGTAAAGTGCCCATTGTGAATGGAGTTAAAATAATTCATCTGCAGATTTAATATTCATACCAGGTTTGGTCACAGTCATACAAAAATAATGAAATAACACTTGTTATCAGGGCAATTAGTAGGTAAGATATGACATTTAGTGTCAACGACTTTTAACCTCATGTTGTACGTGTGTGTTGTATATATGGAGTGGCTGTTTGTCATCAGAAAGTTTTTGTATGATATTTGCTTGAAGTGCTGAAAGTGCTCTAAGATTTGTATTGTTTGTATGAAATTTGTTTGTGAACAAAATTGCTTCCTATTGTTTGCTTTTCAGCTTAGGGTAAGAGGCTTTGGAATGTTACGAAACCATTCTTTTTTTTTGTCTTAAGGTACAAAAAAAAGAAAAATACTTTGAGAATCTTAGGAAAAAGGATGATAGATATGTGTTCTAACAGAAATCTTCCAGTTCAAAGAAATATGAAAGAACGTATTGTAATTTTTTCATGAAAGGCAAGGTTTTGCTGATGTTTGTTAGTAGAGAAAAGCCTGTCAGGACAGAAAATCACACAATCATTTACTGATTTTCCAAAGAATGGTGTTTCATTATGCACGCATAGCTGGCACAGACGGACAAAGTAAATATGGCCCACTTTCTTCAGGGTTCGTAATTAGGTGTTCATGTATCACCTTCAAAAGTAATGTATTTCTATGAATATTCTTACATACGATACACATAATTCTTTGTTAAAGATACCGGCAGACCTTGCAACTAAACTTTGTTAGGATGTTGGGTATGTGATAAATGGGTGGGGATAATTTCTTTATCTTCGTACATGTGTTTTAGTCTTTAGTAGTTTTTTCCTCCATTTTTACGAATTGTAATGTTTCATTGCCTCTATGATAAAACATTTATAAAGCTTCATTTCAATATTTACTTAGATATGTTGATTTCATATGTAATTGATGTTTAGAATGTTGTTTTCACATTTGTAAGTTTTTATTTTCAAATTATCTGGTTTGTGTGTTTTTTTTCTTTTTTTTTTTTTGTTCAGTTTTATAAATAATTTATTCCTTCTTAATTTTGTTACAATTATCTTTAACTGCAAAGCATGTGTTTAGGCACATTCATTTGGCATCTGTAGGATTCTTGAGTTTTTCTTTAAAACACTTTTTAGTTTATTTTGAGCACTATATTTAACTTAATTTTCATTTTTGTATATGATTTTCTTTTGTTTGTTTCATTTGTTGTGTTAAAATGATTTATTTTTGAAAAAAAAAATGGATTGTCTTCGTCAGTCGTATTTTGCAAGTGTCGTCTGCAGTTTTGTGGCACGAAGTGAAGAATGTGTGCATGTGTAATTACTCTGGCAAAAAAATCACCATCTTAGGAAATAAATCTATTGTATGATATTAGACCTATAAATCCTACATAAACCAAACACTACAGGGACCAAATAGTTCACTATTGTGACAAGTTTTCTTAAAATGCAAAAAATTTTAAGATGAATCCATAATTAAACTTAAAGAATGAGAAGGTATGTTGGCTTTCTGGATTTCTCCGGGTTAATTTGATACAATTTAGTGCTTAGGACATACTACAGAGATACTTGGTAATTAAGGATCTGTTGTAGGCAAGGGATATATAGAAGTACACCTACATATTATAGAGGATTTCTTATTTCTCGTGGTACAGCTAACACAGGTTATTGCTGAAATCACATTTGATTCCCAATTATTCAGCACAGGAGTTTACTTTTCTAATCGTTTAACAGTTCTATAGTTCTTAACAGATAAATTTAGAGAGTAAGTTTTAGAGATAAATTTAGAGAGTAAGTTTTAGAGATAAATTTAGAGAGTAAGTTTTACAGATAAATTTAGAGAGTAAGTTTTACAGATAAATTTAGAGAGTAAGTTTTACAGATAAATTTAGAGAGTAAGTTTTACAGGTAAATTTAGAGAGTAAGTTTTACAGGTAAATTTAGAGAGTAAGTTTTACACCGGTTTTCAAATTACTCCAGATTCAGATTTGAGTTATACTGGTTTCAGTTTCGTTGGGTCTTCCTGTCATAATCAAGGCATCTATAAAAATAAATTTCCTTCTGTCATATAAAATTCATTGCAGATCATAAAATACATTACAAAAGAAAGAAACTGATTTTGAAACTTACGTCCTCGACCTTGGGTCATTGATAATAAAACATTTCATTGTTTTTCTAAAATGGTGACTTTTGATGGCCAGCGCCCTTTTTTGATTTTGAATTTTCTGTGTCAGTGTGTTTGGTTGATCCTCTTGTTACGCTCGTCTTTGTGGTATCTGCTTTCGTTAGGACATTCTGCGCCACCCTGTGAGTGAGGACCAGCGACGTCGTATCACGAGCGAGATAAGCTCAGCCATGAGGTACCCATCCTATTTAGAGCGAGGCCCCGATTATGAGGCTGAGATGAGGTACTATAGCGGGGACACGCTATCACCGCACGGACGGGTACGTTTCCTCATCATCATCTTCATCATCTTGTCCTCGACCATTTTCATCATGACCTCAAATTATGTACAATATTGGTATAATCTCACAGAAATATTTTGTCCTATATTCAATATACCTTTACATTACCCAGTGTCTTATATATCTCATCAGCAGAAATAGGGTCCCCACATATATCATTTAATCTTCCATTTCACGAATAAATGTTTTCCATAACCCCTCCTCTGTATGTCTGTGCTTATGAGAATAATAATCTTTTCAGTATTCAATCATTGCCAGAAATTAATAAAATTGATTAAAAAAAGAAAAAATTCATGCTTCCTTGGGGGAGGGAATTGACCTTTGACATATATTGCTACCCTACTGTTGTGTCATATGTGCTGTCCTGTAACAGATCAATGTTAGTGACTTCCTCAGATTATTGATAAAATTTAGTACCTTCAACAATACTTAAATACTAACAGCACCCAAGAATACCTCTCAATATCTTTCATTTTTCGTGCCATCCAAAAAAAAATATCAAGGTGTACTATGAAATATTTTTTTTTATATCATATCATGCCCTCACACATAAGACAACGTTGTTCCCGCATTCAATATTGCGTTGTTGCTTTTGTTTTTGTGTGCACATAGGACACATTAGGTGTACCTGTTTGCGTTCTCATAAATAAAGTGCGATAACAATTCGTATGTAAATATTTCATCGGTCTGTTGGTTATTCATTATCTTTACCTATACCATACCTACATCCTTTTCAACATTTACCATCAGTCTAGTTGAGTCATTTTGTTTCAGATCAGAAACTGAAAGCTATGTTATCTACCTGTTGGATTTTGGTACTTGTTAGGGTTTGAACAAAAGAGTGACTTGCCCTTGGTCTTGTACAATGCCCCATGGTGTTTCCAGGTGGTCCTAGGTTGCACATCACTAAATCAGTCAATCATATTCGTTTATTTCTTGTGAATGACATCCATAAAGAACCAGTAATTTGAGAAGAATTTTTTCTTCTTAAATAGATTTAGATTTTCAATGAAAAGAAATTATACAGATATGTTTTAGTGGTATGCCACCTGTTTTTGTTCTTCGTTGTGTTACCTCCCTTTGCCCTGGGCCTTGAACATTCTTCTCCGAGTTTGAGATGATCAGTTTTTGACAGTGTTTTTGTAAAAAATAATTTGTGTTTAAGAATAATTAATGGTTTAAAGTTTTAAAAGTTAGACAATGTCTTAACTTCTATGTGTGATCTTATTGATATAAAAATGTGTTGTTACAATTTCAGTTTTATTTAATTTCCCTGTCAATGTTGTCATTTTTTTTTCAGTTTTTCACTGTCTGTTGTGATGCCTGCTTATAAATGTTTACTGTCAACATTCAGTTATTTATTTATGCACAAAATTTTATCGTCAGCACATAGAGAAATTTCTTTCATTTTGTTAACACTGATCAGAGATGGAAAAGAAATGAACTTTTGAAGGTGAAACTTAATACAGTGATGTTGATGTTTCTAAAATTGAAAAATCAACATTTAAGAAATGAACTTTAAACTTAGAATATTTTGAAATAGTTAAATAAATAGATTAAAAAAAAAAGGTTCCATCTCTGAAATTTGATGTTGTTGCATGCCGATTTTAGTACAATATGATTTGATTTTTTCGCCACACCAGGATGTTTCTGGGAGAGGCGACAGTGTTTTTGGGGGAGAGTACTCCACACTCGACCGTTTGTCTGTGGGCAAGTCCCATGATTCATCTTTTGTGTCCCAAGCTGACGGAAAGTCACGCATCACTGAAGAAAGTAGCGAACTTGAATATGGTGACGATTTCGATGATGCAATAAAAAAGGTAAAGAGTGACGCTAACATGTTACGCCTGAACTAATCCCGTTTTCTTGCCAAGGGACTGAAAATTAGCATCTATATTGGATTATTACAGAATGAAACAAAGACCTTTTTTTCATGTTGGTTAGAGTTTAAGAATTTTGAAAAATCCTATTATTGCATGGATGTCTGAATGCGGAATGGAGTTTAGGATGACCTTTGACCCCTGTTTTTAATAAGGGAAGTAATCAACTTAATCCAAATGAATAAATTATTAATGTGAAGAGAAACGTGCATGTTATCCTGGTAAATAACACAGAGTTTCAATTACCTTTGACCTTCGTGTTATCAGCATGGACACCAGTTTGGTTACTTACTAAACCATAGTTTTACAAAGAATATTTACATAAAAAAATTCAAAATAACAGGTGAGATTTTTTGGTTATTTTTTTTTGGGGGGGGGGGTTTATGTAAAATTTGGAAAAACGGGCCTGTTAATTGCCACCAGATAGCATGAATTCAAATTTTTTATTCTTTTTCATGAATTTTGTGAAATTTGATTTAGATGAATATGAATGAATTTGTGTTTTCTTTTAAAATCAGTTATTGATGTTAGAATAATATTTTCTTGAATTTCTTCATTTGTTTATATCTTTTATTTAATTGAAAGTTAAACAATTTTTTTAAAAAGGAATACATCGCATTTTTGGTCAAAAGAATTACAGTATAGTTTTTTTTGGTGTTTTTTTTTTTTTATTTGTTATATTTCCTTGTGGCGAAAAAAGTATTCTTTGGGTGTAACTAGGTCCTCGACTGATTGAATGGAAATAATCTGCATGCCCTCTGGTGTTATATTAACATTACTTGTGTTTATATTTTTTTCTGTTACATTACTTTGCTGTTGATATCTGTTATTTGATAGAGCACAAGCACGGTTCAATATGCCGAGGATTTTTATCTACGGAAATCTGTACGTTATGGTAAAGATCAGGCCCGTAACCGCCGTGTGTACCCAGGGTCAGCATATCGCTCTCATCCTGATAGAGCGGCTGGGTACGGAGAATCTGTCAGTATCAGTAGCATTGATCTGAACGAGGAATTTAAATACTTGCCCGACGACTCGGTTGCTAGGGAAGAATCTGAACCACATACACCCTTAGAGGTATTTTGTAATTGAAAAAGATTGTGGTGACTAGAATTAACAGCAAATCATTTTTTTTAATTTAATACCCATTTTACTAAAATCACCCTGCTTTATCACTATAGATTTTCTAACATATGGTGGCTAGGTTTAACATAATATTTTTCTTACCGAAGTCAGTAGGCTTCTTTAACTCAAGTTACCTTGCTATTTTAAATCCTGCGCTACTTTAGTGCCCATCTACAACTGAAAGACATTGTAAATTATTGTCCAATCCATATACTGTTGACTTCATAGTATAAACACCATCAGTAAACCTCATCAGTAAACACCATCCGTAAATATCAATTCGTATAACCCAAGGTCTTTTGAAAAAGGCCTTTATTGAAAGCTTGCCTGTGTATTGTGATTATAACTAATTTTGTGCATGAATGCTTGAACATAGTATTATCGTAATATTTATATATATAAAAGTTTGATATTGCATGGCTTTTATGCTTCACTACAAAAAGTTTAAAATGAAATATTAAATATCCATCACAATTTTTGCCATCTGTTGGAAATTTTGAAGGATTTTGATGGATATAAGAGTTACCTCCCCTACTCCACATCCTTTGGATTACAAAAATTGGCATGGGGGAATTCTTCCACACAGATGTTCTGGATAGACATTCCAGTTAGGGCATGTTGCCATATTATAGTTGCATTACTCACCGTAGTGGTCTGTTGTTAATAATTCTGTTTTTACTCCTATTTATGTATTGACCAGAATAACAAATACTCAAATGCTATAAATTTCAATAATTACTAAAAATATTTCTGTATGTTTAATTTCGGATTTCATAAGACAAAATGTCAATCATATTTGTTTTTCTTTTCATTTGATGGCAAACGTTATTTTATTTTGTCGATTAATTGTCTGTTTTGTTGAACATTTATGTTTCCAGTTTTGATATTTGATTGATTTATTGTGATTGATCAATGTGTGGTACTGTAATCAGTCATCACCTTCACTTTGCCAATGTTCAAAGTCTATTGGATATTAATTAAACAGAACAAATCAGTATCCATGATGTTGAAATTAAATGACTTGTGAATCAAAAACTTATTCTCATTTTATCGTTTCTCTGTGGAATTGTGATTCTTTTTGTTTTTTTTCATTTTTCATATATTAAAAATATCTTTTTTGTTTAGTAGTATTGTTTGCATGCTAAATGAACTTTGGATTTACAAATTTGCTTACTTGTAGGTTTGAACAGTCAAATACTAAAAAGAAAACTCGCTATAGAATTTTCAATTCAGCCAATGAACAGAAATGCTTCCCAATAAATCATTTTATTTTGTATCATCTGGTACAGTTGCCATGATTATGTGGTGCAAACTGCTTCGATGGAATCTTTTGATGTCACAGAAAAAGAAATTGTTACAGGATGAAAAAAAAAAACCACATCTACATGATGACTTCTTGAACAAAGCTGATTTGACTGCCTTGGGGATAGAACTGACCACTTCTGTCAGTTCTGTAGGTTGTCTTAAACCTGTCCCTGTACTTATACCTATTTTGACCAGGGATGTAGATCTGTTATCTACGTCCTTGTTTTGACTAATTCAGACTAGACTCCAATAATCAACCACCATGAAGCTTGTCTTTAACGTTGGTGAAACGCTGTGATTCTGCAGTTGGTCATGACTGTAAGTGTGACATAAAGCTTAGTTTGATACTAGCTGTGGACTGACTGTTTGTGCTCTCTGTCTATTGTTGTCCATTGACTATTGCTTAGTTTGACAACTTCTGTAGACTAACCACCTGCATTCTAGATCTAGAACCAAATATTTGACACTTTTAGTAGACTGACCACCCATGATATACATGTAGACTGACCACTTGTGTGATAAATGCATTTGATACCTGCTGTAAAATTAAACCCTGTGTTATATCTTAAGGACCACAGATCTTCATTAGACTGACCGCATGTGTCCTATAGTTAGGACCACACATTTGACACCTTCTTTAAACTGACAATTATGTCCTAAGGTCAGGACCATGCACTTGTCACTTCCTGTAGACTGACCACTATATTTTAGATATAAAACTGCACATTCGACACATTTTTTTAGAGTGACCACTATTTCCATATTTAGGACCATACGCTTGACACCATGTGTAAACTGACCAATATGTTAAATGTTTAGGACCACTCAGCTGTCTCTGCCTGTAGACTGACCAGTGGGTTTTATATTTAGGACCACTTATTTGATACCTCCAGTAGGCTGACCGCCATTATTATATATTTAGGATTATATGGAAGCCCAGATGATGTCCCAGTCATACTCCCAGTACTCGTCAGCCCCTCCAGACAACCGTCTGCTTACTGGCACCTCCAAAATGGAGAGTTCCCGCTTTAGCTCCTACAGTGGATCATCCTTCAATGCCAGCTATGACCCGGACAATGTCGCCATCGACCGCACTCCAACCTACTCTGGGTAAGGAAAAAGCTTGGTTATACTTTTTTTATGTATTACTTACAAACATTTGGTTGATTGTGGGGAGGTCTGATGTCTGGTATATAACCAGTGAGTTCGGTATTTACTTTTGCCTTGAATTTTTAGCTCCACAGAATTACTAACAAAAAGATGAAAGACAAAGACTAGGTTTTTATAATCAGACTGCAAGGCAAAAAGTTTCAGACAACCAATAAACATTCTTTTTCTAGCAAATTAATGTTCTGTCTAAATGTTCTGAGTGCTGATACAAAAGCACTTTAGAAATACCTTTGAAGCAACTCATGGTTTTGCTTCTTTCCACATCCTTGATAAAAGTAACTTTTTTTATTACTTGTTTTTAATATAAATTTGGTCTTAAAATATTTATCAAACTGACAGTATTTTAAGCATAATATTGACATTGGTCTGATCCATTCACAGCTTAGTTAGCTTTCATGTTTCTTGTCTTCAGCTCAGCTGATTCCAAAAATGCTCCAAAACTAGTTTTTGCTTTTTGTTAAACTCAACAATAGAACTATATAAAAGAATTTTGAGTAATTTGAAAAAGGATTATTTTGAAACTCAGTCTTCATCTTTTAATGGTTAATTTTAACCTGTAGTTTAGACCTTGTAGATCCTTCAGAATTTGTATTTGGTGATGGACATGTAAAACAGAGAGAAACAGATAGATAAGTTTACTGTGATTGATAATGTCACTCGAAGAAAACATTATTATCATTTGAGCAGTTGTACAAAAAAAAAGAAAAAAAAATAGTGATAAATTTTTTTTCAAAATTTGGTTGTGTTTGTGGCTATTTATTTACACTAAAACAGTTATATTGTTGATATTTGAAAAATGAAATTCTAACAGCATGACTGCATGATTTGGCTCAGCAAAGTATGATAAATGTGTGATTATTTGGGGAAAAAAATTAATAATACGAGTTTGCATGATCGCTATTTAAAAAGATATGATAGACGGACACATATATATATAATATTGTAATACATATATATACATACATATCTACATATATATATATAATTGCTATTTTTTTGGATTTTGTAATGAATCGAGAAAATAAAATTTTAATGATTTCATTTATAAAATGATTTTCTTCTTGAGAAACGCATTATGAACATGTGTGTGAAATGCCGGGAGGAAATAAGTTAACTGGTTTAGGAAATATTGTAGATATATATCTCTCATTTATTTTCATTCTGTATGAAAAATATTTTAGAGGGAATTGATATTAAGGAGGAAGATAAGCTGCTTTTTTTTCAGAAAATTTTAGTAAATCCTTGAATGTTTTTTTCTAACAGGAAATTTTGCAAACCTATTCTGATATAATCAGTTGTAAATAATGTTTATAATTATGTCTTTTTTTATACAGCAAACTGAAATGGAAAAGGTAAACTTGATTCTGTAGATGCTAGAATCACTGTATTGTTATCCTTAACACTGTTTTCTTTTTTTTTCTTTTAATTTGTTTACTGTGTAACATTTGTATATATGTACTGCTGTGTCAGGGGAGGTAATTTGCACTAATGTAAAAGCATTGGGTGGAAAAATGGATGCTGTTCGCTGGCTGGTTTGAAATCACTTCATGCATATAAATTAGCACATTTATAATTAGCAGACATGATTAGTATATATCATTTGCGTACTTAGGCATTGCTGAGATATAGAATAGATTTTAGCTGTCCACAAGCTAGCTGATGATAGAAGTAACATCCATTATTGCAAACTTTTATCATTATAAATAATTGCACTTGCGACCATTAATGCAGAAAGCCTGTCTATGGAAATTATGGCTTTATTTTATACAGCAAATAGAAAATTACTACAGCTAATTAGCTACTATATACAAAACAACGCAGCACATATGATCTAATTGCGATGCGAGATTGTACGGAAAAATTCTTAATTCAAGGATCACAGCTTAGCTCTCTGTTCAGCCTACATGTACATTCAAGGAATGCTTCTTACTTTGGAATGCCTGTGGGGTTGAAAAGTCAAAGGTCATGGTCTTAGTGACATTAGATATCCCAAGTAATTGACTGCTATGGATCAAATTTCATATACTTCTTTCTTGCTTTGGATTGCCTATCTAATGTGAAGGTCAAAAGGTCACGGTCATTGTAACTATCAATAAAGCATTATATTCTTCATAATCGTAAATGTACCCGTAAAACAGATCTAGCGTTATTTTCTCGTAACTTTGAAGTTGATCGGAAAAGACATAATTGCTCTTAAGTGCCATCTTTGATTTATTCAACATGGTTTTAGCACTGGTGACTTGTTACATACAGGTTTTCATTGTCTGAAATTCAATAAGTAAATGTTTCTACTGGGATCGGATTATACGTCAGCAGAGTTGAATAACATGAAAAGCAAGTGTCCGTATTCAATACACAAGCTTGATTAACAGAATAGTCGTTACATAGGCAATAGTGAATACATAGGCAAATATCTAGAGAGTACATGGCTCATTTTGATAAAATTTGTTGAATTTGCGTAAAAAAATTGCAGAGCAGGAGGGTGGCTTTTTCAGTGTATGCTAAAAAAAGAGGAGGAAACTGGTTACTAATTGCATATGCTAGGACTTGCTAGGCATGCAGCATAATAGGGATGAATGATTTATAATTGTGGTACATAGTTTAAGATTTATAAAGATCTACAGCTTTATTGCATGCCAGTTACAATCGTCGTAAACAAATTTAATATCAGTTATTAATAGACAATTTTGATTTGTTGAAATATTTACATTTTAATATATACATTTAACTCAGGGCGGATCTATTTGTCACCTGGTCTAAAGTGTAATCAGCTTGACACTGTGATCAGGTTAGGGTGGTCTTCTGTGTTTTATTTCTGTACTGGTAGCATGTTATCATTTCCTCTTCGTAGTTTTTCCTTTTCAACTTCACAAAGTACTTCATAATAATTTCAGAATTTTTTTTACAAAAATTGTGTAATTGTAATATCAACAATTTTCATAGTAATTTTGAAAAATGCCTTTTTCTGTCAATTTTGTTTTTTTTTCATCTGGTTTTGTAACATTATAATGTCAAATTTCAAAATAATAAGACAACTGAAAAATAAAATTAATTTTGTTACACTTTGAGAATATCACTACCCCATCCCCAATCATCTTTTTTTGTTTTACCTGTATGTATTTGTATATCTGATATATCAATATACTTTTGATCATGTACCTTTTGAATATCGTAACAAATGTGCAACTTAATATTTTTTTTCCTTTTCGGTAATCTCTAATCTCGTTTATACTGATAAGATATTTAACCTGTCTACAGCATGTAAACATACTTAAACCTAAAATTTGTAAGTTGAAACTTTTGTCAACATTATTCATCTCCTGGATAACCATGTTGTCTGGTCTTGACAGCTGAGAAAATGTTATGTAATTAAATTTGATATCGCTTATGTTTAGTCACTGTCCAAAATCAGGTGTAATAAATGTTGATAATCTCAATTGGTATTTAGCCTGAAGACAAATATGTCTGAGGCTGGAAATTAAATCCGGTCTCATTGACTGCCAGATCTCACTTTGGGCACAACATTTCCCGATCTCACATGAGCACATACCCTTGTTTGTTTTTGCAAAGAGTGAAACAGCTGCATTTTACTACAGGCTTATCTCCCTTTTATGTATACCAAAAGAGAACAATGGTATACTTGTAAGTCTCGTTTTTATTGATAATTCCTATAGTTATGAAACAAGGAGCATGAGTTATCATAGCTGTCAATCTTGCTGAAGAATTTTTGAAAGAAAAAGTCCAGAATTATCAAAATGGTAGTAGCAATATATAAAAGTATACCAATTAATAACTTTTTAAAAATTGACTAATAAGAAGTTAGAGCAGAAATACTTGAAAATTCAGAACTTTCTGAATAACCTTGCCTTAAGCTTGCCATATTAAAAATGAAATAAGATTTCATGCAAAGTCTAAAAAAGAGTCAAGGATATTGCATTAAAAAAAAGATAAAAGAGCTTAACACAGTGTTTCTTTGTTATTTGTTTGAGTAAGTTTTGGTGTAATTTTCCAGTTAATTTGTGAGTAATACATTTGATGTGCACTTTGAAAATTAAAACCTGGTGTTTTGTAACTTTTTTTTTTCGTTCACTGCTTGGATGATATGATATAATAAGAACACATGCTGTGTTACACTTCAGCCGGAAGGTAGAACAAACACATTGACATCATCATGAATGTTATGTGTGACTTCACAAAATCAAGTTTCTGAATGTTGATGCCAAAATCTGTAGTTGTAATGCAATACATAGTTAAACTAAACTTAAGACGATTTAAAAAAAAAAATTTTGTATAGCTAGGTATCGGGAAATTCATTCAAGAATACAATGGAAATATAACAAAAATGGCAGCCAGGTGTCTTTTAACCTTCTTCTGGCCATTGGCTCTGTTGTCCATTTTCCCTCTCACCTCTATATTAATATTTACCTGTACTGGTGTTTCCGTGTTTTTTAAATAGGGTTTTTTTTTACCTGTCTGCGCATGCTTCCTAACAAATTAAGAATTTAGCGAGGTCAGCATTACCTGATATATCAGATATTTTCTGTGGTTTTTAAACACCTAAGTATTGTTGACCTTTGACCTAGATCTCTACCTGTGTGTGTACAGATATATATATATCAAGTGTGTATATGTGTGTAGAAGGCGTTCGTCAGATATTACCTTGCTGGTTTGATGTATGTGACTCGACCAGACAACTGTTTGCTGAAAGTTGGTGCTTTGCAGTGTATTTGCGACATTTTTTTAAATGTCTAGCTACTGTATTGAAAGTGAACATTTTGCTTGCGAACTCCAGCCAAAGTGGGCTGTCAGAAAACAGCTATAGTAAATTGACGGAAGTAGTGTGACTCACCTGGGTAGTGTACAAGTTCACAGATGAATTCTACTCGGAATTGTGTTGAAATTTAATCTCAAGAAAACAATAAAAAGTCTTTGGAGATTTGTTTATATAACTGTCTACACAGGGAGTACACTATTGGCTTGTAAATTGAGGCCAGTTGGTGCACTGTGTGAATGAGGGGCTGATAGTACAGGGAGTCAGGTTTGGGACGGAAGCCCCTAGGGAGCTATAAACCCTGGATAGATAAAGCACTGCTTTACATATACAATCAGTGGTGTACACATGAGCATCTGTACATAGCTGCCTGGGAAGTGTATGTGTATATGTCTGCTGTCTGTGTAGCCTGCTGGAGCCTTGTGAACAGGATCTCTTGATATTTTCAAATTCTTAGTGGAGATAACAGAGCCTTGAGGAATGTTCACTGCAGTTTAGTCATAGCTCTGGAGCATTGATGTGTTGTGTTTTTCGAAGTTCCCCAGTCTGTTAAATTCTCTAGGACCGATTCTATATCAAGATTCAGAGTGGAGTTTGTGTTGCCTTGCAGCAGGAAACTAGATACTTTCACATCTACGACATGAGGTTTGCTGAATCTAGACCCGCATGTTCCCTCCCTGTGTTATGATAAACTTCTCCCCTCCTGTTTCACCCCACCCAAAACTGCAGTTAGATATAAACATAATAGTGGCACTATAACTAGATTTGGACCAGCTATCTCACCATCTGTATCAGACCTCAAGTCTACGGAACATGAAAGCATATCATTTTGCTCTAGTAATGCTTTGAATTTATATTTCTGAGGAAAAGTTTTAAGTCTTGCGTAAAGAAGAATGTACTGACTGCCAATTCCAGAAACAACTTATCACAGGAAATTTAGTCTTAAGATAGATTCTAGCAGAGCTAGATGAACTAAGCAGGGAGACCCAAAAGAATTTTTCCATTTCTTTTTCAGTTTCTTGGAGATCCACTTGGTATATATTTTTGTTGAAGTTTTCTAACTATTTTTCGCCATGGTTCTTGTCACCAACAGTTTCCTCATCAGCTTTATGGTGGATGCCCGTGGGGGTGCCATGAGGGGGCGTCGACACTCTGGGGTCCGGATCATCATCCCCCCTAGAAAAGCATCCATGCCCACCCGTGTCACCTGTCGCCTGATCAAGAAGGACAAACTGATGCACCCACTTCCCCTAAATGAAGGTGAAGCCCTGGCCGCCAGGATCTTGGAGATGGGACCTGTAGCTACAAAGTTCCTAGGGTGAGTACAATTCCATTCAAAAAGCCGAATAATTTGAACCTAAATACCAGATTTGTTTCTTAATAAGCCCAAGAGGTCAGCACTTCCTTGACTGAAATAGAGCAGCAGGCTTATTTAAGGGTTGTGACTATGCATTTGCTGGAATTTCTAATGAAATGCTTAAGAAATGTTGGTGGATTCATTTCCAGGCAAGGTTTCGTTGCCAAATAAATTCATTATTTTTTTTTTCCTTTTGGGGATGGGGGTGGGGGACACCTTTTACTAAAAACATATTAAAATAGATGAAGATGTGCCAGTGAAAAAAATACCACATAGTTTTACTGGGTAGTTAAGATATAGAATTCTTGATTATACTGTACAAATGGAGCCTAGGGCTACAAGGGTGGCCTATAACTAAACCTGTCTAATCTGACCAGTGAGTCTATACTGAAGCCTGTTGAAAAACAGATAATGTGGAAACATAGACAAAACAACTGTTTACATTAGCTGGTGTGATGTGACAACTCACAGGGTTTCATTATCTTCATTGATAAGAATTTGTTTGCTGTCGGATTAGAGAAGATTTTTGAGAGAATGGGGTCATATTAGACAGGTTTGTTCGCGGAAAATATCATTCAAACCAGTTTCTGTGATAATCAGGGGTCAGAATAGACAGACCTGTCATAATATTCAATCATATGTCACATAGGAAAGCATGTGTGTGTCTTATTAAGAATGGAATCATGAAAAGCTGTTGAAGTGTTCCACACAAAAACCATCAATTAATGTAAACTGATACTACCAGTCAGAAGACATTATTTTTGAGGAAGTAACCAAATTTTCTTTATGTGTACAAGGATTTCGTGTCAGGCGACCGGTGTTTACATACAAGATTAAGAGATAATAGTTTGAAACATGCAAACTAGGGAAAAAAATCTTCTCGAACAAGTACATCGTCTTGTTCCACCCAGTTAACTGTGAATGGTGTTGACAGTGTTATTTTAAGCTGTAAAAATTGGAAGTTGGGCAAAGGTAAATGTTGAGACAAAGGATGAGAGTAGGAACATGTGTGTTGTGAACATTTTTTGTATTTAAGTGGATGGAATGGATGCAGGACACTAATTAGGTTTTAAAGGTTATGTTTTGAAATTAGTTGTCTTCAATTTGTGATTATAGTGCCAAAACGAAATGAGTATTGATCAGTACACTTTTGACAGATTTAGGGGTGGGGATGAATGGAATGTTAGATTGAAGGGTATGATGATAGATGGATGGGTGCAAAGAGATGGTAGATGGAGAAAAGGGATTGAATTGGATAGAATATGGAGGTGAGGGTGAAATAGGGTGGTAGATGAAGGGGAGGTGTGCAATTGGGTGGTAGATGGAGGGGAGGGATGGAATTGAATGTTAGATTGAAAGGAGAGGTGTAATTGGATGGAAGATTGAATTAAGAGGTGGAATTAAATGTAACACGGAGGTATTTGGGTCGAATTGGATTGTTTGGGTGGGGAAACTGGTTTTGGGTTCGTATATAAGAAATCACCTAAACCTATCAGATGATGGGAGAATGCAGGACAGGAAGGTTAACCAAAACCACCATTTGTCATCAGATGTGTTCTGTCACTGTCCCCACATGATAAGGCATTTTTCAGGCAGGATATATTACATGTAGAAATTAGATTTGATTGATTGTAAGTGCACCCCAGCTGGTGTAGGTCACCCACCATAGTTTGTCAGTAGGTTATCAGTGACTGCAGACTGTGATATAAATTACAGAAGGGAACATGGCTATGGGTGACTGTTATGTGTATCAGTGTTACAACACTTGTCAGTCAAATATCTTTATACAGAATGTCAACTGGCAGCCAGGGACATCTAGAGTACAGAATAGACCTAATCTAGTGTGTGGAATATACATTTCACTTCATTGACAGTTCCTTTTCTGAGAATATATTTCACTTTGGCAGATGGTGGATGGACTGTTTCCATTCATAAATACATTTCATTTGATAGAATTTATTTCATCTTTGATAGGTAAAGTTCTTTAACTGAACCAATTCAGTCATAAAATTACCAAACAGTAAATCCAAATTTAATGACTAATCAAACATGTTTAAAATGTATGCTGTTTTTCCTCAATATTACTAGAAGGGAATATAATATTGAATTATTAACCTGTTTTGGAGGTGAATACGAGTATTTATGAACTTTTGGACGATGATATGTCCTTCTCAGGTCAATGATTGTTTATTTATACAGCAACAATCTGTGTTCTGATTGGTCTAAAATTGCAGCACAGGTTACTGGATTGTTGTTTCAACCCATAAGATGTTTGACTTCATTTTGGACTTTTACTTCATGGTCTGTTTTGTTATAACATTGGGGGGACAACGTCTGGTAACGGGAAGAGTCAAGGAGATGGTTAACCATCACCATCATCATCATCATCATCATCATTATCATCATCATAATCATCATCACCATCATCATCATCATAATAATCATCATCATCATCATCATCATCATCAATGTTTCGTCATATAAATATAGTATATTTAGACATATGAGAGTTGCTTTGACCAATCAGTGTGTAGGAGAAATGAAAAAAACATATACAGCTCTTGTGATAGAATGGAAGAACTTTGAGAAAACCAACAAAGAAACTTGGTATGACAAGTTACTGTACCTTTTCACATTTAATCATGGAAACTTTTTGAAGAAAAGTGAGTACATTCGAGACTTTTCCGATTTTAGTTGAAAGTCTTCCAACCATATTCTGTGTCAAATGATATTTACACACAGTTTTCTAAAGTCTGACTAAGAAATGAAAAAAAAAAACCATAAATGTCAGTTTCTTTAAATTGAATGAGATGCATTGTTAGATCAGCTTCAGAAAGGGTTTTACATTTAATGGCTTGTTGGATATACAATGTACATGTATGATTTCTTTGTCCGTGTTAGTGGTACATATTAAAGTTCACTTTCAATTTCTTTCAATGAATCGGTCTCATTGTTAGATGAATCTTGTAAAAAATAAAATGTTTTGGCTTTGTTTCATATCTGAATATACCCGGATATACAATATGTCTTGTATGATCTTATTTGCTTTTACAATAGAAATATTCTTTCTCTATTTTTCTCTTTGATAAAATTTCATCGGGTTCGGTAAAGCAAAGTTTGTTTAAGACAAAATAAATTAAAACGTGGAAAGGTTCTCAAATATTCCAGATTATCATATGGGGCAAGTACACCAGGCCCCACTTGTATAAAACATGTCAACTTGAGATTTCCTCAAGTCGAGATTTTCCTCAGCTAATATCTCCTCAAAAACGGCTTGTATAAAATTTTCTCAAGGAACAGGAGGAAGTCATCGGCTAGGATGTCCTGAAATTCCTTGAGGAATTTTCATACAAGATATTTTCAAGGAGATATTAGCTGAGGAAAATCTCAACTTGAGGAAATCTCAAGTTGAGATGTTTTATATAAGTGGGGCCTGATTTTCATCATTTACAAAAATAGATATTTACCCAGAGTAAGCTGACAATGCTTAGAGTTTGTTTACAATGTGGTTTAATTAATCTTTTAGCATGTAAATAGTGGCAAAAGGTGTATCGAGGTTAACTCATTATTTCATAGGGTCATCTCTGCCATGTGTAATTTCTGATGAGTTTCAGAAATAAGAAGTAACACAGTCATTAGCAGAACTTGCCTATTATAGACTGGTTTGAGTCATTGTATATATATTGTAGTCTTTGTTTAACATGACAATATTTCCAGGGATCAAAGAACGATAGTAAATGATATCCATTTAAAGTAATTGAAGATCAACATCAGATATTTTGGAAAAACAGACCAGGCTGATAGTTTAAATAGATTACTTTACAGTTATTGTCAGTACGTAAATTCTTCAGAAACAAAATGAGTGACAAACAGGTTTTTAGACCAAAATAAAGTTTGTGTGTCAAAGCCAGTCATTTTTTGTAATTACAGAGAAAGCTGTTGTTTATTTCATGTTTATTGAAGAAAATTGTAGAAAAAGCTTAAGCAACATTTAAGTAATGCTTCAAAGTATCACGTATTTGTATAAATTAAAGTTTGCAACTGAAGGGAGCCATATGAACGATCTTCCCCATGTTTTGCATATTTCAAAAAACATCAATTATGAATTTGTTTTCACAGGAAATTTATCACATATGTCTATTTCATTTCTATTCAGGTTCACTTTTGAAGTAAATATATGTTTACATTGATAGCATTTGACATGAATTAGATGAAAACATCAATATTTGCATGTATGAACATTTGGTGCTAAACTGTGTTTTATGTTCACACTTGCCAAACAATTTAGTAGGTTTAACAAAGCAAAGGATTTTTCAAAGGTAATCTTGGTGAATTGCAAAAGGGAAATTTAAAATGATTTAGTTTAACAACGCAAGGGGGATTTAATAGGGGGCAGACATTAGGAAAAATACTGCATATCTTTAATGACCAAGCTCATGAGAATTGCTGTCAGATATTTGTACTTCCTGTACAATATTGCGTCGGCAGGAAACAACACACTCAAGTGACACAGATTGACTTACACCCATCAAATAAAATTCTAGACGTTGGTGTGGATTACAAATAATCTGTCTTTTGTACTTTTTGTAATTTTCCAGGTATTCATAGGATATAAATATTATGAAACTACACAGTAAACTGTCTCTTTTAATTATAGATAATTAAAATTTAAAACCAATAATCCCTATTTTTCTATTTTAGAAATTTTTTTTAAAAAATACATATTTGTCAGTGGGTTTTAGAATAACTTAATTCAAAAAGGAAAAAACATTGAGGAAATCTGAAATAAGATCTGTGTGAAGTGTTGGATAAATATCCATGGATGTCACTTTAAGTCAACACATTATCTTACCAATGGAGATCCTCGTGTTTAAAATTCTGCTGACCCTGCCGCCCAACACTCGAGATACACTTCAAGGCAGACAAAACCATTGCTGAAAATTGACCTATTTTGACTAATCTCTTTCCTCTTAGAGACTGACATAACAGGAAATGAGGTGATATTTCTGGTTTAAGTTTAATATTCTGTTATGGGTATGATACAACAATTCTTGTTTAAATGTGAGAAAGACAAAATACAAGAGTACATGACCCTTAGGTCATGCATTGAACAGATACCTGTCTATAGAGGTCACAATTATCTCAAACTAGTGCCTCTTTATAAAGGTGAAATGTATTTGTCATAAAAACCTGTCTATATAGACCATCTTTGTATAGCACATACCTGTCTATAATGGCCATACCTGTGTAATCCTGGTAAATACTAGCTGCTGTATACCGCTCAGCTAGAGAGAACCTGTCTTGAGCACCCTCGTTGGAGTGTCAAACTTGTAAACCAGAGGTCCCAGGTTCGAATCCTAGTGCAGAGTATTGAATTAAGTAATGACCTGTTTTAAATTGGTGCCCATATAGGGCCTCTGTAATAATACTTAGCATTGCTCCACAGACAATGTTTTTACACATGGAAGGATAAATTCTTTCCTAAAGGGAGAGTTCGTAACCATGGTAAATGCTAGCTGCAATATACCACTCACCTATTTAGCTCGATCAGTTGAGCATGAGACTAGTAAATGAGAGGTCCTGGGTTCGATTCCCAGGGGAGGCATTGGGTTAAATAATGACCTCTATTACACCCTGTATAACAAACACCTATTGGTAAAGATCATCTTTACCTAAATTACCTATCATTAAATGTCATGGGTGTATAGAAAATACCTGTCTATAAAGGTCATCAATATATAACAAATACCTGTCTATAAAGGTCATCTATATATAACAAATACTTTCCTTTAAAGACCACTGGGTTTTAATCTGAATGTTAAACAACTCAATTCAACTCTACATAAAGGTCACCTGTCTATACAGGTCATCTGCATATAACAAATACCTGTCTAGGCAGGTCATCTCTGTGTTATAAAAACCTGTGTTGAAAGATGTCTTTGAAGCCACCTCAGTTCCCTTGAATCTCTAAATGAGTGTACAACAGGTATCAAAAAGGACTATTAACTTTGGATTTCAGTTGAAATATTTTCTCAGGGCTATTGGGGATACAAAACTTTGTTTTAATGAAATTAAGAGGGAGGCATATGGCTAAGTTGTATGGTGTAAAGTTGGAAGTGTAGTCGTGTGCTAATGAACTTTGAGTGGAAAGAAGAGATAGTGATAGACCAGGCCATCTTCCTGGGGGTCATGAAAACCAGCTGGAATGATCAGAAAAGCAATTATCTCCTTGGCTATGGATGGGGGCTCACCATGGGAGATGGGGGTATAAAATTCACAGAAATATTAAGATAGTATGTTGGGATATGGAAACTGTTTATTAAGATGTGATACTGTGTGTACGGCCACGCCACACCGTAATAATTCATATCTAATTATTGTTGTGTCATTGTGACCAGAGTCATTGGTATGTGTGTACAGGGTGTGGGCCAGTAATGATGGCAGCCAGATGAGGAGGCTGTTTCACAGTTCTATCATATACACAGGCATTCTCTACACACAGAGTGGTACTTTTTGACACATATGTCATCCTATTACCATGCTGAATCACAGCAAGCCCACCAGTAATTATTGTAGTTTAATAGAACTGAAAACAAATATTACTACACTAATTGTCAAAGATAAGTCCACACTTGTGAGGCAGAATATTGGCCATCTGGGGCTACTGCAGGATAAAAAGAAGAGTGTCATGATGAAAACAAATTTTGTTGAGGCTTCAAACCATACTTAGTTTGTATCTGAAAGTTTTAAAGTGTTACAGAAATGACCCAGCCCTATCATATCATATATATAACTGGGGTAAGATCTGAATACTATGGAGTTAGCCAAAAATAGCATGTATTGAGCCATATTTATCTGTAAATAAGCCCATTACTAGTAATAAGCCAGCCCATATCTATTGATATTCAGCAGAAATATAAATCAATGATGTTAATATATATTATATTATATCTTATATTATATTATATATTATATTATTATATTATATTATATCATGTATTACAGGCGCATTGTCATCGAGATCCCACACTTTGCTTCACTGAGAGGAAAGGAACGCGAGATCAAGATTCTGAGGAGTGACAATGGAGAGAAATGGGAAGAGCACCCGATCCTGGCAACAGATGATGCTGTCAACAAGGCTTTGAATGAGAGTCTGGAAGGTAGGGTCATCTGAGGCTACTAAGGGAGGTAACTCCTTTAGGAGGAGGTGAACCTGAAGAGATTAAACTCTGGTCTGGTCTTTGTTTGATCCAAATATGTAATAAATGTTTAGAGGGGTTAAGAGCAAGTCACTAATGTTGATAATATCTGTAAGAAAATTGTTTTTATTAGCAAATTTTTGAAAAAGGGAAAGTTTATTTTTCTTTCAAAACTCTTACTTAAAGATTCAAATTGTTGAACTGTAATTGGTAAAAGAATTCTAACAAAGCAGTAAATATGGTTGTGAATGTTTGGACACTGCTTGGTTGTGGTGTCGGGCTCAGCTAACAATACCGGTTTGTAAACATTGAGATATTTTGTTAATGTGTAATGGTGTATCAAAATGACTTTTTTCAGACCTGGAACATGAGGATGACTTGGCAAACAAGCGTATCACACGTATTCTGACAGATGACTTCCCTCGCTACTTTGCACTGGTAACAAGGGTTCGAGAGGAACGACAGAGCGTAGGAGAAGAAGGTGGAGTGATCAGCTCCACAGTTGTGCCTCAGGTTCAAGCAGTTTTCCCTGAGGGCGCTCTCACTAAGAAAATTCGTGTCGGATTACAGGTACATCTAGTTAACAATCATCCTTATATATACTTCTATCTCCGACCTATTGTCAGCGCTACAGCTTTTGAACAATTTTTCAGTTAAATTTACTTGGGTATCTATGTTTCAATATTGTTGCATTCTTTATATCAACAAAATTGTATGTAAATAGCTCAATCATTCAAAATAATTTTGTAATAGTGAATGAATTTGATATACTTATTTGGAATAATAAAAGCCATGAATTCATCAACTGTCTACTATCATTCCATATTATGTACTTTTCTCTCTCTCTCCTTTTTCTCTTGCTCTGTTTTTAGTTTGTTTATTTGTTTTTATTGCAAAACTGTTTACTTCTTCTGTGGATAAATTGCTATTTAAATTAAAGTGATAGGGTTGGCAAAGATGGCATTATTTACATTTTGGTGTGTGAACTAACACGCCCATCAAATTTTGTCAGATTTTGTGATTATTAAAAATGAATCTGTGTGATCTCATGGATTATGAAAGGTAAGGCTGTTGTGTGAGCTGGTTTTATTTCTCTTTCATTTTTAGCCAGCCGGGCCTATTGTGAGGCTAGTGGAATTTCAAACCGACATTTTTTAAAGCAACTGTATATAGAATGATGACCTCCCCTCTACATTTATGCACTCTATTTTCTTTGCTTCTAGTGTGTTGGTCTGTCTTGGTGTTTGGTAGCTCTCCATTTAGTGTTAATAATAGCCCACTCAGCAACATTATCAGCCAATCTTACGCCACCCTACGTTACTTTTCTGTGAAGTTCTGTCTTCTGATTTTTTCGTTCTGTTTCATTGGCTATTGTATTTATTTGCAAAATGCTCTGAAGAAATATCTATATCATAAGTACAAATCGCTGGAAATTGAAACCAATAACTCCTGCAAAATGTCAATCACTCACCAGGCACAGCCAATCAGCCCTGACCTTGTTGCCAAGCTGCTTGGCAACCGTGTGGCCGTCAGTCCAATAGTGACTGTGGAACCAAGGCGACGTAAATTTCACAAGACCATCACCTTGACGATCCCAGTCCCGAAAGCACAACAAAAAGGAATGATAAACCCACATCGTGATGACCTGCCAAGTCTTCGAGTACTCTACAGTATCTCTGGTAAGGATATGTCACTGAGACAACGCCATCTACCAGCATAGTTTTATGTATAGCATTTCAAGGGAGATAAATCTTCCTCGCTTTGTTTTGTAAATATGTAGATATAGTAGTAGACTTTTAAACAACGCTTCAGTTTGTGGTCTTGTTGTTTGGTGACTGAATCTGTGTTGAATTTGCACTGAAAAAGTAGAAATATTTTGTTGGGATTTCTGAATCCCCTTTACCCCTGGACCCACTTCCCTTGATCCGTTCAAGATGGCTCCCTCCCTGCCTATGAGTAGTTTCAGTGATTAAGCAATATCATCATAGCTACTTGCTTTTATTGCATGACAATCCTCGGTGTTTGTCTGTCTTCATATTATCTTTTAAAGCTTTATGCTCCGTGCACATTCATGAAATATTTCAGGTCACACTTTAGTCTGAATTTTGTTATGCAAAATCATTAAAAACATTGCATTCTGGTGTTATGTGAAAACATCTACACGAAAACTAAAATGTAATGTGAAAGATTCTGTTTGTCTTTGCAATATAAGAATATTAAACAATTTGCAATGAAATTTTTAAAAAACAATGTCCAATTATTCACTGAAATTTTATACACCAAAAATTGTTAACAGTATTCACATCTCAGGATCAGTGGAAGCAAATGATTTTCACATAACAGAAGACATTTCCCGGGTAAAATCTTGCCTATCTATTTTCACATTTTATTTGGGTATTTTTAAATTTTGTCGGACAGAAATGTTCATTTTCAGTGAATTAGAATTATGATGACAATTTTAAACTGACAGCTGCTCAAGAACACTCATACATAACAAAACTGCATTGTTATCTTGCCTGCGGTCCTGCATGGTATATTATGCTCATATTTTCATGATAACATCAAATTAGGTCCTTCTAGAATTAAGATTTAGTTATGTTCAATTTTTTTTGCGCCATTTATTCAGCTGTGTTAGTTAATTTATGTAAATATGTTGTATCCTTCCAAGTAAACATACAAAATTAATTGCATCACTCGATTTCCATTCCACATATTTAGTGTTTCTGAATGTAATCAAATATTATATGAGAAAAAAAAAAAAAAAAAAAATTAACAAAACAGAAACAAAAAAAAATACATTTTAAATTTATTGAAGTTGCCTCCGTAATCTAATCTGATGTTTTTCCAAAAATTGTCGAAGATCATACAAATGAAATCTATTTTCATTCCCACTATGTAAATTAGTTATCAGATGTCATGAGCATGATTCTCACAGACACTGTGGTAATGTGATCTCACCAAATCCTTACCTGTAGAAAATCATGTTTAAATCCTAAATGGTTCTTTACCAGAAGTGGAAAAAGCAGATAGTTGCACTTGATTTTTCACCTAGCAGAGGTATTTGGTCACGTTTCAATATTTTTTATTTTTTGTAGTTAGATACTTGCACAAAGATTAGTAGTGTAGTAGGATAGATAGTACCACGAAAATATTTTAAATCTCTACATTTTGTAATTTGATTTTCATCAAATAGTATTTTACTTCCATACCTATAAACATATTTTCATCATATATATATAATTTGTCATTCATTCATACACACATTTAAATTCTTTAAGAAAGACCTAGGACTTGAAGCACAAGACTAATTTCTGAATTTTCTGCAATATTCAATGGTGCTGATGAAAATCCTTACTAATTTGAGATAAAAAGGTGCTAGATTTCTTTCTCAGATTCTCGAAAAAAAATATTATTTTGCAAACGAAATATGAAAATCCCAACAGACGTTGATATTGCTGCACTCACGCAGTAAAATCACTATATTAAAGATATGTAACTTTCTAATTTGCTTCGTCAACTGAACTGGTGATAACATGTTTTATTAATTATCAAATTGAAATTATGTTCTTGTGTAGGATAGTAGTGTTTTTGTGAAGATTCTGATGGTAAGTGTAAATCTTGATTGAAAAAATAGAGTTTCCTTCAATTTGTGGAGAAAAAAAAGCTCGAATGTCAGCGTGCACCCGCTATGTTTATAATCTCACATTGTGTTTTCTCTTGCTTTCACAATCTGTTTTTCTTCTCTTTATGCTTACCATAGGCTCGAACAACTCTTTAAACAAAGGTAAAAAGGGCAAATTTAAAACCATGTTTACGTTGAATTTGTCTGCCTCCGTGTACACATGTAAATATGTCTTCGTCCCTGATATTGTTTTGTGACTGTCTGCTCCGTTGTATTCTGTGTAAATACTAAAATAAAACTGACATTCACAAACATGGAAAGTATAAATTTATTTGTTTGTCGGTCATTTCTCTTTTAGAATTAGATTCCTCATGGAAACATAACTTGTAAGATGGAGTTGTAAAATAGAATATTTTCAATTGCGGGCATATTTATTCCTAGCTTTGTATGATATTTTTACTGGTTAAATATGCTTTGTGTATTATGATTTCCTTGCTCGTTAACGGATTGACAAAAACGCTGCTCTTTAGTTGTTGAGTAAAAATTTCATTCTCAAGTTGTCTGATTTGCTATAATGGCACAACAATATGATTTCCTTGATGAAATATTTAAACATGAAGTTTGATTTTGTAGACAATGTGTAAATAGTTTTATTATTATAATGACGATTTCTCTAATTGAAACATATTTAACATCATTTATATGACACTGTGTTTTGACCGGGACCAATCTTATCCTGCTTTAAAAAAATATTTCTAATCCGTTGTTAAATATTTTGGATTGAATTCTATAATGATATTCATGAATTTTGACATTTTGACAACTGTAATTACTCTCCTACATGCCCATTACAGATTTAACTTGGTAGATGGGCTTATTACAGAACAACGAAATAGTAATATATGACAATTCAATTAGATGTTGATGAGGGTATTACCATATAAAGACAGTGTATCAGATTTCAAATATAGTGTTTTTCCAAAGGATATCAAAGCCATGAACTTTTTAAAAATTTGTTTAATTGTATCAAAATTTAATGTCCAAATCTGCTGTATATGTGTATTTATCAAAGAAAAAAGAAGAATGAAGTTCTGTTCGCTGTAAAGTTGTCTTGACAAATGATATTGTTTTGGATTGTAGAGGGGACAGATGTGGCCATTTGGGATGACTTGACAGAGCAGACGCAACTCAAACTTGTCAATGACTGCGTTTCCTTCACTACTAGAGTTTCAGGAAGGTGGGTAGATTCACAGATCATTAATTATGGTCAATTTTTCAGTTATCTTCAAGTAATTAAAGGTATTAATGTTTGTTAAGATACCTGTCTAATTTATTGATCAGGTCAGTAGTTTAACATCAAAATCACAATATTTAAAATTACGGAATATTTTGTTTGAAAAATTATTTGAAAGGGAAGAGCAAAGACAAATCTTTGAATTTCAAAAAATTTTAAATGTAGATTATGTTAACTATTGTGCCTGTTGTTACACTGTTCAGGATTGTAAGATTATAACTTATGCAGCCTTTGTATTGGAGTCTAGAATCTAGTGATCAGCATTTGATATATTAACACGTCACTTGTTGTTGTTGACAGATTTTGGTTGATGGATTGTCAGAACTATTCTGATGCAACAAGGATGGCTACTGAGCTTTACCGAGAGGCAGTAGTCGTTCCTTATATGGCACGCTTTGTTGTGTTTGCCAAACGCACAGGTGAACAGGAAGGCAAGCTTCGCATGTTCTGTATGACGGATGACAAGATTGACAAGACTCTTGAAAAACAAGAGCATTTCGTAGAGGTAGCACGGAGTCGAGACGTAGAGGTAAATATTTGAATATTGCACCTAACAAATTAATTAGACTTTGCTAATGAATAACAAATTTGAGCACAGTGAGTTTGAAAAGTACATCTTGATAAAAGTATTTTTTCTAAAGTTGTGTTGGCTTTTTAAGGCATTTCATCTTGAAAATTATGTCTTTGTGCATTACAGAGTTATCTGCTCTTGTGAGCAGTTATTGATTGTTACAACATCGTTTGTGAGAGAGAGTGCCTTCATAAATTTGTGAGAAAATGACATAATTTCCCATGCAAACTGATAACATGACAACCAATATCTGTTAACAAGAGCAGATACCTCTGTATTTTGAAAAGACAGAATAGCGCCTGTTATGCATCAAGTAAGAAATAATTTCATTACAAATGAATTTGTGTGCCTCTAGGTGTTAGAAGGCCGACAGCAGTTTGTTGAGATGGCTGGTAATCTCATCCCGATTACCAAGTCCGGTGACCAACTCTACGTTGATTTCAAAGCCTTTCGAGAGAATCGACTCCCCTGTACCGTACGCATCCGTGACCTGGACCAGGAGCCAGCGGCACGTGTTGCATTCATGAAGGAGCCTAAAGTGGCTCGTGGAGAAGTGCCACAGACCCCCATCTGTAACTTGAATATCTCCCTCCCAGACATGTCCACCTCTAGTTCCATGGAAATGGACGGGGATGCTGCCCTTGAGCTACGCAAACGCTCCTCTCTTCTCAAGGAGTATGGTATTGGTGAGTGGTTTCTGACCATTGGTCAAGTTAAGCAATGGCTATATCAGTGGCTATGAGTAGTTTTAAAAATATGTCGTAAATTCCTGGTTACAATCATTTATGAAAACTTTCATATTTCAAAAAACTTGTATAGTTTTGTAATTAAGAAATGTGTTTCCTTTCATTTATAGTAATAGAAGACACTGTAAGCCGGGCTCAGATCAAACTGACTGATGTAGCTGACACGCTGAAGGGTGACTGGGTTGTCTTAGCTCAACAACTTGACTTTACGTCAGGGGAGATAAACCAAATAAAAAATGATTACAACACTGTCAATGACCAGGCTCTTGCCATGCTCCAGCTTTGGGCAGCAAAGGATAAGGAACAAGCTACAGGTAATATTGTCATCAAAGAGAGAAAGAAAGAAAAAAAATCTGTGTCATAATTCAAATTGAATACTATAGAAATAGATTAATTCTCTTTTTCTTTTGTGTTACCATTACCCCCCCCCCCCCCCCCCAAAAAAAAAAAAAAATTAACAAAGGAAAATTGTAAAAATAAAGTGAACTATGGTTTGATACATTCTTGCTTCTACAAATTTCTATTTTCTTTTTCAGGTAATGCATTAGAGAAAGCCTTAACAAGGATAAACAGAGAAGATGTTGTCAAAAAATGCATGTACAATGTGGAAACAGTAGAAGATGAAGTAGAGGCAGCAGCAGCTAGGGTAGCTATGGACCAATCAGGTAAGCTTTTACATGACACACTGAATCAATTATCCACCAATCAGAAATGGTCTTACAAAGAAAGAAGATGCTCAAAATCAGCCAATCCTGTGATTCCATATATCTGATCCAGGAAGTGGAAATTTTGACCAATAGAAGAGAGTTTTACATATAAAAAAAGTTGATGTGTATTAAAAAACAAAACATGTCTTCTTCAGGTAAAATTTACAAGAAAATCATGTTTTGTTTGTGCATAGAGTAGAACTTAAGATAGTGACATACATGAATGTTATACAAAACTACACTGTACAACAATGTACAATAATGCCTTACAGTCAAATTGTGTATAATATGTAACATTTGTTTATCAATTTCTGTCAACAGGTGATGTGTTTTCATAATGATCTATTTCATAATACACTTATCTTTAAATTTCTGTTGGTGCTGTCCAGAAATTACAACAGAAGATTAAGTTTAAAGCTTATCTACATCAGGATGAAGTACAAATCACACTGGAAACATTTCTGAAAATGATTTATGAAGTCATTCCATGTTGAATCTGTTGATATTAAGTAAAGGAAAAACAGTGATTAGTGATGGCAGAATAGTTTCACTATATTTGATCATGGCTGTTTATTTTTCCCCCGTTTAGGTTTTGACACTTTTACAGAAGAAGTCGGTATTTCTAGAGATTCCTCCATGAAACGAGGCATGTCTTTAGATGTCCAGTATGATGAACAAGACATCATCAAGGTAATATCTATTGTCATTATTCAACGCTTGCAAAATATTCTAAACATAAATGCTGTATATGTTTAGTATTCAGAGGTGGGTGACTAGAATTTTTGTTCCATTTTTAGTCCCGAATGTGACGGACATTCTTCAGAAAGAAAGGATAAAACAAAATTGTATCTGAATTTCATTTACAATTCATTACTGACTTTGGTGAAAAATATTGCGGAAAATTTACATGCATGAAAGTTTTAGTTGGCACTTCATGTTTAATTCATGTACTTGTTATTGTATATCATAACATATTTTCATGCTTGTCGTAAATCCTGTACACAGCACAAATTATGCTTTGGTTGTTACATTGGATTGTTCAGTCACTACAGGTTATAAAATGCATGGTTTAAACTGGTTTTAGACATTCCCTTGATAATTTCATTTTAACTGCAAGACTTTTCTTATTACACACACTGCCAAAACACATTCAGCTTCATTTCGAATTACATCGGCATGGGTATTTCAGGATTTGGCAACCTATGTTTTTGTTTTGCAGTTGAAATGAAATGGTCTAACAAAGTAGTTATTTTGTTAAAATGATTATTTGTTTATTTTTAATTAATTAACCATTATCCAAATATTTAATTTCGTTATGATTTTCTGTAGTAAAACAATTTCATTTATTTATTATGATTTTTCCCTTAATACCAACTCTCTCATTTGCATGTGGATTGCAGTTACTCCATGACCTTGAGGCTCGGCAGGTGAGAACTAGGTCAATTTGACCTGGTTGTAGTGCTGCTGTACCCATACTTCCCCAGCATGTATTCAGTCCTTTTTTGTGTCATGTAAATTTTAATACTCTGCAGAAGAACTTCCTCATTTCAAATTAGCATTTGAAAACTATTCAGACCTATAGCTTAGTTGAAAATTTTTGGGGAAATGCAAAAAGGATTTCATCCAAATCCAAATTTATGAAGACCATTTTATTGAGTTTCCATTCAATTTTAGAAAATGAGATATTGTATTTTTTGGAACTAATATATCTTGAAGGAGAGATATCCTATGAAAGGGAAGTTCTTCTGCAGATCATGATTTTGTCACAAGAGGTATCAAATGCCATTGCTTTACAGCAAAATATATTGAAACAATTAATCAATTTTTTTATCAGAATGAAATTAGAGGAAGTAAAGTTAGCAACATATAGTGTTAATATTTGCACCTGATTTGACTCCAGTGTAATGTATTAAGACTCACAAATATAGAGTAATGCATCTGTCTATCATAAATAAATAGCACAGATATTTTGATACACCATATCTTAACAGTGTGAATTCTACAGTTGTGTGACAGATAGAATGATTCAGAAATTAATAGTGGGTAAAATTGTCTCTTTTTTTTTTATCAGATGGATGTGCGCATGTTAGCTCACCGAAAAGTAGATTAAATCATCTTAGATCAATCCTTGTTTCCAGTTCTGGTCAAATGGTTTAAACTGCAATAAACAAAAATGATGAAGATAAAATATTCATTGTTCATGTTCAGAAGTGTACTTTATAAAAATAGAAATATGCCACCTTGCACACAAAAGGATTTATTTAAAAATCACATGGTGTACTTTAACATCATTTCTTAAATACTCCCATCCTGTAGATTACACAAATGTCAGATGCACTGTTTTTGTAGAAAATCTTCCTTTTTGTATAAACATGATATAAATCTACTGTGTCAACACAACCTCTGACCCAAAGTCCAGACATAAGCCTATAACAGCCCTCACCCACACTAGCGAAAGACATGTGGTAGACATCAGTCAACCCTCACACACAGCTACCCAAAAACATGTGGTAGACATCAGTCAACCCTCACACACAGCTACCCAAAAACATGTGGTAGACATCAGTCAACCCTCACACACAGCTACCCAAAGACATGTGGTAGACATCAGTCAACCCTCACTCAGCTACCCAAATACAGGTTGTAGACATCAGTCAACCCTCACTCAGCTACCCAAATACAGGTGGTAGACATCAGTCAACCCTCACTCAGCTACCCAAAGACATGTGGTAGACATCAGTCAACCCTCACACACAGCTACCCAAAAACATGTGGTAGACATCAGTCAACCCTCACACACAGCTACCCAAAAACATGTGGTAGACATCAGTCAACCCTCACTCAGCTACCCAAATACAGGTTGTAGACATCAGTCAACCCTCACACACAGCTACCCAAAAACATGTGGTAGACATCAGTCAACCCTCACACACAGCTACCCAAAGACATGTGGTAGACATCAGTCACAACCCTCACTCACACACAGCTACCCAAAAAGAGTCAACCCTCACACACATACCCAAAGACATGTGGTAGACATCAGTCAACCCTCACACACAGCTACCCAAAAACATGTGGTAGACATCAGTCAACCCTCACACACAGCTACCCAAAGACATGTGGTAGACATCAGTCAACCCTCACACACAGCTACCCAAAGACATGTGGTAGACATCAGTCAACCCTCACACACAGCTACCCAAAAACATGTGGTAGACATCAGTCAACCCTCACACACAGCTACCCAAAGACATGTGGTAGACATCAGTCAACCCTCACACACAGCTACCCAAAAACATGTGGTAGACATCAGTCAACCCTCACACACAGCTACCCAAAGACATGTGGTAGACATCAGTCAACCCTCACACACAGCTACCCAAAGACATGTGGTAGACATCAGTCAACCCTCACACACAGCTACCCAAAAACATGTGGTAGACATCAGTCAACCCTCACACACAGCTACCCAAAGACATGTGGTAGACATCAGTCAACCCTCACACACAGCTACCCAAAGACATGTGGTAGACATCAGTCAACCCTCACACACAGCTACCCAAAGACATGTGGAAGACATCAGTCAACCCTCACACACAGCTACCCAAAGACATGTGGTAGACATCAGTCAACCCTCACACACAGCTACCCAAATACATGTGGTAGACATCAGTCAACCCTCACACACAGCTACCCAAAGACATGTGGTAGACATCAGTCAACCCTCACACACAGCTACCCAAAGACATGTGGTAGACATCAGTCAACCCTCACACACAGCTACCCAAAGACATGTGGTAGACATCAGTCAACCCTCACACACACCTACCCAAATACAGGTTGTTGACATTAGTTAACCCACACTCACAGCTACCCAAATACAGGTTGTTGACATTAGTTAACCCACACTCACAGCTACCCAAATACAGGTTGTTGACATTAGTTAACCCTCACTCACAGCTACCCAAATACAGGTTGTTGACATTAGTTAACGCACACTCACAGCTACCCAAATACAGGTTGTTGACATTAGTTAACCCACACTCACAGCTACCCAAATACAGGTTGTTGACATTAGTTAACCCACACTCACAGCTACCCAAATACAGGTTGTTGACATTAGTTAACCCACACTCACAGCTACCCAAATACAGGTTGTTGACATTAGTTAACCCTCACTCAAAGCTACCCAAATACAGGTTGTTGACATTAGTTAACCCTCACTCACAGCTACCCAAATACAGGTTGTTGACATTAGTTAACCTACACTCACAGCTACCCAAATACAGGTTGTTGACATTAGTTAACCCACACTCACAGCTACCCAAATACAGGTTGTTGACATTAGTTAACCCACACTCACAGCTACCCAAATACAGGTTGTTGACATTAGTTAACCCACACTCACAGCTACCCAAATACAGGTTGTTGACATTAGTTAACCCTCACTCACAGCTACCCAAATACAGGTTGTTGACATTAGTTAACCCACACTCACAGCTACCCAAATACAGGTTGTTGACATTAGTTAACCCTCACTCACAGCTACCCAAATACAGGTTGTTGACATTAGTTAACCCTCACTCACAGCTTCCCAAATACAGGTTGTTGACATTAGTTAACCCTCACTCACAGCTACCCAAATACACATTTTTTTTATTGTTTTATAATTCTTACATTGTAAACTTCTACTTTTTTTCGATCAGTAATTGCTTTTGAATTCTTTACTTTGTAAATACACTAATTTTGTGTAAATGTGATTTCTTTTTCTCCATAAATCCACCAATTTTCAAACTTCATCCATTTAATATTTAGATGCTAACTGCAGTAATAATTTGTCAACATGTACCTTCTGCATACTGAGATATTTTCACCCCTGGCTCTTTCTGTCCTTGTACCATTATATACAAATTCACCTCACAAACATTTCACCCTCCAGATTATATTAAAATCTTATACAACTGTAAGAAATTTTCGACTAAATTTAAATTTTCATTCCCAGTTCATGGACAAAAATGGCAAAATTGAACAGAGGTGATAATTTCCCAATATACAGAATTTAATGGAATTGCTAAAAAAAAATAGCATATAACGTTAGCAAAGAGTCAGATTTTTTAACAAGTTTATCAAAAAGACTGGTCAAATGGATAATTTCCCTCCTAAAGCTTAAATAGGGGGAAAACAAATTCTGTGACAATTCATAAATAGGGACAAGGATTGTTTTTCAGGTTTGTGTGTTGATGTTTGAAGTCACTTAATACATTTTGTCGTGCAGATGACACATATTCCCGGAACTTATATGTTGTGGTTGCGTTTCCAGATAAGCCAGCTAGGAATTGAATATTTAGCTTTCTCTGTAGATATCTTGTATCCATTGAAGAAAACGTTGATACAATAATTTCTAGCTAGATGAATGTTCTAGAGCATGGAATCTTTGATAAATTTTGAAATCAGCATTTGTTTTATATAAATGTGAATGCATATCAGGAATTTACAGTTGGCATAAAGATCTGGAGATATTTGTATTGGACAGGTCTTTTTTTTTACGTAGATTTTTCTGTATAATGGTGTAATTGTGAAAAGCATGTCCATAGTGGTGACATTTTCTGATTAATTAAAACAGAAAACCTGTCTTTTGTGATGACTTTTAGATAAGTTACCTAAATCAAAGAAAAAATATTTAAGAAAAAAAAAAAACAAAACAAAAAACGAAAAAAACGGTCATAGAAAGTAGAAATCTTAAGTGCAAGGTTCCTGTTAGAGTTGAAAAAAACTTTGTACATTAATCTATGCACATATACTGGTTATGGTAATTAATTCTGAAGTGTTCAATTGATAACGGGAGATACTTTATTTGATAAATAAACTAACATGCTATACAGGTTCTTCAATTTGTAGAGTCAGCTCAGTTGACAATGTGGTCCCCCATTTACCACTCTTGGTGGCTTATGGTCATGTTACAGCCTTTTGATTGGCCATTATACCTCAATGCTGATTGGTCAATATTTATGTATTCTTACAGGAATCAGAATCAGTAGCAGAAGAATCTGGTAGTGATGTTGGTTCGGTGGGAGAGAGGTCGGCACCACAGGCACGCGAGGAAGGTGTGTATCTATCAATGAGTGTGTGAAAACTTGTGTGTCTCTTGGACAGCTAATCCTATCTGCTTATTTGGAAAGAAGCAATACAATCTATGTGTGATTTTTCTGCTAGATTTAGATATCTGCACCAGTAGTCCTGAACACTAGTATCTATTTACTCTGACAGTAGTCACCAGGATTATCAAATTTGAATTAGATGTAAAATAATGAGTAGTTATCAATCTCATTATTATTTAGATCCCATTTTTCATGTACCCATTCATCCCATTTCATCTTCATTTATCCTCAATTCCTCTCATTATTTTGACCCACCTTTATTTTAGCCTCATAAATTCTCATTTTTGTCCTGGCGTGATTTGGTAAAACAGATTGCATAAAGATACAACACATAAAAAGTGTCAAAGTTGTAAGGCACAGCTTAAAAAAATATCCAAACAAGTGTTACAGTAGCATAAATAAACTCTTCGCAGTTAATGCAGGATAAAGTATTTTTGTGCAAATGAAACTGAATATATTATCAAATACAATCATCTTTAATAAAGGCAGGTGATTTAATTTTGAACAAAAAAAAAAAAAAAAAAAAACCTTAAGTTGGCTGTATACCTGGAAATGTTTATCCTCATTTCATTTTTGCAGTTCTTGGTAAAAGACAAATAAATTTTAACACTTGTTTCTTATTTGAAAGTTTCAAAATTTTGAAGATTTTTCTAAATAGCAATAACTTGCGTTCGTCATTCATCATTCATTGTCCATTTTACCCGAGACCCATTTTGGCCATTCTGCTGTCATATTCTATATGCAGTATATATTGAGGATTGTTTACCATCAAGAAGCCCCTTCTGATATATGGTGATGGTTTTTTGTCGGTATAGATACTGAACAGGGTGATGATGACCAAATTATTATGGAGGTTGACTCCCGAAGGGGTGTCGCCAAAGAGGCAGTAAAACACGAAAGCAAGGAGGAAGACTTCTTCGATTTGATTTCACAAATGGATAAATATGCTGAAGCAAAAGACAAACAACAGACGAAAGAACAAGGTATTATGCCTGATCAGCACATTTGTCAAGCATGCCTCTCAATGCATGTTAATACAAGGACTTTTAATAAAGGAATATTCCTCTAAATTTGTATCACTAACTGGGGCAATATGGTTACTGGATATTGTGAATGTCACTGGCTAACGACCTCCACATACACCTCCATATGTTCACCACACTAACTTAGATTCACTGGTAATTTCATGTACCCTCGTCAAATTTGTGCTGTTTGCATAACCGAAGTGTTCTTCCATTGTCACTATGAACAGGGTTTGGCTTAAATTGTTTCCAACTAATAACTGATATGCCATGTTTAATGGTCGAACTAACTCCTATTTATAAATACACTGTGTTAACTAAAGAAAATTTCTCACGGTTAAGATAGAATAAAATTATTGTCTTTTAAGAAGATGTGTTTATTCAGTTAAATTCTTTCCCGTGCTGCTATTTTTTATCACCTGGTATTTTTTTATTTGTATTTTGCTGTTTTTTTGTTTTCTATGAATTGTTTTGGTATTCCTCAATTCGTGATGAAGCAAAATTCTGCATGAGTCCCGAAACTTTAGCTGACTATATTGAAAATGAAAATAATAGTTTTCATTCAAGATAAATTCTAATTAGAAATATCTTTATTTACCTTTTTGTTTTTAGCAAGGAAAGAAATATTTCCTACTAATGTTCACAGAACTAACAGAAAAGTAGCATTGTATACTAACATAGATCACAAGCTCTCAGCTGTCTTATTACCTAACCCTGTATCGATTCACAAAGAGCTTTAAAAAGAAAAGTTTATTTTGTATGCATGAGTATATGTATCCTGTACAGTGATAAGAAAAACATAACATTTATCAAAGATTTCTAGATAAAATTTTAGGTATAGTTCTGTAAAACCAATGAATTAGAAACTTAACTCCAGGCAATTTTCTGTTCTGCACTATATTTATACTACTGCTTTAACTTTTTTCCAGCTTCTGTAGGCAATAAAACTTTCTTCTAGAAGATTTGCATTAATTGATTTAATTTTTAGTGATTTTTTTGTTTTCAGTTAATTTACAGATTTAGATGAAGCTAGATTACCTCCCTTGTTTCAGTGCATACTCTACTTTCTACTTTTTTGTTTGTGATTTTCAATATGTGACCTTTACTATTTTAATATCATGTGACTTGATACAACTGATATCATGTGATTATGAGTTGATATCATTTGACCTCCGCACACTTCAGATACAGAGGATAGGCAATCTATCCAGGAGGATGAGTTTACACTCAATCGTCATGATCGTGAAGCCGCTGTCTCCGAATTATTTTCTAAACTAGAGGAAGTTGGTCAGCAATCTGCTCCGCAGCAAACGGCTTCTCAAAGCCAAGGTATTACGGCACGATCTGGTTGTTATTGTTGTATTCGTGGTATTGTGGTGTATTCTCACGACCTGTAACACAACCAATAATGGTCTTTTTTCTCTAATAAATATGCATGTAATAAAAAGTTGAAAACCTCGTTTAAAAAAAATATCTACTAACAGGCATGGTTAAATATCTTTATAACTTTATATACCCTCAAATCTATATAACTTTATATACACTCAAATCTTTATAACTTTACATACCCTCAAATCTTTATAACTTTATAAACCCTCAAATATTCTTAACTTTATGCAACCTTTATCATTTATAACTTTCTCTAATCATATGGATATGGGCAATTCTAAGCAATATATTTCTGGTATATGATGTTTATAAGTACTTGAAAATTTACACAATCAAACTGCCATTTGGGAATAAAATAAAAAAAAAATTTTTGAATTAAAAAAAAAATATCCATTAATGAATTTTGTAATTTAAAGATATGTACAAGATCATTTAAAAACAATATTTCTTAAAATCTTTGGAGAAATCAGATACACAAATATTCTCTATTTTCTGTTGAGACAAAACTACATGTATTGAAATACATTATATAGCAGAAAATCTTATGAAAGTATTTAGCCTCACTAAAGACTAACCGAAAATGCTAAGTTATATATATCATACAGATAATTTATTTTGTATAATACTGACATTTTAATTTTGATAACTGTGTTTTATTTATGATATGATTATGGGGGAAAGTTTATTTATTTTTTTAAAAAATCTAGTATTTGATATGAATGTTTGTAATAATGTATAATGATAACCCAGTACCATAAGTTGTGATATCACCTCTGGTTTGATAAATTTGAGACACATGCTAAAAGACAGTTTGAATCCTTAATATTTGATGTCAGATTTTCTCTATATAGTAACACCTTACACATGAACACAAACTATATACAATGACATCTTTATGAAATGACTTTCTGTGTACAGAGATAATTGATGATAAGAGGATATATATAAATAATTGTAAATTTCATGTCAGTCGTAGATTATACAGCTTCATTGTTGAGGTTAAATCTCAAAGCTCCCTCTCTCCTGTATTTTCTTCATTTCTTGCTGTAAATATTCATTTGAATGTTTGTACGTGTTATGTTCAGTGTATTTCTTGGTTTTCCTCTCAATGTCATATAGGTGTTGCCTATGCATTTATATTGTATATCAATTCTGATGTCTTTTTTTTATGTCATCTTTTTTTATGTTATCTCTAGTCGAACCTATCACAGGTTTTTAAATGTCTGTTTCTTTATTGTTGTTTTGAATATGATTAAAATAAAACTATGTCTGTGTCTCATTTTTTTTATGTGTTAAAAAAAAGAGAGAGAAAAAACTTGGTTTGAAAGTGGTTTCAATATTGGTTATATGTTGTGTTGTTTAGTATGTCAGTAGATATGTTTGGTTTCTTTTGACTTGTGGATGGTGTTAGTTCCATAGTAGGATGCAAGGGAGACAATCTGTCCATTCACAACATTTTTTTTCAGGTGGAAATAATGATAACTTGTGGAAGTCTTCATGATAAAAAGAAAATATCAGGGGAAAAAAAAAAGAAAATATCAGGAAAAAACGAAATAATATCTGTATAACTCTGGGATCAAGAATTTACAGCTGTGTAGTTTTAAAATTAAGATAAATCTGGAATAAGATAATATGATTTTACATCTTTGTAGTTTTCAAATTAAATTAAGTCTGGAATAAGATAATATGAAATGCTGTCATTAGTCTATTTTTTTTCTGTAAAAACAAACAACAATTATGGTTGGATATCTTTGTCTTCAGTTCAGATTTAATTGAAATTTCTGTTGAGGAAGTGGAGGAATTATTTAAAAGTAATTTTTTGGTGGTAACAGTGCATTTTCTCATAAATTATTTGGTAAGGGGAATAACTGTGACACTGACTTTGGGATATTACAGACAGCGACGATGCGGAGGGAATAAAGACTCCACCGCCAAGTCCTGTAGAGAAAGCTTTCCCCACAGGTACAAAAACACACCTAATCAACCATATACTCACCTAGCTGTCTTTATCTCACAGTGTATAGGAGGCTAGTCGTTCTGTCCTATACTTGTGTGGGACTTGTCTGTCTGTCCAATACTCACATGTGAGACTTGTCTGTCTGTCTGTCCTATACTCATGTGCGGGACAAGAGTGTCTGTGCATCTCTAGAATAACTGACTTGTTTTCTGTTTGGTGATGTGTATATTTGGTTGGTGTGCTGTGAAATTTCTCCATTAATAAACTCGCTTTCTGTTTGTTGCTCTGAAGTGTATCAAACTTTCAACTGAATCTTTCCTCTGATATTACAAATTGGTGTACATCTGATCATTTTTCTCTCTAACACATATCTATCTTAATTCGTAGGAAAATGCTTCTCAAATGGAAATATTCTTAACAAATATAAAACATCTTGCATTGGATAATCAATACGCAAAATATTTCTTCTGCAAAATATATATGCTACTTGTCCAGCAGCTGTCCCAAAATTAACCACATAACAATCTCTCAAAATATCATCAAACTTATCTTGCTTTGCGAACACAGTACCATTTACATTTTTTGTAAGATTTTTCGTTGGTGTACTAGCATTAATTTTATACAACATCTGATAATTTGTAAGCTAAAACAATCATTTAAAATGAAATACTTAAAAGAAGGATGTGGAAGTATGTATTTATTTGGTAAATCTAAAATTCTTTTCCCCCATCACTTTCCTCAGATTTGTAATACTTGTATGTAATAGAAATGGTTGATATTATACACAAGTTTTGTCAAAGATTTTAAGCCCATGAATCCATTAAATCCTAAAACAGTAGACACCTAATTTACCCATAATGAGCATGAAGTAGTTTTTTTCCAGATTTTGATAAGTAGAGTGTTACATACTGCATGACGTTATTTAGTCTGTATAGAGACTGAGGAGTTATAAAGACAACAGCATTTGAATAGAACTTTGATGGTCATTAATTTGTACTGACTTAACACTGGACTGATATTACCCTCACTGAGTACTGCTAACAACTGACATATAAATCTGTAATTTTGTGAACCTTGTGATAGTATAAGTCACAGATAAAGTTTAAACTTTGTAGGATATTGTTTATTTTTTCGCCGTATAAGCTTTGCTCGATATATATTGCTCTGTAGAAAATTGGATAAGAAACTTGTAATAAATAGAAATGCTTCATTGCCTGATGATGATTCTTGTCCTTGCTGCTTTTCACACCTCCAAAGGGGAGAGTTCTATGCTTGCTAGTGTCTCGGAAACTGCCGATGAGTATGAGGAAATGTACACGGAAGAGATTGAGGAAATTTTCCAAGAGTCGGATGACAATGGTAAAACATGGAAAACTGTCAAAAAAATAACCACAATTACGCCATCGGGTACAACTGAGAGAACTGTGGTTATGGAAGGTACAATGGCTAGCACAGCTTTGTGTACTGGGAGCTGATTCCCTCGCAATGTTGTCAAGCACCTGTGACATTGTCAGTGGCACTTTACATTGAAATATACTTTTTCTACGATCTTTTCCTAAATGTTTTTTACAGCCAATTAAAACTTTTGTCTTGCTGATAAGTGGAAGCAAGGCTATGTCATCATAGTCGTCACTTTTCCATCATTGTTTGTGTCACCATCCATGACAAGGCGAAGACAAAGTGAAAAGCTTAGTTTATCAGAAAGTCTAAATTTCTGTAGTCAGATCCTATGTTGTACAACTCATTTCAAGACCAAAAATATAATTCAATTCTTGGATAAAAAATGATTGCCAGATTTTAATAACTGCCAAGAAACTACTGTAGTAGTAATTAGAGACAGTCCATTATATATATGTATTACATTTTCTTTCTGATTTTTTTTTTAACTTGGTACTCGTTAATTTTCTAAAGCTGAAATAGCAATATTATAGACATATTTTGTATAACATATTTTTTACACTTACTGTAATTTTTTATATATTGTATAGATGTTGTAATACATTATCATCTACTTTTAATTTGTCTAACTATATTTCAATTCCATGTTACCATTGTATATAGTGCATCTATTTTCCTGTATTTCTTGTATAAACTTATCTCTGCATGATAGAACAATTGTATAGCATGTTTCATGATTGTTGTGATATTGTACTCTAAAGCAGATGGTAATACAGCATTGTATTAGCTGTAATTTGACTTCCTGAGTAGTATTGGGACACTGCAAATATGTTGGATCATTATGATAATGAAATATTTCAAATTGTTATTCAATTAATGCTTGTTAAGATGGAAGATGTCTGTCTCATTCCTCAGAGGTTTTAAAAAAAAAATCCTCAGTGAAGATTATTAGATTTTCTTCGAAATCAAGAAGTTTGATTTTGTTCTCTTTGCTGCGAATTCTGAAAAGCTTGAGGATATTAAAATAGTGGAAATAACTATAGTGTCAGTTAATTGTTTAATTTTTGGGATACATGCAATAGAACAGAAACCGGAGATTCATTGTTCTGAAAAAGGATACAATATCTTAATACATAATGTGTATATACATATATTTTTTGTAGTAAATGAAAATTGGTATTGGCACACAAAAAATTTTGTGAACTTACCGGTATACTGAGAAATGAAATCATGTTCATTTTGTGAGATTCTGCTTCAAATTTATAAAAGAATGTGTTTAGAAAACTAATTCAGTTGCTTTTTTTTTATATACATGTCATATAAAAAGTCTTTTTTCACTAAAATTACCCTGTTCCTCATTCTTTTTCATTTACAGAGCAAGTTGCACCAGATTCAGAAGCAATCAAGGCCTTAACTGAAAGTTTATCCTTCGGCGAGCCCAAGAGAGATGATGCTTCCCAACCAGAGGAAACTGGTGTGTAGACTAGGCTCCATGTTTGTTTGTCATTGTCGAAGCCCAGTAAGAGGGCACATTGTTTATCGGATATTTCAAATATTTTGTGGAACCTGCCAAGCTTATTTCTGTTTGTCATTAATCAGAAAAACAACCAGAAAATTTTTAATCAGAACATTTTTAATCAGGAAAAAAAAAAAAAAAAAAACCCACAATCAACCAAATGCTTTTGGTCCATTGCTTGCTTTGTCAGCGATAAAGACAGAAAAAATCACATAATTTTTATTTTTGCTACACTGAGTTACGAATTTCATTCCATAGTTACCAGAAACGGTGTGGAGTGTTTCCATGGCAATGGCATTGCTGCTGCCACCATAAACCTCAGGGACTAATAGACACACTCCAGGTGAAAGAATGAAATAAAAATGGCCAGTAGCTTCATCGTTATCACAAAAGATCATTGAGTTTTTGTTTACCAAATTTTATCACTGAGAATTTTATAAAAAGAAAACAAGAACACTTGTTTTTTGTTAAATAGTTGTTATATATGTGTGAATCAAGATTAGAAATTCCTTCGACTGTTTTTTCACAGCTGTCATTTGGATTATTTTCCATGATGACATTTTCGTTACCTTTCGTTGTGTCAAGCAGGTTTTTAACAAGAAGGAGTTGAAGGATGTACATTGTACGATCTTGAAAAAAAGGAATTTTTTTTAATGGAAAATGTGCCTCCTATTAGTAATTGGTAATATGATACCGTCATTGATTGTGGTGTTATTCTCCAGAGTTATTAGATTTCTTCCATCAAAGATTCAGATATTACCAAAGGGAATTGGGCCCATTATATGCTGAGGTAAAAAGATTGTGTTATTTCAAATGAAGTCACTTAGGCAAGTTTTAGCCTTAATTATTTACAGCGATTGATCACGAGACGAAAGTTGTGTTCATGCCCCATAAATCACAATAACAAAAATTACACTCAGGTATATCAAAGCGATATCCATGACATGATCAAATGAAAAAGAATTAGTGTGAGAATTTCATCATTTTCAATGTTAAAAAATCTTTTACTGACAAAGCAGTCATATACATATTCAAATTTAAGTTCGGTGAAAAGTTGGGCAGGTTCCACGCCAGCCAATATTCATTAGCTATATTTAGATGACCACACAGTTGACATGTGTTGAGGTGACAAGGTAATATATTATGGCATAATGTTATCAAGGTTTTTCCCTGTGCATGGTTTTCCTACAAATTCCATGAGCTCAATGGCATGTCATATTCCTAATGTCCACCATACAATAAGATTTTCCATAGTAGTTTATGACTTGGACACCTCACAAGACTTGTAATTTGCAATAGTTTCTTTTTGATAAACTTAATATCTGATGATACGTATTTGTTATTTAAGAAGTGTGTTAATATCATATATGTAGTGTGTAATCGTTATAATGCCTAGTATTTGCCATGTAGTGTACAAGATGACATGGGTTTTCTGCCATTACTAAAATTTTGAAATTACATTATGTAGTAAGCTTACTGGTTAAGGGTTCATTAATGGTTAATATGTATATCTCGCTCATTGTTAAATGTGTTATCTGTGGTGTTCATAAATGTTACAGTCAAACGTTTGTAAAATTTTAGGATTTTAGATTATTGTATTGTTATTTGGGATCAGTAATATTACAGTGAGATGATGCTTATCCAAAATGAGGCACTCTTGAATTGATTATTTATATATTTTCTCAGCAAAGAAAAAAAAATCAAGTGAAAATTGTTTATAATAATCTAATGACAAAAATATCCAAGGGTAGACAACCCTTGAAAATCTAGCTTTTACTTATATTTTCTGGGCAGCTCTTTAGATTCTTTAGTAGTCTCTATTTTTCCATAACAAAACATTTTTAACAAAATTATTAATGATAATAACAATAACTGATGGTTCAATGATACTGCAGTATCAAGTATGATTATCGAAACTGATCTTGTTTATTAAATGACTGTTGAAAAGGTTTTTTGCAGGTATTGTAAATTGTATCAAGTCTAGAAGGCTGCTTTATCAGGGAAAAAAATAGCTCTGAAATTTATTGTGAATTTCTCATTACAGCATCAGGTTAAAAAAAAAAAAGGAAAAAAGTTTTAGAAAAATGTTAATGGCACTTAACAGTCAGCCAATTTGTATTCACGACCTTTCCAAGTACATGTACCGACAAAAAAAAGCATTTTTATGAGGAATTCAGAAACTCATTTGGAAGTAATTATCTTCAATGAAAAGATCATTTTACTGGAAATGGATTGCAAAAATGTTTTTTCGGAATGATATATCCTTGCAGCCATCCACAGATTGCAGTGTTTTTTGTGTTTAACCTTTGCTGTTGGATTGAGGTGAAAACGTACATTTTTACACTACAGCTAGCTCTGATGTAAATTTAGTGTAAGTAATAACAACAATGCTGGGATATTTCGAATTTTCTTGAAGAGCAAAAGAAGAAAAGAGGTGGGAAAGTTCAATTAAAGAAGACACTTTTTTCACAAAATTCATTTCTAACCTGAACAACTGATATAATTTCAAAAAGCTTATTAATTCAAAGCTTGGCATTGCTGTGGTGTAAATGTACATGTGTTACACATTTATCAACATATTTGTGCTTCTCTTGGAACCCACTTCAGTCTAACAGTAAGAAGCCTCTTTCTAGATTTGTTACGACCTTTGATCTGAATATTTGGAGTTATCGTTTATATATTTCGCAATACCTGCAAAGAACTCTACATCAACCAGATCAGATTTACTTAAAAGAACCACATTTTAGAAAAAATGGACTTTGATTACCCTCAGATACAATATGTAAACAGATAATTATCATTTGCATGTATTCAAAACTTCAAAAATTAGATTTTAACATTTGAGATTTTTATCTATATTTATGAATAGAGCTAATACCTACATAAGTATATGGAAGATAACATGTTCTGTTATATAGCTAGGTTTCATACTTACATTGAAACCTTATCTCAATTTGTTTCTGTCATAGACCTCTAACCGCTTTTAATGCACTGTTGTCATGGTAACCATTTCCAATAAAATTGGATATAGCAAATTTCAAAATTCATTGCATTGTTTTCCTCTTTTTGTTTTTCTTTACTTTTTTCATTCATTTCTGCCCCAAGAGAAAAATTTGGTGATCTGCTTTTAATGTTGATCTGTAAAAGTCTCAGTCTCTCGACCAATGAGAGCTTTGATGGAGTGCCGCAAGTCAAGTATGCTGATGAATTCTTAGGGACAGATACATATAATTGATTTGAACTTTCACGATTGAAGCCACTAGAAAAAAAAACATTGGAAAAATGGAAGGAAGAGAGAAATTTAACGAGAAATTAAGGAAAGCATGTCCATACATTACTTTTAATTCATGTTTGGCTCTTTCTTGAGATGAAGGAAAAAATTTATTGATTTTAACTGAAATGTCAAAAAATAAGATAATTGAAAGGTATCTTTAGAACATTGAATCAAAGGAATAAGTTAAGAGAAATGACCATCACACAATGTTTTTAAAAAATTTCAAACCAGATTTTCTTTTTTTTTTTTTTTTCGTAAATGCTTGTTTTTCCATGCTTTAGTAAATATCTATGACACTGCATGATTGATTGCTTTGAGCCATTCATCATTAGAGGTTTTGTTGCACATGATGTCCTTGATATACATGCTCACAGCAGAAGGGTCACACTTTAAATGGACAAGACATGTATTTTGTTTACAGAAATGGAGGCAAAATAATAACAAAAAGACAAATGAAACATGTAAAATATGCTAAAAACTCTGAAAATTTAACAAATAGGTTGAAAAGAAACAAAATAAAAAATCACATAATTTGAATCAAATTTAACATTTCATAAGCAATTATCAAAGAAAGCAAATGAGAATACAGGAATATTAAAAGAAGTAGATGAAAGAAAATTAAACAGAGACCAAGAAGTACATATTTATTAAAAGTATTATCGTTATCCTGGAAGTCGATCTCACAGTGATCAACAGTTTGAGTAGAAGGGAAATGTTTAATGTTGTAGACCTTGGTATGAAGAATGGTATGGCCAAGCTTACGTTTACTATTGCACAAATTGCACTAGTGTTTGTTGTGAATATTTTCACAGAGTCTTCTTCTTTCCTTTTTTATTTATTTATTTTTTTTTTGTAATATTCCTCCAAATTAAAAGGATCTTCGTAATCAACTTTGGTTATAGTTTCATATTTTATCATATACATATATATATATATATATATATATATATTCTATTTTTTTTATTTATAATTCTGGATTTTATCTGCATTTTTTTTTTAATTTTAAAAGCTAGTTTCTTTTTCCCATAGAATTTTTTTGTAACCTTTTTTTTTTTTAGATTTCTGTTTATTTTTGGTTTAAAATCTTGACAAACAATCCTGGTGATAGATTCTTTCGAAAGTTTTTTTTTTAAATCCCTTATAGATTCCATGAAAAGAAACATCTTTTTATAAAATTCGTTGCAAATATCAGAAATTGCAAATATCAAAAAATTACTCTGTTTAAAAAATTTCAAATAAATTCGAAAATTTAAATTAAATTTTAGTGTGTGATGGATATTTACCCTTTTTCTCCTTTGTTAAATCTGGAAAAAGAAGTCATAATTTTAGCAAGTTATATACATATGAATGCCTTTCTGTAAAACTGTTTATTTGGTACCTGGTTATTAATGTCTTGATCTACCAGATCGATACTGTTTCCTATCTAAGCATGAGTTTTCATTGTACAAGTGTCGTACCCTGGCTGTTGGCATGTGTACTATATCTAGATCTATCTCGTTAAAGATTGACATTTCTCCAATAATTCATCAGCACAATATGATCTCCTTACAACAAAGAAGCCAAATTAATTAAACAGAAAGATTTCCCATTATCTGTAGTAGACATTGGATACCAGAGTGATTCTTTTTCAAAACATTAAAAGCAGAATTCTCCAACATTTTTATCCCAAACTTCCTCAGTCTGTTGTGGCACATTTTTTTTTCTTTTGTCTGTCATATAATTTACATGCTAGAGGTTAATTTGGGTTTGTTTGCTTGTGTGTAGTTTAGTTTTTATTAGAATCAATATAGGTACATTTCACAAACCAAGTCTGCATTAGACAAATATCACAGAGATGGAATACCACAAGATTTTACAACTAAAGAAATTATAGAACAATTTCATTCACAAGCATGTGTAAATTTGAATTGTTTGCATTATCATAATCCAGATTGGAAATTTTCAAAAATGGATTGCATTTTGCATAATTTTGAACTACAATATATGTACTGCAATATGCAAGGACATTTGAAGGCTTGGATAACAATGCATGATGCTCTCTCTTTCCAAACCTACTTATCTCCCTTGATAATAGCATAGTCGAAAAACAATGCTTCTTAGTAAAAAGTAATTGTAATATTAGGTACTTTTATGAAATGCAGTGCGCTTTGTGTAATATCTGCATGAGTTTGGCCATGTCAGTTTTCCCCTCCAAAGTGTGACAAGTTCTAGAATGCACATGTGTGATTCAGATAAAGAAGAAGGCGAGTCAACATTGCTGAAATTATGTACTGGTGAATAGAAACACAGGGAAGTAGGATTTTCTGCTTTATTGCGAATTAGATACGTATCCATAGATTATAGTAAGAAAATTACACAGTCACACAAATATCATTTTGTAGTGTTACTCTACAACATAGGTATGTATTTCACAAGTACATTGTTTGATTTTAAAGTTATATATAATACACATACAACTTAGAAATTTTTTCGAAAATCAATTTTTCGAAAATAAAACTTACAGTAGAACTTTGTGCCAATATGACACAACCTAGGCTGAAACAGAATTAATCTAGTTTCCCACATCACACTATCTTCTTATAAAATGTGACAAAAATCATTTGGAGTAGGACTTACTATCTCCGAATAAAAAGTTACCAAAAACGTTTGAAGTCGGACCTACTATCTTCTAATAAAAAGTGACCGAAATCGTTTGAAGTAGGACTTGTGCGAGAACATTCACCATGAAGCAGAAGAACTGTGTTTGAGACATCACACAGGGTATGTATGTACACTTTAAAATCATTGAACAGCACAAAACATACTACTATAAGAACAACATAGCCTCCATCACCAGTTATACACACTAGCAAAGCTTCTCGTAAAATATTATCAATTATACTACTTTTCTTGTTGATAGGATGAATATGATCAATTCAGAAATCATAGGTCAGTAAATGTGTAAATGGTTTTGAGAATGTATCCAGATTGTTAAAACCAGTGAGTGCGTGACAGTGGTGTCTTTGTATATATTTTCTGACTGTTTTGTCTACATCAACGTCCTGTAGTGTCTTTTAAAAATTGTCTATTGCTAGCCATTTAGCTTATACACACTATATAACTCTATATCTGACTCAATTAATTATTAACAATTTTTAAAATATATCATCGTCATCATCATCATCAATCATCGTCACTCTCATAATTTCCATCTTTGATATATCACATTGCCATATTAGATTTGGGAAAACATGGTAGTGTTTTTTGCCATCTTGGGGTTACTTTAGCTCACCCAAGATTGCTTGCCATCCCAGGACTACTACTACATTTGTGATTTGCTGAGCTAGAAACCAAACGCAATACTCACAGCATCTGGGCATGCTTTTTGGGCCAATTTGGCTATGCTTGATCACCTAACTAGCGGAAGCGAGGACTATTTTCACTGGTAAAATACCTTATGTTTTATCTTGACACTTTCTCACAAATTTCAGTGCCTCCTTACGAGGAAGGTTTAAGCCTACAAACGGTCTCTGAGGACTTGCAACAAGATGTGGCTCCAGAGCAACAGGTCATGCCTGTGACCCAGGGGTCAGAGTTCACGGCTCCTCCTCCATTGGATGAGGATGTTGTCAACAATCAGTTTGAATTCTTAGAGGAAGAAATAAATAAAGCTAATATTGAAACTGAACAGTGTGTTGTAGGGGATTTAGGTACTGAAATTCCTACAATACCATCAGACATTGAAATGCGTGAACCTCAACAAGCAGACATTTCTTCTTCAAGTGTTGATCCAAAACCCATCGAACCTGACATGGGCAAAGTTGTAGATAGTTTGAGGAAAGATCTGGTTAGGGAAACCTCTCCACCAGAGGTTGCAGGAAAGAGATCCTCTAGTTTGTCTTCTTCGTCATTTTCGTCATCTTCTCAATCTTTGTCCGATCATCAAGCTGAATTTGAGGAAGATGTTCCAGTTCCATCGAAGTCATCAGAAAACAAGGAAACGCTGGGAGAAGACAGATTTGAACAGGACAGGGAAAGTCCACCAGGATACACACAGTGTACAGATACTACCGCAGAGGACAAGGAAACAGGTGTCGAGGAATTGACTGCAGCACAAGATGATGGAGCACATCCCCCTGTATCAGAGTCAAAAGAAGTGATAGAATCATCTGTAGATCCACCAGTTGATCGTACTATGGAGGTGTCGAATGTTGGTGTTCCAGAATTTGTCCCTGAAAGTGTCACTGATGTTTCTGCCAAAGAAACAATTGATGAAAAGGAAGAAAAAACGCCAATTCCAGAAACAAGTATCGAAGATGTTGTTGTGGACCCAACTGATCCAGAAAGAAGTGATTTTGTTCAAGATTCTCAACCTGTGCAAGAAACAGTTGTTGACGATGTTCCAAGGACGGAACTGCCATCTTATGAAACACCTGCAGATGAACATTATGATTCTTTGACCAGCACATCTTCTGTAGAAATAGAGAAGCAACCTGATTCCTCAAAGGAATCTGACTTGGATGACATTTTAGAAAAAAATATTGGACATTTGCAACCTGCTGAAATAGCCAGTGGTGTCCAAGAGCCAGATGATGTCGATAAATACCAAAGTGATGAAGACAAACTTTCATCAAGTTCTAGTTCATCAGATTCAGACAGTTCGGGAGAGCATGATTTACAACCTAATGTAGAACTAGGTCAGCCATTGGCTGACATCACAGAACAAGTTGATTCCCATGACACTACGTCAGAGAAAGCTGGTGAACTTGTTTCTCCTGGTTCAGGTTTGGACAGTACTTGTGTTGAACATGAGAATGTATCAGAGGGTAATGAACATGAACCTGTCCCATTTGATGAACCAGCAAAGTTGGAATCTGAGCCAGCAGATGAATCTTATGAACCAGCGTATACAGACGAACCTGTCATTGAACATGCTGAACCCTTACAAAAAGACACAGAACCTGATTTTGTTGAACCTGCTGAAGAGTGTCGTAGGCAAAGCAGTTCTTCAAGTCACACCACTTATTCGAGTGGGGAAGGTTCTTACCTGTCCGACTCTGAGGACGGAAAGGCTATTGGAGAAGACTACGTTGACAGAGGGGAACAGTATGAGTTTGTGGAAGATAGAGCATCAGTTGAAAGGGTTCTTCCCGATGAGGGTCCAACTGGAGTACAGAGTGTGGTACAAGATTCAGATGTACCAGTTGTGGAAGATGTAACGACCAAAGAAGAATCTTCACATGAGGAATGTCAGCCTGCTCTGGAGGACTTGGAATCAGTTGAACAAGACATGCAAAGTATTGTTACAGAGAGCGTAACTACCAAGATAGAATCATCTGTGTCTGAATGTCAGCCTGGTGTGGAGGACATTGAAGAAGTTGAGGAGAAAACTGAAGCATTAGCTGTGGAGGAAGTGACGACCAAGGAGGAATCTACTGTTGAGGAATGTCAACCTGCTGATGAGGATATAGAGGAGGAAAGAGCATCCATGATGGAATCCTTTGTGGAAAGAGGTGAACAGTATGAGAGTGTAGGTGACGAAGCAACTGTGAAGATGGTGATTACTAAGGAACAAGAAACAGAGGTGGACGGAAAGCACACAAAACATGTAGCATTTGAGGATTCTGGCGTTTCTGTACAGGGTGAGTCTGGGGTTGTGGAACTAGGGAGCGAGGTTAAACAGTCTCTTCCTCTCGAGACAGGTTGTCCTCCCACAGAGGTAGGGGCAGAGGACATAAAAGAGAAAGAAGGAAGCCCTCTAGAGTGGCGGTACCCAGGCGACTCTGAGGAAGGCGATACTGAGGGAGAAGGTATCTTGTTTGGCCTGACTTGAGTTTTACCCAGGCTTTTTAGTTCTCCCAGTAATATCTTTAGAATCAAATAAAACAAAACTTGTACAAGTTATTCTCTCCCAAATAAAAGACATCCCAGTAGAGAAACGATAGCCTTCCGTTCTCTGACCTACTAACATGCCGTTTCCCTTGGTTTAAAATGTCTAGGTATGATGGCTGAGAAGAACATTTAGCCTTTTTTGTATAGCATGTAACTTTCTCCCCTGTATGATAAAATATCTATTTGTAAAGATTAATAAATATACACTCAATTTTCCACTCCAACCTCTTTCTAGCATGTTGTTATGGTGACATGCATTCCCTGTTCAGCACTTTCAACTCAAAACAGCATGAATTCTGTTTTCTGTTATTGATATTTAATGTCCATGCACATTCAGAGTTGTGCAGCAACCTTAACGATATATAATTTTTGATGGTTTGTAGGTATCTGTTTACTGGCATTATCTGTCCTATCTAGTTCATTATCACTAGTTTTGAAACTTGAAATTCAGATTAAAATCCTTCAGATCCCTAAAGGGATAATTATTCTGAAATCCAGTACCTAGATTAAATCCCTAGTTCCATTATATTGGAATCTAGGTCAACAATCCACTGTACTTGGATCAGATCGCCCAGTTCTCTCTGATAGAGATCAAATCCTTCAATCCACACTGTAGGGATTCAATCCCTCTATCCTATATACTGGTATCTAATCCCTCAATCTTTTTAAAACAGATCCCAGGATCCATTAGTCTGGGATCCAATCCCTGAGTCTTCTTAGAACAGATCCCAGGATCCATTAGCCTGGGATCCAATCCCTCAATCTTCTTAGAACAGATCCCAGGATCCATTAGCCTGGGATCCAATCCCTCAATCTTCTTAGAACAGATCCCAGGATCCATTAGCCTGGGATCCAATCCCTCAGTCTTCTTAGAACAGATCCCAGGATCCATTAGCCTGGGATCCAATCCCTCAATCTTCTTAGAACAGATCCCAGGATCCATTAGCCTGGGATCCAATCCCTCAATCTTCTTAGAACAGGTCCCAGGATCCATTAGCCTGGGATCCAATCCCTCAATCTTCTTAGAACAGGTCCCAGGATCCATTAGCCTGGGATCAAATCCCTCAATCTTCTTAGAACAGATCCCAGGATCCATTAGCCTGGGATCCAATCCCTCAATCTTCTTAGAACAGGTCCCAGGATCCATTAGCCTGGTATCAAATCCCTCAATCATCTTAGAACAGATCCCAGGATCCATTAGTCTGGGATACAATCCCTCAATCTTCTTAGAACAGATCCCAGGATCCATTAGCCTGGGATCCAGGATCCATTAGCCTGGTATCAAATCCCTCAATCTTCTTAGAACAGATCCCAGGATCCATTAGCCTGGGATCCAATCCCTCAATCTTCTTAGAACAGATCCCAGGATCCATTAGTCTGGGATCCAATCCCTGAGTCTTCTCAAAACAGATCCCAGGATCCATTAGCCTGGTATCAAATCCCTCAATCTTCTTAGAACAGATCCCAGGATCCATTAGTCTGGGATACAATCCCTCAATCTTCTTAGAACAGATCCCAGGATCCATTAGTCTGGGATCCAATCCCTGAGTCTTCTCAAAACAGATCCCAGGATCCATTAGCCTGGTATCAAATCCCTCAATCATCTTAGAACAGATCCCAGGATCCATTAGCCTGGTATCCAATCCCTCAATCTTCTTAGAACAGATCCCAGGATCCATTAGCCTGGTATCCAATCCCTCAATCTTCTTAGAACAAATCCCAGGATCCATTAGCCTGGGATCCAATCCCTAAATCTTCTTAGAACAGATCCCAGGATCCATTATCCTGGGATCAAATCCTCAATCCATTAAACGGGGATGAAATCCCTCAATCATGTCAAAACAAATCCCTTCATCCATTATTCTGGGACGAAATCTCTCCATCCATTGTACTGAGATCAAATCCCTCAATTCAATATACTGAGATCAAACCCCTCAATTCAATATACTGAGATTAAATCCCTCAATTCAATATACTGAGATCAAACCCCTCAATTCAATATACTGAGATCAAACCCCTCAATTCAATATACTGAGATCAAACCCCTCAATTCAATATACTGAGATTAAATCCCTCAATTCAATATACTGAGATAAAATCCCTCAATCTATGATCTGGGGATCAAAGTCCTCAATCAATACTATATTCTTATCAAATTGTTCGCTTCTCTACAAATAAATTCATCAAACCACCAAAGTGAGATGTAATCCTTCGATCCATTATCGGGGGATGATTCCACAATCTCCCCAGAACATGGTGAATCCCAACTGTAGGCTGTCATTAATCAGCCCATTCTGTTGTTGCTAAAAGTCCTTTCACAGCAGCCATATTTTTAATTTAGGATTTAATGTTAATCCCTGTAATCCAATTTCAACCTTACCCCCCGCCCTTTCCCAGTAATAATGATAACCTTCTATTGATCATTTTGTTCATGATAATTAAAACCTGCTTTTCCCAGTTTGTTATGACTACCTGTCTCCATGGTTACCATATTTCCATGTTTTGCCCTGTATTGAGTATGTAGTATTGGCCATTGTTGTCATAGGAATGAAATGGCTTTAATTACTATGTTACATTTCATTGTGTTTTATACGTTTTTAGTACAGGATGTGTTTTGAAGTGCTGTTAGTCTGTGTGGATTGTTTTGTGGTGTGAGTGCATGGTGTTTGTGTTTATGCCAGGTGGTTGGTTGTAAATATCTTCCTACCAATATAATGTGGTCAAGTACTTCTACCATGACAACAAAGGGCTGTATAGTTCCATTTTGGATCAGATAAATTCCAATCCAACTGTGGCTGACAAAAAGCTAGTAAGCATCATTAACAAATCTGGGCATTTCTCAGGAGTGGAATTCTTAATTAAAATACAGTGTTGAATTTAAACTTTAATCATTCAAGTAGTCTTAGGAACTTATAATAGGATTCTGCCCGAATCATATTCAAAATGAACACCTTAACTACAGGAATACTTAATGGAAACACTCAGTTATAAGTAGATAAGCGTTAGAAAAAACTCCGGATGAATGGAGAGATGTCACGAGGATGGCTCAATAGTCGAAAGCACACAAAAATTCCACACTATTTGTAAGGGAGATCTTTCTTATTTATACAGTAGAGATAGAAAGGGAGATAAGTCATGGATTCCCCCCCACCCTATGGAAACTTAAACTAGGCATGTTGAGCACTCCTATAGGGCAGTATGTCATTGTTTACACTCGATATGGGAGAAAAGTCATCTAGAAATCTGATTCGGAATGATACTCTGGAAAATACGCTATCTCCTAAAGGAGAAAAGTCATGAAATAAATACATCAGTACATGGTTCATTAAATGTATATCTATAAATGAAATAGGACTTGGGCATTGGAAAAAGATGGTATTTAATTTGGTGCAGTGACAGGTTGAATTGTCATGGCATCAACACATCCAGATCACACAGACACAAATGAAAACATCACAGATATTTTAGGGTAGATTTATTATAATATTTAAAGGTTGTAAAGCATTTATTTGCTATGTTTACAATCTGAACTGACATGACTTTGAAAAGATAGCTATATGGAAAAAACAAATATATTCACATGAAGGAATATTGCATACAGAATATAGGCCTCTGGTGTTATTTCACAAGGTATCAGATCGTCTCTATTGTATAGAGAAAACCAAGAACCTTAGTTACTACGTACAGATCTAGATAGAACTATGGATATAGTCTCTAATGTAGTTGGTTGTGGTTTCTGTATATTCAGGTGTTTGGTAGATGCTGTTTTTAATACTCTTCATATTTACTCCTAATGTTATTTCTTAAGAATGCAGGTATTTTGATAACCTGACAGATGGCAGGTTAGTTATCTCTTAAAATTGCAAATTTGTCTTATTTGACCAAAAAAACAAAAAAAAAGAAAGAAAAAAATCACGTAAATTTCATTTGGTCATTGGTACATTTTACAGACCAAGGAATTTATCATTTTCTGATAAAACATCTTTGAAATAACTCTAGCATCCTTTTAGGTTGTGATTGTATTTGAAAATGATTCCATTTTGAAGTACATGCAGAAATAAGATCTACGAAAACAGCAGTTTTTGCAGATTAATGTTTCTTTTCAACAGCAGCAAGTTTGATCACTTGTCTGTAAAAATCAATAGTATCTGTATATTTGTTTACAAGTATTTTTCTTTTCTGTGTCACAACAGTGAGTAGTCCCTATTTCCTCCCTATATTGTACATAACACATACCCCAGATTTCTACCATTCATGAATGATCTAGTTCTTTATTCAAAGTTTTTTCCGGTTTCATATTTACAGTTTGGTTCATATTTTTATTTTGTTAAGACTAATCATCACTTACATACAACCCAGCTTTCTTTTTAACTCAAATATACTAATCCTATTATATTCCCTCATAGGGAAATCACAATAAGATTAATAGGATTTGGTAAAGAGGTTTTCGTCTTGCAGTGGTCATTTCATAAAATTGCTGTCTGCGATGCTGTGAGGGATGTCTTTATTATAATGTATTTGCCTTGCTTGCTTGTCGATGTGAGAAGTGGGGGTTTTTCAGAATACTTGTTTGCCTTCCAGTGTTCGATTCAAATATACCGCCGCAGGAGACAAGATATGAAGAAACACTACCTGATGGCACAGTGATCAAACACAGAACGGTTCGCAAATTTACCCGTCAGCCAACGTTAGAAATTGAGGATGAATCGAAGAGCACAGATGAAGTGACAGAGTCCGAAGGTCCAATAAGAGAGGAAATAGATGTCCAGGAGTCGGAGGAAATTCTTCCTGATGGCACAATTCACTCATTCCAGAAAGTCAGGCGACATTCCGTCAAACATGTCCGCAAGAGTCTAAAATCTGAGACTGGAGATGAGGACATTTTTGAAGGAGATGTAGCCATTCCTGGCACAAACAGGGAAGATATTATTGAAACATTTGAGGAACCAGCACGACAGGTTCGTGATGTTGAGAGTATTGAAGACACCTTGCCTGATGGTACAAAAGTGAAAAAGCAGATCATTTCTAGTCGCATGGTGCATCGTATCCATACTCACCACCAGTCTGTTGATGAAGGAGGTGAAAAAACGGAAGAAGATTATGAAATCGATGAAATCATTCCTGGCACAGAATCCTGCTTCATAGACAATGATGAGTCCTCATCATCATCGTCTGGCTCCTACACTGATGAAGATGATGAACTGGGAGGTGAAATTGAGGCTGAACTTGGGGAGGTGGAAGAAGTCCTTGCCGATGGCTCTATTATTCGTAAACGTGTGATCGAGAGTCACGAAACCATTAGAGTGAAATCTCCATCAGGTGATATTGACAAAGCTCAAGTCTCTAAGACTATAACTGAGGAGAAGTACATCCCTAGTCCACGATCAACATCTCCAGTGACTGTCGAAGATGAAGCAGATTTTCATGACATGGCTAAGAATGTTGTTCAAAGGACAGTCAGATCAGCACATTTTGAAGCAGTCCAGAGAGGGGATGAAGTTGAAACAACTTTCGATAAGACAGAGGATGAAACGAAAGCACCATCTGGGCATTCACTTACAGAGGCATCAGAAACAGGTAACAGCTGCTTTGGGTGATGGTGTTGGCTGGTTATGCAAGTCTAGGCTATCATGGTACATGGTTTGTCATGAAAAGTCAGTTTGTGTGCTCTGTGTTGTAGTTTTCAGGTCACTGTTAAGTTCCACAGTCTCTTCACATTTTTGTTGATCATCAAGCTTACCACACAGTTAACAGGCTCCAATTTTCACAAAGAATGCAAGAATTTGATATGCCATCTGCACAAATATTTATGCTCTTAAAATTTGCTGTCTTTGTATATTCATAATGAAATTGGCAATGTGGATGATTTGGCTCTGCTGTCGGTTATATGACGGGATAAAGCAGATGAAATAATTACACAATGAAATGAGGTATTCTATCATCAACTATCAATCTCTTTCTCTTCTTGGTGATTTTTATAAATTACTTGATCACTAGCTGTTGGAGGAGACATTGGAGACCTGGTTACACTAGAAGATGTGGAAATGTTGTCATTTCTTTTCTAACACAGACTCAGTTGTGGCATCACTCTCATTAGAACACATTTTCTTTTTATACAATAAAATGTCCAGAGGTTTATATCTGGCCTGCTTTTACTTTGATCTTCAGAGACAGAAAACATATATTTATGCTAAATACAGCTTTCAATTTCGTGTCCAGCACAATGAATATCCAGGAGGTCAATGTTCTCAAACATTTTGATATCTTTTATGCATTGTGTAAGAAAAGTGTGATGCACTAATGTGAAAGCTGTGTTGATGGAAAAGACAATATGATTGGTTTTTCCTGTTTTGGTTTTGTGTAGTGTACAGTCGGCTAGTTGCTGTAGTGACATCAAGGGCATTTGGATGTGTTATTTGTTGTCAAGACCTCAAAACTGATCAAGGTCTGCAAGGTGTTTGGGGTACCAGTCATAGTCTTTGTGATGTCTGTGTAGCTAGTTTCGATGAAGTATTGTAAAGGGTCAGTCTAAAGTTTTGCTGAAAGTTTCTGTGCTTACATACTGGAAACTTTGGATCAAGGTCATTACAATGTTTGTTATTAAGGTATTTTGCATCATTGTCACTGTTGTGGTTGTTATTTTCTCTTACCATCTTGGTTATATAGATACTTGGTGGTTTTGCTAGAAGGTTGTACACACAGTGTTGAGATTCTAGTAGCATATTAGGGACAGAAATTAAAATTTGATTTCTGTAAAGTAGATCTGCATTCCTTTGGAAGTGGTTTTCAATATGAACATTGCATGCATTTTTGTTTCTGAAAAAATCATGAGCTAGCTAGAAATAGTTCCGAGAGTGAATGACATACTCAATATATGATATGGCTCTTGATGTTGGACACAAAATCAACCTACCTTCCTTATGTATAGCATATTTATTATTAATTGTACATAAGTTTAGGAACTTTGAACAATAATTGTGTGACATACAGTGGAATTTGTTGAAAACTATTCAAGAACTGATTGATAAAAATGTACATGTTGTTCCTCTGCAGCTTATAAGGGATTTTAAACAACTTTAGTCTAGAGCATACTTGGGTGAAGCGAACTTAATTTTGTTGAAACAGCGGCTCTGATCTCCCGTAATATTTTATACACCGAATATCACTATATTTTCTATCATACATCACATGTATCATGAAACCAATACTCAACACAAGATACTTTTGCCATATATATCCTTTGATAAGCCCATGCCCAGTAATAAGCCCATCTGTATATTGCTATTTGGTAAAATCATAAACCAATATATTTGGTTGTCCTGTAATATGCCTACCCTCTGTATTTAATAATGACCACCACTAGTCCAGTCTATCTAGTCATCCTTAACTGACTTTATTTTCTTCTGTCTGTCCATCCATATGTCTTATACATGTCTACATGTATGTCCAAGTGTCTGATGTAGAAAAAAGTTAACATGGAATGTATGCTACTACTTCTGATGAATTGTGTTGGGTGTTAAGTATGAAATTTTAAAATTTACATATACTATTTTAGAGTTAAACTGATGGAGTTATATGAAACTCTAAACACTTCTGATTAATGATTGAATTTTCAACCTGTTACAAGCATTCATACTTGGTAAAATTTGTATTATAGATTTATGCATAACTATTTAAAATTATCGTTTCCAAAATGATCCACTTCATTCTACCAGAAGAATGAAAATGGATAAAATAGAAATTAAATACCTAAAAGAATTTTGAATAAATAATTTTTTTTTTGAAAATTACAATGGAATAAGCCAATAATTGTGGGTAAAATTTGGTTGAAAACCAATAATAGTCTTTAATAATTTGATAGATCGCTGTAGTGACTCGATCACCAGACATTACCTTTTAAATGTGTCTACTGTGACCTTAAATGTGCCTAAAGCAATCAGTACAAAAAATGTTTGATATGTGTACCACAGAGTGGAAGGAGCTGGAAGATAGTGGGTTCGCCAAAAGGAAGGTCAAAAAGGTCACCTACGACCCCCATCAACCAATTGTGATTGGTGAATCTGAATGCTTTGGAGGTAGTAATATTTCTCTATGGCCTCGAGCGCATAAAAGTCTGGAGTGGCGTTTGCAAAAAATATTGATCTTTGACCATTCCCCCCCAGTTAACTAACTTGTAGTTATTAGAGAGTGTAATCAGAATTAGCCTGCTGTTGTTTAGTCATAATGAGGATATGATCAGCATGTAGTCGTGTGTCCTCAGTGCTAATCAGCTCGTAAATAGCAGAATGTTAGAAATGCACACAAGCATGTCGATTAACTTTAGGGGCAAAACAACTAATTTTGAGTGAAATTCAGCAACTTTCACTCATTAGATATTCCTACTTTCATCTTGTACCCTGAAACAAAAAACAGCAATGCAGTCTGTCTTGTATGTGTACAGATGCCTGGAACATTAATGTGACATCACACCAGTAATTTATGATTGGGTGCCATTCCTGTTTCAATCTACAATTTAGATATAGAGATATATACATGAACTTTGATTTTTAACACTTCTAAATAGAAACAAGTTTCGCTCAAAAAAGATCAAATGTTAGAAAGAAATCTGAATAATAAATCTATGTTTGATTTGTTAGAATGCCAAAGAATAATTGTCTCTTAAAGGTCACAAGTAAAACATTGATAAATCAATGAAACAAAAACTTGTTAGTTTTTTCCAATACTTTTATTTCTAGAATACTTCAAATATATGACATATGGAATTTTTACATTTTATACAATAATGATTAATATATTTACATTGATATATAAACAAGGAAAGCATACCAATTATTTATGGGTAGAAAAATTCCTGAGATACAGCTGCTGAGACTATATATAAAAAGAAAAATCCCTTTGTCATGTAATGTGACTAAAGTGACTGTCAAATGCTTTCAATAAAATAGATGTCAAATATAGACTGGAAACTGACTCTCAGATTTACAGGAAATTGATAATCGAAAGATAGAAAAAGGTACACCAATGTATTGTTAGGAAACCAGCTGTCACACAGACAGTATAAATAACATCAAAATGTTATAGACAGATGATGCATACCTTGGTTCAGGATATAACCTATCACAACAAGACACAAATGATTGAAATAACAGAGATGTACAGGGTCATGTCATTTTGTTACAACATGCTTACAATGGAGATTTACCAGGGTTTTGTCCGTTTGTGATAACATCTTGATAACAGACGTGTTCCAGTGTTATGTCCCTTTGTTATAACAAGATGATTACAGATATGTATAAGGGTTATGTCCCTTTGTTATGTCATCATGATAACAGATATGTACCAGGGTTATGTCCCTTTGTTATAACAACAAGCTAACATATATGTACCAGGGTTATGTCCCTTTGTTATAACAACAAGTTAACATATATGTACCAGGGTTATGTCCCTTTGTTATAACAACATGATAACAGACATGTACCAGGGTTATGTCCCTTTGTTATACCATCATGATAACAGACATGTACCAGGTTATGTCCCTTTGCTATGACATCATGATAACAGACATTTCCCAGAGTAATAACACTTTATCATAACATGCTGATAACATACACATTACAGGGTTATATCCCTTTGTTCGATCATACTGAAAACAGACACTTATCTTGGTTATGTCCCTTTGTTACAGTGTCAGGTCATTTGCATGATGCTGTTTAATGTAGATTGTTTCTTTCTTCTTATGTTTTATTTGCATACTTTAACATGGATTGTGTGATGATAATCTTTCATTTTTATGTTTTTCTTTAAAAATTATTTTTATGAATATTTAAGAATCATATTTAGTGTATCAGGAAGCATGTAATATTAACAGAAAATTAAAGTCAGGTAGTATTTGACATTCAGCTTTAATTTCTTGCACTTTTGTTTTCAAGTGCAAGAACAAAACCAAGTGGGTAACATTTTTAAAAATTCACCCAAAATATCTATCAAAATCTTATTTCACAAAATAAACCCTAGAACAGTGTACGTTAGCCATTTTGCAGCTTTCTTCACATTTTCAAGTCCAACAAAAATATAGAAGAAAGGTTACAGAAACAGAGACATCCCCTGAAAATGCAATGGGTCTGCCATTTTTGATATTTCAGTGACCTCAGTGCAGTCGTCCTCTGATACACCAACTATAACTATCACAGAGGATCACAGTGTTCCAACAGATGATGACGATTACGTTTCCTATTTTGGAATAAAAACAAGTGAAACAGGTTAGATAACTGTCGGCATCATCTTGTGTCTGTGTATGGTAGTTCCTATCTCGGCACTGTACCTGAATTTGTTGTACTGATGTGTATATGTATTGATATTGTCTGTCATAGATTTCCTCTTCAGAACTGTACAGGATATTGTTTTATTGTCTGTAGTCCAAACATTACAGATGTTGTGCTACATTCTATGGTCCAAACATTACAGTATATTGTGTTATTAACTCTTGTCCAAACATCACACAACATTGTGTAATTCTCCTTTGTCCAAACCTAAAGGATGTTTTGTGTTACCCTCTTTGGTCCAAATGTTACTGGATA